CTCTTTCCGCCAATCGGAGACCTTGGCCTACTTTTGAATAACCGTTAGGCTGCACATTGGCTTGGGGTGATTGTTAATTTCGATCGTTATACATGGATCACAGAGAGCTGTATACAATATGCATAAACACAATGAGCATAAAAACCTATCAATTAAAATTACTGATAATAATAATAGGAGGGCAAGAGCCTGAAGATAAAATGAGGTGAAAGCCTTCCTAAAAAGGAATGTTTTAAGTCGAGGCTTAAACATCGCAATTGAAGCCGAATCCCTGATACATTTTAACAAAGCGTTTTACACAGGCAACAGCCCGGTCCCCCGCATCTCTTCTTCACTCCCAGGGCAAGGCGGAGGAGAACAAGATCCGCAGACCTCAGACACTCTCAATAGAACACAGTGGGGGGATGGGGGCAAAGCAATTCGTGAAGGTGGTTGCATCAATGCGGAGCCAAGGCAGTTTGCTTTTGTGAAGTGACTTGACAATGACATGACATAAACTTTGTCCAATGTTCTTTGAACATCCACCTCGCACAACAAAATGAACTGTTTTCTCGTCGGCTATTCAAATCGAGTTTGTGTTGTGAAATTGTTCGCGATTGAATGTTTGATCAGACCCTCAGAGCTGGAATGTTTTTTTTAGTTTTAAAATAATATTATGTTACAATGTTTTTTTACGAATGTGTACCTAAAGACATTATCTAGTTCTGTTGTAGGGATCAATCCTAAAATTATCATTACTTTTTGTCATGTAACCCAGGTCAAAAGAGGGAGTGTTTGGTGTGTCTCAAAGGGCCTGTATTTTTCCTCTCCTGGTAAACGGATACAACTAATTCAGCAAAGGATCGCAGTAAAATGTAACACCAACTTGAGTTTATTGAGCCCTGTATATTTTCAAAAGCCAGCATAAATGTACGTCCTGACTCCACAATGTACTTTTCATTAACCAATCACATTTGGGGGGAAAGGGTCAAACACAATAGTTGGTCTTTAACCCTCTTTTGAAGATGATGGTGACGATGATGATTGTTACCAATTAGCCCCAAAGATTGTGGTCTTTTTTTTTTAAACAGATCGGGACAATTGCTCAAAAGCGAGAGCATTGCTAAGCAACAGGCGTTATCATTTGCGATGCTGCACAATAATTTACTGCTCCCGAGCCCGCCATCCCGCTCGCTGCAAAACAAAATACGGGTTGGTTCAATGGTCCAAATGCGTTGTTTGCTGTGGATTTTGGAGAGCTCATTCACCAGAGACTCGTGGCAATAAGGACTGTGCAACGTTTGGTTATTCCGGTGCAGAGCAGTTGTGGTGGAACACAGTTGCGCGAGTCGAGGGAAGGACTTTATTTGATACGTTTACTGAGCTGTGGTTACGTTGCCCAGCTGAAGCGTGATCGCCGATTGTTGTTTCAGCAGTCAGAGGTTTGAGGTTCGATTCCTGCAGGCAGCCCTGGTAAATACTGCAAGTGTATGACTGCAAGTGTATTTACCATGAAATACTACGCGCCATCTCCTTCACAGTGGACATTAACAGATTCCTTGATGCCATTTAAAAAATGTAGGCCATTGTGTGTGCCAGCATCATGGTTCAAATTTGCCATTTGTGGAAATGTACCCTCAACTTACTCACTTTGGATTACACTTAGCAACATTGCCCTCCACTGAAACTACTGCGGACAATGTGTCGGAACGATAGCGCCTTCGTGATAGCCTTGAAATACTAGGATGACGTGAATATCAAATGAATGAACGGATTCAGGTCTGAATGTGAACCGAGATTTGCATGGTATGTTTTTCAATCTAAATTTCTCCGTCAAAATATATTTTTTTAAACGCTGAAATGTGGCTGTGGATAATGATAAAATTATATTTTTTATTTACTTATTTATCCAGGAAAGCCATATTGGGTTGTCGGGCTCTTTTTCAGGAGGTTCCTGCATTGAGTTTTAAAAATGTAGGATGTTTTCAGCCAAGTAGTAATGAGTCGGAATAGCACAGTCGGCTATTTACGTACAAGTGGGAGGAAAAAATCGTAGCACCCAGAGAAAATCCACGTGCGCGAGGCAGCAATAACAACAGCCTATCACCGTACAAATGGAGACAGATAGCGATTAGGCCACTGCCCATACTGCCTTCTCCTGGCGAGCCAGGGTATAGCACCTCGACGCGCAGGCCGCTGGGCTATGGGCGTGCGCCACCACCGCCCGGCTGCTACCGATTAGCCACGACTGCCATAGGAGCCAAATTTTTTACTATAGAAACGGCTGTAAAATGTTCAATCTCTCCAAGTGTGGCTTACCAAGCCGCAATGAAACTTGCCGCCCACTTGAGATTCAATTGCACGACTCATTTGTGATGTAATTGAAAATTGTTAAAAACAAGATAAAAGTGTTATCAAGTTTATTCAATTCTAATAGCCAATGCAATTTTTTGTTACAGTCATGACATAGAATCGCTACTCATAGCATGGCACATTGGAGGTGTCAGCTGGGAAATACGGGAATGAGAATGGAAATTGTAGAAATTATATATATGAGTGGGCTTGCAATGGTTAATGGATGGTTGGTGTTTGTACGTGAAAAGCCGGGCGTTTTGGTGGACGTGCTGTGCGGTGCATTGCTTTGTATTGATTGAGTGGTTCAAACCGATCGTTGTTTGTGTCTTGTTTTTTTGCAAGGAGTTACAGACAGGGTCTTATTATTATAATGGAAAATAAGGCTCAATAGTGGGGTTAGTAAGGTGGCAGTTCAAACGTATTTACAACTGGATAACGCAAATCTGTTTACTCGAGTGTGACCAACTGATAGGTCTGTTTATATAAATGCACCTGACAGACTAATTCTTAGATTTGTAGGTTGAGAAGGTGGAGGATGTAAATATATATATATAAATAAAAGGCACGATAAGGGTGGGGGAGGGAGGCAGCTGCCAGCGAGCGAGTTCCATTTACAGGGGCTCCTTTACTTATGAACATTCGACTTACGAACTTTAAAAGATGCGAACAAATCTGTCCGTATGTCCAGTTGCCTGTTCGGACCGAGAGTCGGAAGTTCAACCGCTGCGCAATAGATGGCGGTGGTGGCATCTACATCGACAGGAAATTATTAATTTTTAAATCCATTCCCCGTGTTGAGTGTACATGCCCTACAACATGTTTGAAATCGACAGGAGTAAAGTTGGACTTACGAACAAATCGACCTACGAACAGACCTTTGGAACCTAACTCGTTAATAAGTAGAGTAGTCCCGATAGTTTTGTGGTGATGGGGGGGGGGGGGGTTGGTGAGGTGATTATTTAGATTATTTTGTTGCTATAAATGTCCAAATGATGGGCCACTTTGTTGAGCTATCATTTGTGGCCAAGTCGCTTCTGAAAAATAAGTTAATACCTCAGTGGGCTTTGCCTGGTTGGATGGGGATAGTTTAGTGTTGCATGTTTGGGTAATTTGTTTACCTTTCTTGTACTTTGCACTATTATCGTGTTTTTGTACTGTTTGTTGTTGTAACGTTCTTACCCACCTCTACTGGACATATGTGAATAAGAGCTTTATAGCCTATTCCTTCAGTATAAATACATATTCTGAGTCAGATTTTGCAGTGCCGAGACTGTGAGAATTGCGGTATTGAGATTGGTTTTAATTGTGCATTGAAAAAAAACATAAATGTGTTGATTTCGAAGGATGTTAAAAATGTCACGAGTAATCTAAACGTGGTTACGGATCACAGCAGGGTACACACATACACACGAAAAAAACATATTTAGAGAAAGGCAAGTTGAATTTTTTGGGACCTTAAATGAGAAAACAGGAGGCATCATGCAATGTTTTGACTCGAAAAATTAGAAGTACAAGAATACGGGGAAGGGAGTGAATTATCTACTTAAGATATTTAAACAATTTGATGCCACTGGGACGAGTAACCAATGCAAATCTTTTGAGTAAATATCACGGACAGACCTAAATGGCAAGAAGTCGATGATCGCCAACGTTTTTGAGAAAGGACACGGCGCATAGAGGGAGAGAAAATAGCAAGATAACTGGATAATTGTTTTTGCTATCATATATATTATAAAGTCTGTTATTGATAGACAGGTTTCTTTGAGCTTTTGCATCATGGTCTCGGATTAATGGGATTATTCATAGGTTTATTTCACTGTTAAATCACAGGCTAGAAAACACATCAGAGCAGTGGTTCTTAACCTGGGGTGCACGCACCCCCCTCGGGTGTGAGATGCCCTTTCTGGGGGTGCGGAACATGGCCAATTTATTTTAGAAGCTAAATTATCAAAACAAAAATTAAGTACAACTACTTTGTTTCATCAAACCTGCGTATTTATTAACGTAATATTTTTTTACGATTGAGAACCAAAAGGGTGCAAGGTTGCATTAAAGGTTAAGAACCACTGCATTCGAGTACGTATATCTAAGGCGGTTATTGAAGGCAGACCACAATCAAATTGTTTAACTTAAGAGGGGCACCAGGGCGCGTTGGCTTACTTGGGAAAACTGACCATGATAACAAAAAGCAATGTAACTCACGTGCCAACAGGAGACAGATTTAAATCAGATAGATTTGACCTAGGATACGTATGGGTCAGATACATGGAAAATCTTTAGCAATTGTGTTGCTAGCTCCAGGAACTATTTGGGTGTCCTAAGTGATAATATGTCCACAAAGCAACGAAGCGACAAATATAGCAACCGTCTGAGATGAGGAGATAATGCAGATTGAGCAGCGATTATTGGTATGTATTCTATTGATGTGTATGATGGTAATGTGTTTCAGGAGCTCAATGCCATTGTCCAGGTCTGATAGTCACGAGAGGGCTTCAGAAGAGAGTTCGTGTGCATCAGTTTGCCGAATATCACCCCTTTCTGAATTTTCTCGTGACATTTTTGACATTGGAAAGGTCTCTCTCTCAAGCAAGATCCGGTGACTTTTTGAGGTTGTTTTGGCGACTTGGCCGCATTGGCGGCCGTGCCCAGTCTGATGTCGTTCCCAGGCCCCACACGTCACGGACGAGGTCCTCACCCGGGCCTACCAGGTGTGCGTAGGATTCATCACGAGGCCCCGGCACGTGGCCGCCTTCACCAAGTCTGTGCTGCAGTTCATCAGCACCGAACGCCGGGCTCCAGGTCGGTTAACGACGCATCTCAAACCCGGCCGTTCGTGCCTGCCGCGGAAGAACGTGCGACAACGGGTGCGCTTTACGTCCGCGTGTGTCCCGGGATTATCCGTTTTCAAGTTGAAAGCAAAAGTAGCGGCCACTAGGGAATAGAATAGAAGCCAATTTGGCAGAAGTTTTGAAAAAGATGTTCTTTATTCACTTTTCCGACGCAGGCTCAATTTCAACAGTCGACATGTGGTCCAGCGACATAAGCCGTGCGCGTCCTTATTTACAGAGCTCATTGTTGGGATTTTACAGGGTTGGCTGACTGTTATGAAAATTTATATGCAAAACTTACATTTTTATTTGACAAGGTAAGGCCCTCAGAAGTAAATATCTATTTTTCAGAAGTGACCTGGCTGCAAATGATATCTCAATGAAGTGGCTCATCACGTGGAAATGGATATCAGCCAAACACTCTAAATACACATTGATTCTAAATATGGGGAGAAAAACCGGACGACCCAGAGAAAAATCCACGCGAACAGAAAGACATAGATCCTCCGTGAAGCCTTAACAGACTGTTGGGGCAAGTGCTGTTAGCGAGTAGCACCTATGAAGGCAGGCACGGCACACGAGGGTGTGGGTGGCCAGCACCATGCCCAGCCGCCTTTGTCTCTCCCAGTGGCGATGTTTACACATCGCACCAGGTACTCATTTGAGGCTGAGTCGACCTAAGGAAGGCCCAGGACCGGTTCAGATAATCGTCGCCGGTGTTGGCCGTGAGCGGGAATCGAACTTGGGACGCCGGGTTCGTAGCGCAGCGTAAAGCTAACCGCTACACAACCGCTCCCCAGGGAGAGAGTGACACGCAAACACAGACAAGAGGGGGGATGGGGGGGGCAATTGACTTTATTTTTAAAGTAAGTAGTATATATTGGCTGTGTCGCGTGGTGGCGTGTTTAACGACACATTTACATTCACGAGATCAACCCAAAAACTTCTACTATGGTCGCGAAAGCCTAGGTGTTAAACTGAAGTTTATATTATTACAATTTACTTAAAATCTACCGTGAAACACTTTTGTTAACGTAACACAGATTGTGTTATGCTGTAGCTGGTTGTTTGGAGAACCGGAGGCAGCACGTGAGGGATAAAGACTCCCGTTATGGCCGACATAACACAACGTTAACCACACAGAAGGAGCAATAATGACGAACAAAAGTAATTTCGTTACAACGAGAAAAACAAAGTCAAAAGTGCAAACGTATATTCTTGGCGTCATGGACAAAGCTGCCTGCATCCTCCACGTAACATAATGATTCCGTTTGTTTCTACTTAAGCTCACCGAGTGGTGTGAAGTACCCCATGCGCTGCCTCTTGCCATTGAGTCTTCCAGTTAGCCTCCCCTTCCCACCCACCTCCACACTCAAACTTATAAATTAGCAAGTTCTCACAGTTTCATTAGAGGAACTTGCAGGCTCAAGAGGCCCCGCGCAATGTAGGCCAAATGATTCATTTCAATTATATCCATTGAATATCACTGCACCAATTCAAGAATCCATTATTTTCTTTTTTTCTCAACATTGTCGTTTAAGTAGCGGCCTCTCGTGATTGGAAAGGTTACATAAACCCATGTTGTACAACTTCCACGAATTGTGAAAACAAAAAAGATCGATTATGACACGTACTTTGAAGCATATATTGTGAGATGAGAATGGACATCAGTTACACCTTTAATTAATATCTCACTCTTATCGTGCGAAATATCCGAGTCAGCATCTAAAACCAATATCTCCAAAATGTTTTTACAAAACTGGCTGGATGTTATTCTTGCCATTTAGAACACAACAGCATGGGTGTTGTATCTCACCTCTTAGCCATCGCCCATTCTCTTCCTCTTCCCTCCCCTCGCCTTTCCACGACTTCCCGTCCCTCCCCTACCGTTTCGTGATCCCTAAGTTACCCCTCTATCACGGTCGCTCATTCCTCAATACCTTGTACGCCCCTGCAATAGAAATAATTATATTGTCACCGTTATTTTCACTGTATTAAGTACCTTAAGGCGCTCTGTAAATATTACATTAGATTAGATTTAGAACATGAAATTCAATGCACACCCACACTGAACGGATAATAAGCTTGTTTGCTTTCGATCTTTGCTTCTTGAAGAAAAATGTTCAACTACACAAGTAAATACGTGACCATCCTGTTCAAACTCTCTCTATGGACAAGTTTCCCCTCTTTATCCGGCGATTTGAGATGCAACTACATTCCAAAATGTATCTTGAAACAGGCAGAGCACTGGAATGAATTCTGACGTCATTATTACGTTGTGATGCCTTACCGAATTGCACGAAGCATTTGGAGTTATTGATTCAGTACCATGGCAGACATTCAAGCTGGAAACCATAATTTAAAAGATTAAAAAAAAATTCACGTGAGCAGAAATGGATTTCGTCAGCACAAATCGGTTCTAGGTATAGGAAACGAGGAAGACCTTGAGCCTGTGATTGCGACAGAGCAGGGAGTCGATGGCATGAGATGCAAGGGGCAACGTGAGGGAATGAGTAACATCCCCTCATACTGAGCAAAGGTTGATTGAGGGCTTCGACAGAGCTTAAACTTTTTTTATTTTACTAGGTAAGGCACACTGAACAATGTCGCTCTTTTCCAGGAGTGACCTGGCCACAAATGAACGCTCAGCAAAGTGACTTACCGCGTGGAAATTTATATGAGCCTAATACTCTAAAAGCGTGTTTCTAAATGTGGAGGAAAAAACCGGAGTACCCGGAGAAAAATCCACACGACCACGGGGAGAGAGACATGCAAAGTCCAAATATACAGGTGGCATGTTTCTGGTTTGAACCCACGACCTCCTGCATACCAGGCAAGGAAGTTAATGTCTCACCACCATGGTGATAGAAAACGCCTGAGTTGATGGAGTGGAGAGGGCGTGGAGGGGAGTAGAGCGAGATGAGAGTGGAGAGGCAGGAGAATGGGTGGAGGGGAGTAGAGCGAGATGAGATTGGAGAGGCAGGAGAGTGCGTGGAAGGCAGTAGAGTGAGATGAGAGTAGAGAGGCAGGAGAATGCGTGGAGGGGAGTAGAGCGAGATGAGAGTGGAGAGGTAGGAGAATGCGTGGAGGGGAGTAGAGCGAGATGAGAGTAGAGAGGCAGGAGAATGCAGAGGTAAGTCAAATGTGGAACGGTGCGCCATTGGGAGGTGCGTCGACTCTGAGAAAAAGCCTTTTCGAACAAACGCTTCTGTCCGGACACAACAGTTGTGCATGGATGGTTCAGTGCATTGAGCGAGCGCTATTGAATTCTTGGGGTTTAAATTCAGGCAGGCATCCATGACTAGATCTGGTTTGAGAGACAGCAAGTTTTCTGAGCTCATACATCAAAGATCAAATAAATATGCATTGCGCTTTGATTTTCCGTGAACTCACCATTTTCTACCTCCGAGGACGAAAACTCAAGATGTTACCATTACTATCTCGGCCTCGCTGTGCGCTGCGTTGCACCGCTAGTCGAGTAGATAACCTTGCATTCAATAAACCCTCGGAGCCAGGATGAACGTCCAACTCCAATCGTCATTTATTGATTGTAACAAGGTAAAACTGGTGAGAAAACACAGATACAGTATCTGTTATAATCCGGAAACATCAACACAATGAACACCACAGCATCAGAACATTGTCTTAGATAACAATAGATCCTGGACGGACCAGGCCCCTACATTACCACTGAACAACTAGACAAAAGCACATCCCACTGCACCCCAAAAGTACAACATTACACAACACTAAACTGTGGATGAGATACTTCGTCATCTTTACTCTCAGGATCGCAACATAGCCACCTGGGCACAAGTCTGACTCAATCTACTAAATTACAAGTAACATCCACAATAAGGAAAGTTGCAGGCTTCGTTACTAACTAGGCCTTGTATTTACTATAACAACTTAACGGCACCATAAAGGCATTTACATCACTATAACGGTCATTCCAACATTACAACAACATTGCCAATATTATAGGAATATAAACAAACTTACAGACAATGCTTCTTAAGCTCCCACAATGGACAATTGCGGCTGTGGTCTCACTAAGATGCGATGCGTGCCGCCATCTTGAATTATCAGTAAGATGGCAGATGCCCGCGTGGTTCACTGAAAATCTAACATCGTCACTTCCTGGTCACGTGACCAAAATTAGCAACAAAAACAGGAACTTCCTGTATACATACGCTCCACATCTGCCGTGAGGCAAGACAATTACGTTATCAGCACTCTGATCGTAGTGTGCATGCCATCCATAACATCCTCATTGGCAAATCTGCACTATACTTAGCTAATTCATTATCCCCATTGTCAAACCCAAGAAACCTAAGGCGTCCATTTAATCGCCTTTTAAATATCTCTAGATCAGGAATTGGAGTAGGTAACAACGCCTTTCGCCGTTGCAGCACCAACTTTTGGAGCAACCTTGTTTCCTCCCTTCACATCACAAAACCTTCCTTCAGCAAATATCCTAAAGCAGAAGATGGATTAGTGCTGGATACAGTCACATTTGCCAACGTGATTCGTAACTTTGATCATTACCAGTGTATCGATAGTCAGTCGTTCATGCGTCATTTTATTGAGGGACTATTCTGTTTTGGATTTATAGAGTGCCTTTCGCCCAAGGCGCTTGACAATGCTTGCCGACTACGGAACAGAATGGCAAGCTAAGGGAAGGACAGGTGGGGTAGTAGGGCCGTTAGTTATCGGGTTTGGAAAAGGAATGAGATATGGGCAGCAGGGGAAGGAGGCGATGGTGCGGGGGGTTGAAAGGGGAATGGAGCGTGATAGTGGATGAAGCTGATAGAACGGGGTAGAGTGAAGATGGATGGTACGGTATGAAGTGAGTGGTGTTATCTTGGTGTGGTCTGGGACTGTTTCGTCGTTTTTACTGTCTTGCCCAATCTTGATGAATCAGATTTAGAAAATTAATGCATGTATTATGTCTTTATATTGCGTGACTTGCTTGTCATTTTATATGTTTTGCACTCCCATCATTTTTGTTTCATTTGCTGTTGTAACTTGCTGGACATCTGTGAAAAAGAGCTTCATAGCTTATCAGACTCCTCCTGCAGTCTAAATCAAGATTCTGATTTGGTTGAAAATACTTTTAAAGTGACTTCAGAGGTGAGAGTTGTATCTTCCACGGACCATTCACTTACTCAGCACGATGCACTCCTCAATGCTGAACGCACAGTTCTTCACAATTAAATAAAGAACGCGCGATGCTGCATTGGCAGTGGTTGCACGAGCACACAACGACAAAGATCCCCCGTGTAGCCTGAACAGACTGTTGGGGCAAGTGATTTTCGCGAGCACCTGTGAAGGCCGGAACGGTACACGAGCGGGTATGTGGCCAGCACCACGCCCAAACGCCTTTGTCTCCCTAGTGGCGATGGTTTTACACACCGCACCCTGTACTCATTTGAGGCTAAGTCAACCTAGGGGATGCCCAGAACCGGTTCAGATAATCGTCACCAGCGTCGGCCGTGAGCGGCAATCGAACCCGGGTTGCCAGATTTGTAGCGCAGCGCACTGACCGCTACACCACCGCTCCCCACGAGCACACACGCACACAACAAAAAACTCAACACATTCATCCGTAATAACGCTGCCGTGCTGTGAAGGAGGGCCATTTCCCGAAATGTTACCTTGTATAGATGTAGAGTATTTCCCCTTGAGGACAATGGTGCTGCTCAGATTTAGTTTAACATGAAGGTGGTTCGCAAACTTACCGAACACGTTGTGTTTTATTCAAACGTATAGTCTTTAGGAACCATGTAAATTATAGCAGTGCTCAGGAGTGTGCTGAAAACTGAGCATTTGTTCGAATAGCATTTTGCACGTTTGCAAGTCACTTACAGCATACGTAGCAAGGGCATGAGATCCAGTGCTTTTCTCAGGGAACTACTAATTTTGCAAACATTGATAAAAACAATGAAGGGGGTCTTGTGTCGCACGCGCACACAGCCCTCAACTCCCCCCCCCCCTTCCTTCTCCCCCTTCGCTTTGAACTGAAATAGCTCTGGTGTAGCAATCAGGTGCGGTAATGGTCCAGCAATAGCTTCTGGTGCAGCAGTGCGAGAGTGCTAGCCGCCTGTGTGAAAATCAAAGCATCCTTCCTTGCAAACGCTGTTTTCATTTTTTTCGTCACGTTGAAAATGTGAGCCATCACACCTGTACACGGTGGCTTACACCGCATCCCCAGGGACGTGCTGCAAAGGATGCAATGTGAACATGAATTACTTTAGAATTTGGTTATTGTTGAAAATTACCACATTGGATCTGTATTGTCCAAACGACACCAGTGAGAGAGGGTCCTTTGGTAATAATTCCCCCATGGTGGCTTTTAGATTTGGAACTGTTGAACCAATGTTAATGTACTCATTTGGAAATATAATATCCAATATGATGCACGGGTTGTATTTCAATGAAAAATTCATTCGCTCATTTTTCTTTTTATATTCAGCCGGGTTATTTGGTTGCGCATTCATGAGCGGCGGTTCAAACGATTCACCTGCGTGTGCAACCCAGGAGAACATCTCATTCAAGTTCACAGCGGTTCTCGTTAAAACGCCGGCCTGCATTGAAATCTCATATCAAGACGAAGACGCTGAATCTCAGAGCGCTCCTTTGTCCCTTCGCAGGTATTTTCCACCAAAGGATGATCATTTCAGAGCAAAACCTTCACATAAGCAGCTTTCCGACCGTGGCCAAGTAAGTAGAGCACGATGATCTGCATGCATTGCTGCAGGGTGTAGCGTACTTATTTGCGATATACAAAATATATATAATATCTGTGGCTGCCGTGATATCACCAGCCAAGGCATTCCGCATGGCTTGGCGCCACAGTGGCGAGATGTTAACTTCCTCGCCTGCTATGCAGGAGGCCGTGGGTTCGATCCCAAGTTTAACGCCTGCTGTATATTTGGAGTTTGCATGTCCTCCCCATGGTCGCATGGATTTTTCTCCAGGTCCTCCAGTTTTTCCTTCCACATTTACAGCCGACATACATTCAGAGTATTTGGCTAATATAAATTTCCACATAAGCCACTTCATTGAGCTATCATTTGTGGCCAGGTTGCTTCTGAAAAAGAGCTATACTGCTCAGTGGGCCTTACCTGGTAAAATAAAAAAAAACACATGCTTTGTTCACATGCATGCTGCTCTCATCACAAGCACTGTTCTGCGGGGATCACTGTGAGTATGAACACGCTGTGGCATCTGATGCGCGGAACAATGATTAAGGTGTGGCCAATGGTTCTGCTTGCAATTAGACTGAGATGTTCAGGAAACTTTAACTCAAATCAGAATTTCTGCACGGCAGAATCCTACATGAAAATATTACCAGGAGATAGTCAACACATAAAATAAAATTGGCTATTCAGCGTACGTATTGTTATATTTTTCAGTTGTGATATATAAATGTCAGCGCACAGTACTTGCCGTAGGCTGAGATAGTGCATCACTATTTGGCTTTAAATTTCAGATCAGTGTAACTTGTCTGTTCATCTTCTCAAAATATTCGTATCGCCCCTGATACTTTAATAGACATTAATCATTGGCTTCAGATATTGTAAGACACAAATCATAGTATATATCCACCAACAGTGCCTATTGGTTTGAATGCCATTAATTATCTCTCAATGAAAGAAAGGAGCTGGTGCAGTGGTTACCGTGCTGCTGAATGATTCCGACGACCTCAGTTCAACACCCGGCCATAGCCAACCATCACCATCACCGTTGCGTGATATATATATATACCATTTGCTGGGCCCTCTTCACCAACCCACACTGACCAGAGTGGCGAAGTATGGTTAAACAACCCCCCTCCCCAAGACTGACATGGCATAGGGAAGCCCTTCATATATTATAAGGGATGTAATTAATCATTATTTTTGGAATCAATATCGCAAACATCTATACTTTTTCATACAGTATTTTTTACTGAATATTGACAGACACCACTTACCATTGCAACATTATACAGGCAGCTATATGTTTTTATTTGTTATACCATGCTGCTATTTAAATTGATAATTATGGAAACCTTCATGAATTCCAATGCAGTAGTCTGATCGAGGAGTGTGAACATATGCACACACACTCAATGCAGCTGCATCTGTGGCATTGCTGCAATACGCATGGCACACAGCAATTCGTGAGCCCCGTTTGGGCGAAACTGTTTTGTGTGTCTTTTTCAATTCAGGCGCAGTAGAGATGTGTTTGCAAACAGCGCCACGCAAATAATATCACTTCTGAACCGTCGTTCTTAAGATTCCTTGATTCCTTAACACCCTAACACCTTAACTTAAAGCTTTCATGACTGCAAGAATTCATATTGTTGGGGTATTTAGGTAAAGTCACGTAGATAGGTTCAAAGAAAATAACAAAAAACTATGACGTTTCGATCGCAACACACGATTGCAAAACAAGCAGTCGTCTTTCCTGAAGACGACCGCTTGTGTTGCGGTCGAAACGTCGTAGTATTTTTGTTATTTTCTTTGAACCTATCTACGTGACTTTACCGAAAGACCCAAATAATACCCTAACACCTCTTTTATAGCCAGAACGGGTAAAACCTATTCCTATATTTTGATACTGGCAAGGGAGGTTCCATGATGTAGCGTCTCACCCCGAACTCTCAATATCCTGAGAGTGGCATTGTCTTTGTGCTGTTTGCCTTTTGGCGTCCTCTGGTCTAACACTGTTTGAGACTAGGCTCTAAAGAAAGCTGTCTATGGTGAGGACCAAACAGTTTCAAAGACAATGCATATTACTACCAGAGCATGTTTTTGTTTGAATATTCACCACAGCTATATATGTAGTTAATGCAGGCGTGCTTTCTTGCAAAAGGTTTCTGTTTTTTTTACAGCTTAACACCTGTTACGTTGCCAGAAAGGGTAAAAACTATTATTATATTTTGATACTGGCAAAGGAGGTACCATGATGGTTTGTTACTCCACTGCTGGATGAGGGTCTCCCCCACCTGATGTTCGTATTTGGGTTATGTTTTTACTCTACTTCACCGTGCTGCTCAGTGTGGGTTGGTGAAGAGGGGAGCTCGATACAAGTTGAGATATCAATCTCCACTAACATGTTAGTCACGGCCGAGAAGCAAACTCAGGTCACCTGGTTCGCAGAGCCGGTGATTTTATTGACTTTTAGGTCATTATATTTATAGTGTTTTCACTTTTGTTGGGCCTTTTCGTTATTCAGTCGCAGTTATCAGTCGGATCTGTCCATTGACAGTTGTGTCATGAAGGATGTGGTACAAGTAACCAAAGTCACGATGTATGTACTGTATGTTGAACTTTTTTCACCCTACGTAGCCCACCGTGCGTTGACTATCTCCTGGTAATACGATGACAAAGTTGAGGGCACTCTCTTGTTCAGATTTGTCTGATCAATTGCAGTGTGGGCATCCTTGGGGAAATTTCAGAAACTGCGAACGCTTGAGGGCCCACTCCATGAATAAGACCAGGCAATGGTTGTGTTTTCACACTCCAGGGCTCACGGCTCACAGTGCCAAATCTGTAAATTGATAAAGCAGCTAAGAAGAGTACCACCTCCACATATCCACCCTGGTCAATTAACCACCAACGCCCAGCACAGTGTTTGCGAAGGTGCAACTGTCATTTCCTATCGATGTTCACAAATCTAACCTTTTCACCTGCAGTACTGTCTTCGTAATCTCGCGTACATGTGCTTACCTCTCACGTAAGGCACACAAACTCGTTGCTTTTATTGCTTTGAGCGGGGGTCACATAGTTTGTGTTGCGTGCTCTTGCCAGCAGCATTTGTTTAAAAATCCTGATTCTGTTGATGACACTCCGGAGTTTGATTTTGTTTGATTATTATTCATATTCTTCTGTTGAGAGACAAAACAGAGTTCTAATTATATTGGCTCTAAATTACAGTAAAGCAAACTGCCACCTTTAAAGGAGTCTAGCCCCGCACCTCCGTTACGCACGGTTGGCTACATACGGTGAGAAAGAAAGTTCAACACACACATATATACAGTGAGGGAAAAAAGTATTTGATCCCCTGCTGATTTTGTACGTTTTCCCACTGACAAAGAAATGATCAGTCTATAATTTTAATGGTAGGTTTATTTGAAAAGTGAGAGACAGAATAACAACAAAAACATCCAGAAAAACGCATCCCTCATTAAAATGCAAATCAATTTATAAAAATTTTGACATGCGTTTTTCTGGATTTTGTTGTTGTTATTCTGTCTCTCACTGTTCAAATAAACCTACCATTAAAATTATAGACTGATAATTTCTTTGTCAGTGGGCAAACGTACAAAATCAGCAGGGGATCAACTACTTTTTTCCCTCACTGTCCATTTGTACGACTATCGTTTTTTGACATACGTTCACGTGTCTGACTTTTTCACGTATCCGCCGACCCCTTGGTCCCCAAGCGAGTCGGATGTACAATGACGACGTCGTGATGTAACACCGTTGTTATCGACCCTCGGTTTAATCTACTTCCCCCCGGGACCAGGACCGTGGTTCTGCTGGTGCCGGGCTTAGTGTCGGAGAATCTGGTGGATCGACTGATGGAGGAGGAGAAAGGAAATTCCATGGACGAGGCCAGCTTGAAGCAAGCGTGGCGCTGCCAGATCCTCAAGGACACCTTCGAGGCAGTACTGGGGCCCACTATCAATGCCAGGGATCTACACAAACACCTGAATGTTCGTATTACATGTTCATCTCACCGTAGCCTGGGCAGGCAACAAGGCAAATTAAATGTAACGGTCTGCCTACTACCGTGGGCAGGTACAGAGAGATTCACGATTGGTTTATTTGGGTTAGATTGTGTAGGTAGAATGTCAAACTTTAACTATGCCCTCCACCACCCAACAGAGCCAATCAAAATAAACTACTAAATATTTTTATATTTTAAGGCTCACTGAGCTATTTTAGCTCTTTTTCAGAGACGACCTGGCCACAAATTAAAACTCAACGAAGTGGTTTATCACCACGTGGAAATATATATATATATCAGCCGAATCCTCTCAACGCATGTTGATTCTAAATGTGGAGGGGAAAACCCGGGGGACGTGGAGAAAAATCCACGCGACCACAGGGAGAGACAAGCAAACTCCAAGTATACAGCAGGCGTCAGCTTGACAAGTTGTCACGTGGACAAATGTGGCAAATTTCAGTGACTGGAATATGGCTGGGGACGCTGCTCCAGGAGGAGTACATCGCTGTGTCTGCTCGTTGTGCAGAACCAAGAGAGGAAAGTTTGGGGTTGGCTGGAGCACGTGACGGGGCTCATGGAGGGCACGGCACGGAGAGGCGCTCGGGAGTCGCTCGATGACCTCCACACTCAGCTGCTCGATCTCTACCTGCAAGAGATCAAACCTGCGAAGGCAGATGGAAGTAGGCATCGCGCGGCAGGTAACGACGACACGCCGAATCGTCGATCGAACCAGGCTCTTATGCTCACGACGCATGCCAGGCATCGAATTGTGTGCGTAGAATCAGTCACTTGAAGAGTTTGCACACTGTACACATGCAAATGATGTGCGAATGTTTCAGGCTAATGAAAGGAACAAAACTATGCGAATGAGGCTTAATGATGCAAAACGATGCAAAAACAAGGTTCCACACTCTGTGGATTCCAATTTGGTGAATTGTCAGATTTTTACCGTCGTTATTTTGTATCGTTTTGCATTGTTAAGCCTCATTTCCATCGTTTTTACTGTCTTTTTATAATTGTTGGTGGAGGTGAGGATCATTCCACTCCTACAGTGCCAAGGTTACAGCCACAATAGAAGCCATTGAGAAATCCCACGCTTTGCTCTGGACGTTACTTTACTCTACAAATAGACACCATTAATATAACATTAATTGACGAACATAATGCACAGTATATTCTGAAATTATGAACCACATTCTTTCATCGATCCACTCCTGGATGTAATGCCTCGCCACACCACCTTGGTCATGCAGGATGTTTGGCTATACTTCACCATGCTGTCATCTTCATGGTTCTTTCGGTAAAGTCACGTAGAAGGGAAGTAATAAAATAATAAAAATAAAACATAATAAAATAATTCTCATGACGTTTCGGCCACAACGCAAGCAGCCATCCTCAGGTGAAGACCAGGTCTGTCGGGGAGACAGTGTCTGAATGAAACACCACCACGCTTGGAGCGTCTATTTAAGCTGGGTTGGAAGGGGGGAAGTGCGCCTTGACAAAATAATTTGCATATCAAGAGGAATTTAGCATATTTATGAGAAATGCAGGAATGTGATTAGTACTACTTGTGAAATGCGTAGGAGGTGGGCGGGGGGGTTTCAAAGTCATATTATACCCGTGGATTATGCAGGATTAGCAGCATCAAAGGGAGGGGATTGGGGTAGCATTAATAAAGGGAAGGAATGTTAATAGTATGTAGATAGATAGATAGATCGTTTATTGTCATTGTCACCAGTACAACGAAATTTAAAATGCTCACCAGTCAGGGCATCATTCATAAATTTAAATTAAATAAAACAATAAAAATAAAATTAAATGAAAGATAATCAATTTATACTATATATAAAAAACAGCCCAAGTATACCCACATACCCACATAAGGTTACATTTTGTCATTGCACATCTCTATTTCACAGTCAATTGTAAACACTATTACTTAATAATTAATTAGCATTATTGAGTGTGGTGATCGCTGTAGGGTAAAAGCTCTGTTTGAATCTGTTTGTCCTTGTTTTGACTGATCTGAATCGTCTGCCTGATGGCAACAGCTCAAACAGTGAGTGTCCAGGGTGAGAAGAGTTCTTTATAATGTGCTGTGCTTTTTTGATGCAACGTGAACTGTGTAGTTCTTCCAGTGTGGGGAGATGGCAGCCGGCGATCTGTTGGGCTGTGTTGATGACCCTCTGGAGCGCTTTCCTCTGAGCCACTGTGCAGCTGGTGTACCATACACAGATGCAGTATGTAAGAATGCTCTCGATGGAGGCTCGGTAGAAGGACACCAGCAGTTTCTGTGTGATGTTATTATTCCTGAGAATTCTCAGGAAGTAAAGTCTCTGCTGGGCCTTTTTCAGAAGCTCAGTGCTGTTGGCGCTCCAGGTCAGGCCCTCCCCAATGTGGACTCCCAGGAAGCAGAAGTCTGCCACCCTCTCCACACAGTCCCCGCTGATGATTAGTGGTGGAGTGTCCGTTTTCTTTCTCCTGTAGTCTATTATGAGCTCCTTGGTCTTTGCGGTGTTAAGGAGCAGGTTGTTGCCCCTGCAGTATGCTGTAGCTGCAGTAACTAAACAACCACGTAAAAAAAACTAAAGTATAAACTACATAGTATCATCAGTATACTAAATATACTCTCAATAAGCTGAGCTACTAACAGTAAGTAATACATTACAATTCTATGTCGCAAAAAATATAATATGCTTCCAGCTAAACGTTTTTCCTCTTACATCACACGGGTCTATCCCGTACTATATGCTGCCATAGACAAACCCAACATTAAATTATATACTGTATTACTATACACCACCCTATACCTTAGAATAATACATAGTGTGTAATATTACACTGAGGACGGCTGCTTGCGTTGTGGCCGAAACGTCGTGAGAATTATTTTATTATGTTTTATTATTATTCTTTTATTACTCCCTTCTACGTGATTTTACCGAAAGAACCAAGAAGATGAATCACTGCAGTCACGAAAGCTTTAAATCGAAATTCACCATGCTGGTCAATGAAAAGATAGGAGGGAGGCCCAGGACCGGTTCAGATATCGCTCACCACTGATGTTAGCCATGGCCAGGATTGGAAATCGGTGCCCTACTGTGCCACCATTCGCTCCATGTATTTCTACAATCCATTATGAAATAATTATTACATGTCGCAAAATTATGTATGTTACATGTGTAATGACGTCCGCAGTCTTGCGATTCGACGAATTGTTACAAATAGGGGTCCTGGTTCTGAATGAAGAATCTGGCTCCCCTCATGGCTGTTGGGGTCAGCTCAGCCCCTTACATACAACATATATACGCCATGCAATGAATGCATTAGCAGAGGCACAATATGATGCGCGTATCGTGAGCATGAATGTCGATTTAAATAAATCGATGCATCGATACACGTCTTATTTGCACCATTTGGATTGTTCACTTCCGATAGCCGAGCAGGGAGCCTGTATCTAAGCCAGCTTGCATGAGGTCACATCTGAAAACCACCAGCAAATTTTTGACAGGCATTCGCGAAACGTGCCCATCCTTTGCAAGCCACCGTGATGTCACCCGCAACACGTAGGCATAATTTCATGCCACTTGTCATTAGTCCCAGGTCTGCAATTTGCTGCTAAATGGCAATTTAGGATGGAAATGTGCCAAATTTGAAGAAAATTACCCGCAAATTACCGTACTCAATTTTGGATTGTACATACCAATCATTGCACCCCCCCCCCCCGCGCCACTGTCAAAACTTGGTAGAATCCTCCTGTAAGACACTCGGTGAGGCTTTCATGGGGTAAACAAGCGTGATAACATAGCAATCATAATATAACAATTGCGACCAGCTCTCATTAAATCTCCTTTGGACGAGGGGTGGATGCATCTCAATGGGTTCATTTTTGTGGACTTATTTATTCATTTTAAAGAAAGCCTCGACTATGTTTCGCATGTTCTTTCTTTGTATAAAAACACGCACTCAGAAGGGGAAATTGGTCAAACATCCTGAGCAAAATCTCAAGACGCCAGTGAGGCTTTCCTTGGTAAATAAAGAATGTATCATGAGATGCGTTCCTGTGTGTATACGTCCAGCCGTTTGTCATTAAACTACCCATTGATGCATCGTATGAATCACATGGTTTGTTTGATCAAACATCACTACGCTAATAATAATCAGTGCGAGTTGATTAAGGTGGGGAGCATAGTATATGGGAGACTAGAAATGTTGTTGCATAGCCCTCCGCTATCTACAGATTAGCCCCAGAGCCTATAACACCTGTTATGCATGATGGTCACCCATCCGGGGTAATATCCGAGCTAAAGCCTGCTGAGTTTCTAAGATCTTACATGATTAGGTTGTAATCTGGGATGATTGGAACATAACCATAAACAACGTAATGTATCACCAAATTGTTTAAACGTATTCGTGGACACATCTATGTGTGTCAGTGACCTGGGTCTCTTGTGCACTGTCTATCCTTGGTTCGACCCATTTTCAGTGTCAATGAGAGTACAGAGCAACCCCTTGACTGTGTTGGTGACTGCCAATTGCACTCCCCCTGCCCTACAGACTCGATGGCGGATTGCAAACACCTCCTTGGGGCCGTGCCCAAACCTGACATCCATTACAAGGCCTGGTGTGGAAGTAACTCAATCGGTAAGCCGCCGGGCTCGATATTCAGCAGAAACTGAAGTTTCATACCAAGTGTCCACCTCATGCCATAACTCAGACCAATTTAAGTGACACATTCCTGGTGAGATGTATGTTTAAAATTATTTGTAACTTTTTTAAACACAGATGCTGACCACAGGCCCAAAACACAAAGCATCCAGCCACAAACAGCACGATCAAAGTCGTAATAGATAAAGAGTTAAACACGTTTCTTCAATTGAGCAAGGTTATTATGAGGACTTGGGGAAAGAGACGATGATGAGAGGAGGGAATTCCAAAGTGGAGCAGTGCGAGGGAAGAAGCAGAAAAAATAAGTGAGGTGACCTGCGGTGTGGTGAGTGAGTGGGTGAGTGGATGAGTGTGTTTTTGTGACCTGCAGTATAGCGGTTGAACACAGTATGGACAAGACGAGAAAGTCAGTTTCATAGACCAAGTTCTCATGAATAGGGGGAGATTAGTATCTATCAGGAACTTTTTGCATGATGAAAAACAATCCTCTAGCCCAGGGGGTGGGGAACGTCCGGCCCGTGGGCCGTATAAGGCCCGCAAAATCATTTCCTCTGGCCCTGCCAAGGCAACCGCAGGCGGGACTCGAAATTCAATAAATCTAGGAGCAAACCTGGAAAAGCAGTTGCGAGTAGCAGCAACATCATCAATACCAGCTAACATCACACGCCTCACCAAAGAGAAGCAGTTCCAGCCATCACATTCGGGGTGAGTTAATTAAATGTTTGACCAAATATAACGGGCTAATTTTTAAGTTGATAATTTTGTATGGCCCGCGAATGATGTTATAAATATCCAAATGGCCCTTGACAGAAAAAAGGTTCCCCACCCATGCTCTATCGAAATAAAACTTTTGAAAACCACAGCGCCAAAGATACAATTGCCCATTGGATAACTGTCTGATGGCAAGTTTTTTTCTTTCCTTTTTTCACCACTCATTTTCATGCAGAGAGCATGTTGGGCGACATCAGCGAAAAAGAGAGCTCCTCGGACACAGACCCGTCCACTCCGTGGAAGCAGACCGTGGTGCCGCCAAAAACACGGATGGTCAAAAACCAGAAATACTCGATCGAGAGGAAAAATGGGATTCGCGACCGATCTCGCATTGCGATCAACACGGACTACAAGTCCTCCAGCTACCCCGACACTGGCACCAAGGTGGGTGGGCACGCCACAAGCCCATGTGCACATGCGTGTGTGTGTAGTGGGGAGCGGTAGTGTCGTGGTTAGTGCCCTGCGCTACAAACCCGGCGACCCGAGTTCGATTCCCGCTCACAGACAAAACCAGTGACAATTACTGAACCGATCCTGGGCATCCCCCTCGGTCGACTCAGCCTCAATTGAGTACCTGGCGCGGTGTATAAACATCGTAACTAGGGAGGCAAAGGCAGCCAGTCCTATTGTTGGCCAAGGTGCTCGCCAACAGCACTTGCCCCAACAATCTGTTTAGACTATACGAGGGGTCTTTGTCTTATGCATAGTGGGGAGCAGTGGCGCAGTGATCCACGCGCTGTGCTACGAATCCGTCAAACCGAGTTTGATTCCCAGCCATGGCTGACATCAGTCGTAATTATCTGAACTGGTTCTGGGGCCTCCCACTTTTATCAACTCGTATTTACCAGTGTGGTAAAGTGTGGTCAAACAACCCCAATTGGCAACCCAATGTAGGGTAGGCCTTTATTCAGCTGTCGAATGACAGAGGGCAGTTAATGAATCGGAGGTGCCAGTACACTTGCTCGCAGCATCAATGACAGCCGAAACGTTGAAGCGTGCAGCCCTTGGTGTGTGCCTCCGAGTCACTGTTAAAGCATAATGTGTGGCGTGGCTAATGGTGTGTATTTGTGGGAGATGTCTCCAGGTGACAATCATTTCCATAGCGGCGGCAATAGGTAATAGGTGTCACGGGATTATTCGATTCCTCCGAGCCAGAGTTGTCACCGTGATTTTAATTTATTTATTTTGGTAAAGCCGACAGCGGCGCCCTAACTAGTTCATTAAGGCATATCGATACGTGTTTTAAATGTTTCTATAACAATAGCAGCGGCATGTAATTGTGTCCGCCGCTTACCGCAGCGTTTTGAATTGTTGGAGGGGTATATTTCAGAAACAGTTTGACAGCCGCACGGCAATTTGTGAAGGAGGCCACGACAATGTTTGCAGTAATTGGATTCGAAAGCTTTGATGACAATGTCCCTGGTGGTGTGATTTCTGGTGGGGGGGGGGGAAGCTCAGTATGTGTTCTCATACACAACACCGAGGAAAGTTTGACCTCACATTTCGGAATTGTCGAAACTTAAGGTGAAAGCCATTAAAATGAGACTGCTCAGCGTACACCTTCAGCCCCAAACCTGAACCGGACGATGAATTGTCGCAATTGTTGTGCCCCAATTTGATCGAGGAATGGATTTTTTTTGTCTCGTTCCATCAAATCATAATTTTCACCACACAGTGAATGTTTTTCGCGAGCGCAGCGATTGATTTTTACCACCCAATAATTTCGTGCCGAACGCACGCGCCGCCCTCGCACGAACGTACGTAGCTACTAGATTTGAAGCTTTCGTGACTGCAAGGATTCATATTCTTAGGTTTTTTCGGTAAAGTCACGTAGGTAAAACATCAAAATTAATTATTTTATTTAATTATATTATTTTATTATATATATTTTTTAATTTTGATGTTTTACCTACGTGACTTTACCGAAAAAACCTAAGAATATGTACGTAGCTACGTGTGTTGCTCCTCTCGTGTAGAGCACGTTGGCCTAAGTTACGCATATTTCTGTGTGGAATTTCGATTAAACTGGTTCCAAATAATGTTTTGCTGTCGAACCTCTGCACACCACCGCCACGTAAAATAGCCGAAAAATGGCCTCTTGTCAAAACTGTCGAACGCATGTGGCCTCATTTACAGTCGATCACAGAGACTTTAATTTGTTAATGCGTAACAAGTCGTGGTCACGCTGGCCGATAAACAACATTGTTCGTGAGTTGCAAACCCAAACTGTTTTCCGAAGCGTTACAAATCAACGTTAAAATGGCGAAATGTTTACAGATCTTGGTCAGTCCACAGCTGAATGAAGGCCTCCCCATGCCATGTCAGTCAAGGGGGTGTTACTTGACCATACCTCACCACGCCGATCAGCACGGGTTTTGGTTGGGGGGACTAGTTCAGAAATCACTCATCGCCGCCGTTCACCATGGTCGGGAGTGAAGCTCTCTGCCACCGCTACAAGGACGGAGAGATTTGAACGTAAAAATTTAGTTCAAATCCAATTATTCACATTACTTATTTGAGCTATTGTGCAGATGCTACGTGAGTTATCATATGTCATCACAAGATTGCGAGACATGGCGATGGTTTGGGGAAGGCCTCATCCAGCAGTGGATTGATCATGGCTGATGATGCTGAATGCTGATTTGAGCGTGGAAACAATTCGAATTTTTCTGAGTTTGGACAACTTTTTCACCTTTATATGCTTCTACCCACCCAACCTCTCGCCGTTCAGATCACATATTTTGAAAGTTTAAGGATCACAGCAGCTGATCGGAACGGCCAATCAGAGGACAGCGTCTCACTCCCAGCATGCACTGTGCGCATGGTGGTGATTGGGGACGACAGAACAGTGGCCCAGCTTGCTCGTGAATACCATGCCCTCAGGTACCGTTCTGTTTATCAACACAGCATCCAGATGCCTCGTAAACTTTGACTTAAAAATAAAACGTAATAAAATAATTCTCACGACGTTTCGGCCACAACGCAAGCAGAAGAACATGTCTGTCGATAAGACAGAGTCTGAATGACACGTCCTAGGCTTGGAGCGTCTATTTAAGCTGTGAGGGAGGCGGAAGAGCGCCTTGACAAAATAATTTGCATATGAAGAGGAATTTAGCATATTTATGGGAAATGCAGGAATGCGACTAGTGCTACTTGTGAAATGCGTAGGAGGTGGGCGGGGGTTTTCAAAGTCATATTATGCCCATGCATTATGCAGGATTAGCAGCATCAAAGGGAGGGGGTAGGGGTAGCATTAATAAAGGAAAGGAATGTTAATAGTATGTAGCTGCAGTAACTAAACAACCACGTAAAAAGCTAAAGTATAAACTACATAGTATCATCAGTATGCTAAATATACTCTCAATAAGCTGAGCTACTAACCGGAAGTAATACATTACAATTCTAGGTCGCAAAAAATATAATATGCTTCCAGCTAGACTTTTTAAACTTTTTCCTTACATCACACGGGTCTATCCCGTACTATATGCTGCTAATCCTGCATAATGCATGGGCATAATATGACTTTGAAAACCCCCCGCCCACCTCCTACGCATTTCACAAGTAGCACTAGTCGCATTCCTGCATTTCCCATAAATATGCTAAATTCCTCTTCATATGCAAATTCTTTTGTCAAGGCGCTCTTCCTCCTCCCTCCCAGCTTAAATAGACGCTCCAAGCCTAGGACGTGTCATTCAGACTCTGTCTTATCGACAGACATGTTCTTCACCTGAGGACGGCTGCTTGCGTTGTGACCGAAACGTCGTGAGAATTATTTTATTATGTTTTATTTTTATTATTTTATTACTTCCCTTCTACGTGACTTTACCGAAAGAACCAAGAAGATGAATCCCTGAAGTCACGAAAGCTTTAAATCGAAATTTGACTTAAAACTTTCGGGTCTGCAGGACTTCATGTTCAGCAATGCAATTGCAGCAGCAATGCCAATGCAGCAGCAATGCCAATGCAGCAGAAATGCAAGTGCAGCAAAGGGCCGCCAAGAAATCACTGCACCACCGCTCCACACACCACACTGCTGACCCGTCAGCCCATGCTGGTGGTGCTGCTGACACACTTGGGCTACGCCCATTTCCAAACCTTTATAAACAGTTTGCCTTTAGAGGCGAACCCCTTTTCTTGATGACGACCGCTTGTGTTGCGATCGAAACGTCGTGATATTTTTATTCACTTTATAATTATTCTTTTTTTCTATCTACGTGACTTTACCGAAATGACCAAGAATACAGATGCCTCGTGTTTAAACAGGTGGCTCAGCGGTAGAGCGAGCGGCTCGCAATCGAAAGGTTGTGAGTTAAACTTCTGGTTGGGGGTTTGCTCAGCTCATGATCTCTCCGGGGTCAATAAGGTTAGTACCACTTGGTGGGGAAATAAACAATGGATGTCCTATGGATGGTCTCATCTCTGCCATAGGAACGAGGAATTTCCACCACCGGCTCAGATCTACAAAGAGGAGATGAGCACTGCATCAGTGCTCATTTGAGGAGGAAATCACTTCAGCTTTTTTACGAAAAAAAATCTTAAAAGCAAAACTATAAACAGAACTCTGTCTCGACATACAAATAATAACATGCTTTCAGCTTTCCAGGCAAACATTAGAATGCTATCCAGCAGCATTAGCTTGCCATTTCTCTGGTCTCCTCACAGCACATGGAAAAAACCAGACTACTTTTCACAGCCATAACATCACTTCGCATAGGAGTTTCCAGACATGACCCACTGCCACTCTACCAACCTTGCACAGAGACCCATCATCCTCTTTGAAACGTATCTATGGATACAGGAGACGTTACACGGTATTGTTCAGTCCGAATACCCACTCGAAGTGTCGTCCTTGTGTGATTATTTTAAACGCCCTGCAGAAAGAAGGAGGGGAGGCAAATCAACTTGTGCAGTGCGGAACTCGAGCTGCGTTTGTTTTACATCCCAGTGCAGTGCGAGCCAACGACCTATCTCTCACCTTCTTCTCCAAAGCACAACGCCAAAAAGGTACCTCGACACCACAACCTGGGATTCAGTCACAAGGGGCATGCTTATGACCAGCTTCTACCGTCCAGCGCTGTTTTGTTTCCCTCATTGAGGGAAAAGCATGGGGCTGGCATGAGCGCCATGACACATCTTTCGTTGATTCGTGATTTGTTTTTGGGTTGGTTCTTCACAAGCACAATGCCAATGTGTTGTACTCCCATCCTCCATACGACACAGCCAGAAAAGTGTAACTGTTAACACGACAAGCACGTCACTTTCATAATGTGCGCGTTTGTAATTGATTACCTCCGATTAGCACAGTTGACTACGTACAGTGCGAAAGAAGTTCAACATACATACAGTTGCACCTAATTGTTAAATGTGTAATAAATTGGCACGATTGTTCGCGAAACAATATTTTTGTCGTTCAGCTGTGTCAGGTGGAGGAGAGTGTACAACACACATTTGGGGCGGCACTGTGGCGAGATGTTAACTATGCAGGAGGTTGTGAGTTAGTTCCTGACCCTGACGACTGTATATTATTTTAATTTTAATGTAAACTATTTAAAATGAACAATGTTTTTTATTTTACCAGGTAAGGTCCGCTTCTGAAAAAGAGCTATATGGCCATGTAGCTCTTTTTCTGGAGCGAACTGGCCACAAATGATAGCTCAACAAAATGGTTAATCACGTGAACACTTATGGCAACCAAATACTCATAACGCATGTTTCTAAACATGAACAGAAAAAACGGAGGACTCGGAGAAAAATTCACGTGACCACGGGGAGAGAAACATGCAAATTTCAAATATACAGCAGGCGTCAGAGTCGGGATCAAACCCACGACCTCCTGCATACCAAACGAGGACGTTATCATCTCGCCGACGCGGCACATGTGATCTGACCCAAAAAACTATTTGATGAAACATGTGCTTTCATCACGAAAACCTACGTTATGAATAATCCCGGCGACTCGTATCCAGCTGATGCGTTTTTTTGTCCCTTTTATCCTCACATCCAGGACGCTGCAGCGCCGGCTGTTGAGTTTGGAGACCGTCTGCGGGTGGGTCAGTTCCTGGGCAAAGCGGACGCATGGTACCGGCAGAATATTCAGCAGCTGGGACGCATCATGACCAACCTGCTGTCAATTCCGGTGTGTGGCGAGCGGTAATGTAGCGGTTAGCGCGCTGTGCTACGGACCCAGTGACCCGAAATTGATTCCTGCTCACTGCCAATACCAATGAGATTATCTGAACTGGTCATGGGCCTCCCCTAGGTCGACTCAGCCTAAAATGTAAACCTGGTGCGGTGTGTAAAAAAAAAGGTGGCTGGGCGTGGTGCTGGCCACCACCTCCTCGTGTACCGTGTCGGCCTTCATAGGTGCTAGCGAACAGCACTAACCCCAACGGTCTGATAAGGCTATATACGGGAGATCTTTGTCTTTTTGCACATTGTTGACTTCTCATATGTGCCGTGCGTGCATGAGCCCGGCATCTCAGCAATGTTGGTTCAGCGCTCTGACCCTTGACTCACCCAGCCACCTCCAATGCACCTTACGTATGTGCATGGCCATTTTTGTCAGTCCACTGCTGGATAAGGGCCTACTATGGGGTCGTGGGAATTATTTGAACGTACTTCAACTACGCTTGTCAGTACGGGTTTGTGTGAACGTGGGGAGCATAGATGTAGAGGCACAGAGGTACGGTACAACAATGGATGTTGCTGTACTGCTCTCTGCTACCTCCACCATGTATCCCAACAGCTGCCTGTAAAATGTTATGCATGTTTTTGGTTCTTTCGGTAAAGTCACGTAGAAGGGAAATAATAAAATAATAAAAATAAAACATAAAATACACTTCTCACGACGTTTCGGCCACAACGCAAGCAGCCGTCCTCAGGTGAAGAACAGGTCTGTCGGAAAGACAGCGTCTGATTGAAGGTTCATTGAAGGTTCATTCAGACGCTGTCTTTCCGACAGACCTGTTCTTCCCCTGAGGACGGCTGCTTGCATTGTGGCCGAAACGTCGTGAGAATTGTATTTTATTATGTTTTATTTTATTATTTCCCTTCTACGTGACTTTACCGAAAGAACCAAGAAGATGAATCCCTGCAGTCACGAAAGCTTTAAATCGAAATTTATGTTATGCATGGTGATCGCAATTCAAAGCACCGGCCATACTCAACCATGCTTAGCATCTGAGATATGACAATATCTGATGCATTCAAATGAAGTATAAAACCACATTTATATATATATTTTGTGTGCAGTCATTGGTGACTGGGCAGTGACCATCATGAAGACATTATAAGGTCGCCCTTATTACACACAATGTGTTTGCCACAAATAAACCACAGTACCTTGCTGATCTCGTGAAGGAGCATAAACCATCACGCGAACTCCGGTCATCCTTGCGGCTGCTTTTGGCTGGCCGTCGAACAAAGATGGCCACCACATGGCAAGCTCTCAGATGCACTTCTGTGGACATCTGGAACGTTCTTTCTTCCGATATTAGGAAGCCACTGGAGCTATGCACTTTCAAATCGAGATTGAAAACTCATTCCATTTGTGTGTAGTTTGTTGTCCTTCCCCCGCATCTCCGATTAGCATGGTTTGCTGTGTACGGTGTGAAAGAAGTTCGACATAAATACATTACGTTCCAGTCGTGCTACCACTGTGATGTCACTGGCTAAGATACAGAAAATGTATTCGGAACTAACAGAGCGAACATTGCATGTGATATTGGATCACGGGGCCCAAAGTGATGTCACCACTTGTGAATGCACTTAAAAAGGAGTCCGTTCCACCACAATTGGCACACTCATGGCCTGCACAAAGCATACATTGTCCAGTAATTACGCTGAGATTTTTTGATCTCAGAGGTGGAAGATGCAAAATTCAGTTTCATCGGTGATGCTTGGGCTGTGACAATCAACTCGCTCCACTTAACTTAATCTGAAGATCATGTTGGCTGCACGAATTTAAACACAAATCTTTTCAACGGTGCTGGCTCATAGTTTTGACACGGGCGTTAAGCCCTCTGGACTACCCAGCCTTCTCTACCAAGTATATATTACCCTGATAAGGCTAGTGAGCAGAGTTAGGTTTAAATGATTTTTTTTGACGGTGGGCTTCCTGTACAACTGTACAGCTTTAGCCATGCCCTTCGGCCTCTGTCCGTCGTTTATTGGTGTTTTACAAACATGTCCACTTAGGAAATGAGAAACAATCGCAAACTATTTAATACATCACGTGCCTCAATATGAATGAAGTTAAATAGTGAGTGTGAAAGCTTGGAGTGTTTTATTGGAACAATGTGCAACAATGCAGTTACCGAATTAAACAAAACATTTCTACCCTTTTTATTATTGCACTTATTTATTTTCTAAAAATTAGAATACATTACACTCCGCCATATTTCTATCGTTGCGCAGTGCTCAGCTTTGTCGTTCGGAGGGCTCATAGGCTAAGCCGACGCTGACCCGGGAGATTAAATTGTCGCCTGATGTTTGGATGTTGGCTGCCGCACCAAATGAGATATGCCAACCATGGCAATTTAATTGCATGCAACCTTTGTATGTGTGTGTACGTATGTACGTTGAGCTTCTTTTGCACCGTACGTAGCCAACCTTGCTCATCGGAGGTGCGGGGCAAGGACAACAAACTGAACACACGCTAAACAAATCTTTGCATGCAGCGTTCTCATTTTCTAATGATGGCGGCGGTATAATCTGTGATATTTCAGGCAGTGGCTCTTCTTCAGAGCACATAAACAGAGAGACCAGAGAGAGCTAGAGTGGACAATGAGGGTCGGATACTGCTCTTAACAGCAGTGGGGGTTTGTTGAGAATTACATTTAAGAAATAATTTCTTGATGAACAGTTTTTAAATAGGCAATAGGTATTCAAACTGTTCGATTGAATTTATGCAAGCGATTCTGAGGACCCTGTGACATCTTTCACAAGGATCGTTAGGTCCTGAGCATAATGACTCTCACTTTCCCACAGTGTTACGCAACGTGAATAATTCGGGTACAATGTTCTTCCTCTGTGGAACAGGAGAGGAAAAAACGTGATTAATCTTGGCAGATATTTATTCCAGTACTGGAACTGCATATGTGAAATTAATTGCCTACTTATTAAAGCAAATGCATTGATGCCAGAAATATGTCCTGATCTTCAAAGTCCAAATTACCTTCCATTTAAATTCCTCAGTTTGTTTTTCAAAGTTTGTCGAACTTCAGTTGAATAATATTAAAGAAATGTATTCATACTTGAAGTACATCAATGCATAAATGGAAGATGATAACGGAAACTGATATCGCAGCGTGAGCGATTCGCAAAGTTGCAAGTTTAAAAAAACCTGGTTGTGGGGGGGGGGTGGTTCAGCCCACCATCCCTCCGGGGTCATTAATATGAGTGTCCCTTTGTGGAGAGGTCAACAATGGCTGTCCTTTTTCGATTTAAAGCTTTCGTGACTGCAGGGATTCATCTTCTTGGTTCTTTCGGTAAAGTCACGTAGAATGGAAATAATAAAATAATAAAAATAAAACATTAAATAATTCTCACGACGTTTCGGCCACAACGCAAGCAGCCGTCCTCAGGTGGAGAGCAGGTCTTTACCGAAAGAACCAAGAAAATGGCTGTCCTATGGATAGCCTCACCCCTTCCATAAGAATTGAGGAATTCCCACGACTGGCACAGGGCTGAATCCAATGGCTGAACACCGACGTCTCAATGCTCACCCGAGCAGAAAGTCGTTTTCACTGTGACTATATTTGTCATCGTAATAATTGTCGCGTTGGCGACATTTTTACATGCCGTAGCTAGTAGCGCCGGCGCCTATCGCAACCCTGGCTACGATGGGCGCCAGCCCGTTGGGGGCTTGCCTCTCTCAGTGAGCAGCCCTGTCTCTCTCATGTGCAGAAGGGCTCCCCCGTGCAGACGTCGGGAAGAGACATGCTGATCACAGACATCATGTGCGACTACATGCGGATGGCTCACGTGGTCGCTCCTCTGCCCCTCTACTCAGCCAGGGTGAGAGTTAACCCGTTGATACAGCTGCCTGACTATCCCGAGCCTCTGTACCTCTGATAAGCACCGTTGGTTGTGTACAGATGCAAAATACACACATACACTCGTTCATTCCTACAACTCTCTCTCTCTCTCTGTCTTTCTGTCCAGCTGCATGTCCTTCGTTCTATATGTAAACTTTCAATTTACCTTTCTTAACACTCAATATGATGCACATAACCTGCACGCTGTGTTCCTGTTCCAGCCTATAACGAATACAAAGCGTGCGCCTCTCCACGCTAAATTTACGCACTTTTAGCCTTTATTCAGCAGTGTCCATTTTCCTGATAAGTGCATCATAGTGGGTAATAACACGCGGGACCATTACGAAGACTATTCACGTGACCTAACAGATGACTATATTCGCAGTTTGAAATGGCTTCCGGAGAACAAGGAGAGGAGGTGTTTGTCACTCAACTTGAAATCAGGGACTGCCAACGATCGCCTGGTGGGTCTTCGCCGAGTAAAAATTGCCACGTTTTTTTCTATTATTATCATTATCATCGCACCGTGTGCCTTTTTTTATTTTCCGGCGGTAAGTGCTTTAAACCCCGTAGCTGTCTGGCAATTTTTGTTGCAGAGAATCACCAAAAGTTTGTTGTTAATTGGCCATTAAAGACCGTGTGATATCGTGTGCAAAAGCAGGACATTGTATGCCGGTGTCATCGACAGAGCTGTAAGAGTGCAAAAGCAATATTCAAGCCCCATCGACTCTCAGCTTGGTTAAATAAAGAGCGTCAATCAATCTCTGGGGCAGAGTAGTGTCATGGTGATTAGCGTACTGCACTATAAACCCAGAACCTGAGTTTGATTCCAAACCGTGGCTAACATCAGTGGTAACTTAGAAAGTGCTGCTCATTAGCAAACAATTTCTTTTCATTATTCACATGACGTCATTACTATGTCGCTCCCAACATCACCGGTCTTTCAGGCTCGTACGTGTCCAACAAATTTGTCACACTGTTAACCTTTCATTTCCCATGCCATTGCGATTCCATCACTAGTTGATGCAATTGTTGGTAACTCAAAACTGAATTCGGTGTAAAGAAAACAAGCCTTTCACCTTGAACTTGGTTACCCATACAGTGAGGGAAAAAAGTATTTGATCCCCTGCTGATTTTGTACGTTTGCCCACTGACAAAGAAATGATCAGTCTATAATTTTAATGGTAGGTTTATTTGAACAGTCAGAGACAGAATAACAACAACAAAATCCAGAAAAACGCATGTCAAAATTTTTATAAATTGATTTGCATTTTAATGAGGGAAATTAGTTTTTGACCCCTCTCAATCAGAAAGATTTCTGGCTCCCAGGTGTCTTTTATACAGGTAAGGAGCTGAGATTAGGAGCACACTCTTAAAGGGAGTACTCCTAATCTCAGCTTATTACCTGTACAAGGATGTCAGGGACAAGATTGTAGACCTACACAAGGCTGAAATGGGCTACAAGACCATTGCCAAGCAGCTTGGTGAGAAGGTGACAACAGTTGGTGCGATTATTCGCAAATGGAAGAAACACAAAAGAACTGTCAATCTCCCTCGGCCTGGGGTTCCATGCAGGATCTCATCTCGTGGAGTTGCAATGATCATGAGAACGGTGAGGAATCAGCCCAGAACTACACGGGAGGATCTTGTCAATGATCTCAAGGCAGCTGAGACCATAGTCACCAAGAAAACAGTTGGTAACACACTACGCCGTGAAGGACTGAAATCCTGCAGCGCAAGGTCCCCCTGCTCAAGAAAGCACATATACATGCCCATCTGAAGTTTGCCAACGAACATCTAAATGATTCAGAGGACAACTGGGTGAAAGTGTTGTTGTCAGATGAGACCAAAATGGAGCTCTTTGGCATCAACTCAACTCGCAGTGTTTGGAGGAGGAGGAATGCTGCCTATGACCCCAAGAATACCATCCCCACCGTCAAACATGGAGGTGGAAACATTATGCTTTGGGGGTGTTTTTCTGCTAAGGGGACAGGACAACTTCACCGCATCAACGGGACGATGGACGGGGCCATGTACCGTCAAATCTTTAGTGAGAACCTCCTTCCCTCAACCAGGGCAATGAAAATGGGTCGTGGATGGATATTCCAGCATGACAATGACCCAAAACACACGGCCAAGGCAACAAAGGAGTGGCTCAAGAAGAAGCACATTAAGGTCCTGGAGTGGCCTAGCCAGTCTCCAGACCTTAATCCCATAGGAAATCTGTGGAGGGAGCTGAAGGTTCGAGTTGCCAAACGTCAGCCTCGAAACCTTAATGACTTGGAGAAGATCTGCAAAGAGGAGTGGGACAAAATCCCTCCTGAGATGTGTGCAAACCTGGTGGCCAACTACAAGAAACGTCTGACCTCTGTGATTGCCAACAAGAGTTTTGCCACCAAGTACTAAGTCATGTTTTGCAGAGGGGTCAAACACGTATTTCCCTCATTAAAATACAAATCAATTTAGAACATTTTTGACATGCGTTTTTCTGGATTTTTTTGTTATTATTCTGTCTCTCACTATTCAAATAAACCTACCATTAAAATTATAAACTGATCATTTCTTTGTTAGTGGGCAAACATACAACATCAGCAGGGGATCAAATACTTTTTTCCCTCACTGTATGGGGCAGGAAACAAGCGAGAACATGTTGATACCATATATTTCGCGCAGGGGGGTAGTGAGTGCACACACACATTGGAGAAACATTGTGAACAATTGATTTGCAATCTTTTTTTCGCAGCATTTGTTTTGTTTTTCATTCCAAAAAATCAGTTGGGGTGGACAGATAACATATTTGCTGGACTATGATGCATTTATAGTTTAGTGGATGGAGCCCAGTACCTAAAATTGATATTTGTTCTCACACTATTGCAGAAAAGCCGTGGCGAAAAAAGCATCAACCTTGTGCTCAGCAGAAATTCTCAGCTGCTGCAATGAAACACTTTTTTTGTATAGTGACTCATATTGCTGTAAATATCAGCTTCGATAGATTATATTTTTTTAATACTGTGCATGTACTAGGTGACGTTTCAGGCAATGGCCATATATAGAGAGGCCAGGTAGATCAAGTCGATAATAAGAGTTGAAGACTGCACTTTACACCATGGGGAACGATAAGAATTAAGTGTAAAAAAAATGTCAGTATATATGTTTGTATGTTGCTACTTTTTTCGCACCGTACGTAGCCAACCGTGCTAATCGGAGGTGCAATGAAAAGTAGTTTTTTCATTGGCATACCGTATGTAGCTATTGAGTAAAAGGCAACCCATCCGTAATGAATGGTATTACTAAATAACGAATTGGTATTAAAAGCTAAATGATCAAATCTTGCTGGCACATTGCACTATCGATAAAACTGCTGTAGGGAGGTAAAGAAACAAAAAAACAACAGAGCAAAATTCAAGTTTTATCACGTAGGCTTTGTGATTCAGTAATGGATACCCATTAGAATTTATATGCATACATTAACCCCCCCCCCCCCCACCTCTGGCCTTCGCACCTAATTGGCTCATAATTGACGAAATCACATTTATCTCTCTATTTAAGACCGAAACGGGAGGATGTATCCACAAATCTGGCTGTCACCTGATGATGCTAATTGTAATTACTGCCGAAACGTCGTACTCGAATTGTGAATGTTATGGGTTTACTCTCCAACACACCGGTGTGCTGTACCAGCAACGAATTGGCGTGTTTTTGTTTACGTGACAACCCTTACTAATTGGCTGTGTTATTCGGTGACAGGTTTATTTACGCGATCTAACCAAAAAAACCTCTATTATGGATAATATTCGTCACGAAAGCCTACTGCGTGTTACATGGGGTTATGGAAGCTCTTGAGATTAGCATAATCCGCTTAGCAATGCTGCACCAAATAACTTGTTCGATTATGAAATATCGTGTGTTATTACAAGCTGTTTATATTGTAGATAATTGTCATTGAGGACTTAAAGCTGGTAGAATTAACACCAAAAATAAAATGCAGGCCAAACGCATTTATCCATGCCTCATTTAACCATCACCAATCGAAAGTGCAACTTGCTTATTTTTCTTTTCTATGAACGTCAAATAAATTGAAGGAAGCTTACAAAGGCCAAAAAAAAATAATTGTCCACATAAATAAAAATATATGACAAGGAATTATTATTTTATATTAGATAATACGAAAGAATAGTCCATGCAAACTGCGCTATAGAAAGCCGAGATGATGATTATTCACGAGTTCAAAGTCCAAGGCTGACAGCATTCTACGTAAATACAGGTCAACTGTTGCAGGTCACAACAAAGTGATTGTCCTGTAATTACAAAGATCGCTTTTGTTGTTGTCTGTTGTAAGACGTGGTCATTGTGCGGCAGCGTCACGGCCAAATTGATCCTCCGACAGACCACTGGCCCTTGCTGTCACATACGTGTCGACATCCGAGAGCAATGCAAAGCGACTGGAAGAAAAAAATAACAACACGTGATATTCTGCAGAGCAAATTCCATACCGCAGTGAAATGCACGCAATTTGCATCACCATATGCCATTAAGAGACTTGTAGGAAAAACTAAAAACTCAAGTGTCGGAGTCGGCATATCTAGCATAGTGGCTGTACGCTAAGGACGCTTTGAAATAATATGCTGTGAAGAAGTGCCATTGCCCAAAGCATGCCATATAATATATAAGTATATTAACACATTCGTCTACAACACTGTGGCCTCAAAATAAAAATGTATATAAACGGCGACGTTTTGGGTAACGGCCCTTCTTCATAGCACGTTATATATGTGTGCGAGTTTTCTTTCAAGGCAGTGTCGTTGATGAGTGCGTGTTCAGTTTATTTAGTTGTGCACCACTGCCATTGTAGCGGCATCACGAAACATTCCGTTCAATAGTGGAGATGGTGCCCCGAGCGACATTTTACTTCTTGAGAGACATTTCCAAATCTATTCTCCGAATCAGAAACCTCAATTTATCTGGGAGAAATCCCATGAGCTGTGAAGCTCTTTTTCAGATGTCCAGTGGGGGCAGGTCAGAAAGTTACAACAACAAACAACACAACAACACGTGATAGGAGTGCAAAGTATAGGAAAGGTAAGAACTGTCAGAAACTCTGTTCTCATTCTAGGGTTCGCAGCTAAATAAATGTATATTTATAACGCATAGACCTTCAAACATAAAACCTCCATCGGCTGTTTCATTTGGTAGTTATAGCAACCTCAATAAAAGGGATTAAAGTTAAGTGAATGTAAGCGTGCGCACAGCGACTGTTATTATTCGAAGAAAGTTAAATTAAAATATTTCGTATCACTCCACCCACATGCTAAAAGTAATTGACTGAAGCCCACAGACGTCCTTGGTCTCTTGTTGCAGGGAGAGAAAAAACAATTCAATTCCTCCTTGAATGTGGTCGCGCTGGGAGTGGGACCCCTCTCTGTCTTTCAAGGGATAGACATTGCCCCCTAGTGTCCTATTCCCATTACTACACTCCAAATCTGTTTTTTTTCAGTACCCCTGAGCTCAGAAGCGCTTAAGTGCGGGTTTCGCCAATAACAAGCACACCGTTTCCGTGACAGACATAACACATGTGAGAGAAAAAGATGGATAATACTAATTTTAAAAAGGCAAGAGATGGTATAATTTCAAATGTATATGTTAAAAGTTTTAAATCAATTCAGGAAGAAGAAAAAAGTGCAAGATTATGCATAAAAAATAACAATACGGTAATGAACTCGTGGATTTGATAATTGCACTAAATGAATGAATAATTTTTTTATGTGCATGCGAATACATTTAAATACATTTCGGAGCCAATTTTAAGTCGGATCACGGCATATTCGAACGTAACTTTTCGTTGTGCTGAGGGTGGCCTGAAATAGCGCTGTTCACAATAAAAATCGCTGTTAAATTAATGATAATTACTTATTTATACAGGAATCCAGATTGAGATATTCAGGAGGGTCCTGCATCGGATGACTTTGAATTACCAAGTTTTCAGCCAATTAATGAGCGTTTACATATGCAAGATGATAGCACCTGGATAAATCCATTAGAGTTTTTTTTGGGTTAGATCGCGTAAATATAAAAATGTGTCTTTAAAACCCACCATCACCCGACACAGCCAACTAGTAAGGGTTGTCACGTAAACAGAACGTGGTCAATTCGTCACTAGTACAGCACACCGGTGTGTTGGAGAGCCAAGCCACAACATTTACAAACCTAGTACGACGTTTCGCCAGTAATTACAACTGGCTTCATCAGGCGACAGCCAGATTTGTGGAGAAGTCTCAACTGTTTGGTTCCTTATATAGAGACTTAGATATGTGTTAAACTCACCTGGAGAAAACCCACACGTGCGAGGTAGCAACACTCTATCCCATTACAGACGGCACAGATGATATTAGTCCACACTTGTTGTACCGCCAGCTGAATTGTGTTTCGTAGGCCTTCAGCGATAACTTTCTGCAGTTGGTAGTGCTGCTGCCCCATGTCACGACTACCGCCACTGTCACTCCGCTTGTCGCATGCGTAGCACAACAACGCCGCCTTGTCTTCCCTTGCAACAACTCCCTATTGAGGATGAGGCCGTGCGAAAAACACGATTCGAAGATGTTCTTGCTAATTTTGCAATGACAAAATCTCGAAAAGTTCATCTCCGGTGTTAATTTCTCTCTCACCTTATGAGAAAGAAAAACAATTGACATGACTCTGCCTCTTTGTATATACACGGTGCCTATCTTTGCTCTTTATATGAAAATATATTTATTCAAGAAGATATCTGGGTTATATTTTTTATCACGCAAAAAAATAGGGCCATTAGTTGTCGTAGGCCCTAGGCACAGTGCCTACAATGCCTACTGGTGGTACAGCAATGGGAAGGGGAGTTTCGCGACATCTGTGTGTGATCCACCAACCGTTGCTGCTGCCTCCACATTACTGGATTACATAATCTGGATATAAGCACACCGAATATAAGCACAGTTATACTGGTAGGAACCTCCTGGTTACACCAGCCCACAGGGGATTATTGTGTCCGTCCGTCCGTCGTGCAGGGAGGGGCTGGGTTGGGAGGGAGGGGCTGGGTGGGGAGAGTGGGGCTGGGTGGGGGGTGGGAGGGATGGGGCTGGGTGGGGAGGGGCTGGTCACCCCGTGGTGCCCTTATAAAACTCAACGTTTAACCGACTCACGCCGGCTTGTGCCCGCCCTCACAGTCGGGCATATTTGCGGAATACACCACGCCGCTGTTGACCCTGGCCATTGACCGAGCAACCCAACGTTCCTACCAGCTCCCTCCGCAGGAATGTGTTTCACACCTCGAGTGCAGCAGTTTTCCAATTGTAATAAGTAAATCATTTTTACTTCATTTACTTCAATCGCATGATGATTTGATTGTGATTATGTTTCTAGATAAGACTGTGCAAAGAAAAGCATCACTCCCCGATGAGAAAGAAGCCTTGCTATTCGAGATCCAATACACAAAGGTAACTATGAGGACCTCGCAAAAGGATATTCAAAACAATGCACGGTCCCCTATTTAAAAATTGCCCGGATCCCGTGTTAATGCTATTTTACAGCTTGATTAGAACACAAAATGCGATTTGATACGATATTGCTTTTTATATATGTTATTCATATACGTTAAAAATAATCGCATTCCCATCACTCATTCAGGACCACCAACAAAAATGTACGCCGTATGATGAAGATGTAGTTGCCTGCGGCCTATAATTTATGGCTGCGATGGATGAATAGTCTTGAAAACGACATTTCCCTTTAATGTCGAGAGGGATTTTTTTTTATTGCAGCACCAGTTCAGTTATCAGATATTAACTTTCCAGAACATATTGTATAGTACACTGTATTCTGTCATATCTTCTATAATCATAGAGTACATTGTAGTAGGTTTTTACCCTTTCAACTGGTACAAAACTGACACCTTTATACAAGGGATCAGGTTTGCAATAACCACAACACAAGCAGTCAAAATGCAAACAAAAAGAAACAACTCTGATAATGATAATGATATGCACTGTCCTTGAAGTTGATTGGTGCACACCCGAGACAGCTTTTCTTAGAACCTAGTCTCCATTGGTGTTGGACCAGATGACGCCAAAAGGCGTACAACTCAAAAATACTCTGATAGTGCACTGTTTTTGAGTTTCCACCATTGCAATATCCTATCACAGACCAATGATGTGTGCAGTATCAGAGATTTATCAACAAAGCAAGTGACGGTGTTTCTCAGAGGTGTCGTTAGCAATGGGAATGGTGATGTGTGGGTTCCGGGATTACCCGAAGAATGTTGAAACGTTTAAATGTTGTGCAGATGGCTCACTCTGAATTACTGTGCGCAGGTGCCCGTGTGCACGCCCATGTCTGCGATGCTCGTCAAGATGTCAAAGTTTCTCACTGCGATCAAGATAGAGGCCATCACTGCTGACGGCACAGGTGCAATTGCATCTTCATGTTGCAGGAAGAACTAGTAGGGATAGTCCGAGTGGCCTAGTGGACAGCGGCGAACACGGCTTGCCACCGAGACCATTTTGCATCGGGACTAACGGTGCAACTGTGGCATTCTATTCACAGTACTACACTACAGCATGCCAGTACCAAAGCCCATATCCAGAATTTGAAATTTAGCATTCATCGGTGAACAACATACAGGGTGGGCTGTTTGGAAGTGGTGAGAGGCGGGCCACGCTAGCGAGATGTGAACTGCCTCGATCCCGACCCTGACGCCTATTGTATATTTAGAGTTTGCATGTTCTCCCCGTGGTCGCATGCATTTTGTCTCCGAGTTCTCCCATTTTTCCCTGCACATTTAAAATCACGCGTTTAAGAGTATTTGGCTGCTATAAATTTCCACATGATAATCCATTTCGTTGAGCTATCATTTGAAGCCAGGTCGCTTCTGAAAAATATCTATATAGCTCAGCGGGCCTTACCTGGTAAAATAAAATAAAAATTTCGTTAAATAGTTTAATATATAGATACCCCACTGACTTATCATGACCCTCTTCATGCTCTTCTCAATATTGCCATTGAATATTTGGATGGCAATGGATCCATAACTTACAGAGGAAAGCGTTAAAAGATGTCGATTGAGATCAATGCGAGACGTGTTGGAGGCTTTGAAACAAAATATTACATTCCGTGTAATTTATCTTGTTTTGGTGGGGTGTCTATAAATGGATCACCATTTATATACTTACTGTGTCCTCCACAGGGTTAGGGGGGGGAGCAGTGGCACATCGGTAAGGTCACCGGCATAATTCACCGTTGCCGAATGTAAACATTCTAAAGCGGTGAAAGGAAAACGTTTTGGGAGGCAGCAGACGAGACAGGCAGGCGGCCACACAATCACTGGGTCAACCGAATGACCATTCACAAAGCACAGAGGCCGTGTCTCAAGAAGCCACGCGTGCACTCGCCCGTGCGCCTGCCTCTCTCTGCCTGTCGCTCCGACCTCACCTCACCTCACTCCCTACCACACGTCCATCCATCCGAGAAAAAAAAACATTCCTTTCTCTATACACCGATCACACCCCCCCCCCCCCCCGCTCAGTGCCTGCTTACGTCTCAATGCCTGCGAAACTCGCACTTATCTGGGTCTCTCCTGGCCACTGCCATCGACAACAACTCTCCACTCCTGCTGGATCAATCCAGGCTGCAAACTAATTTTCCTGGCCATAGTCTTTGCTTGTAAATCAACTCGTGCAGCTTTTTTTGACGTTCCTTTTGAAATTCAAACTTTACCATTACCTCTGTGTCATTTGTAGCATCTAAATATACAGCCCCTTTTGTAATTTCACTGCAGGATGGAGGGCCTCCCCATGCCATCATGTGATTTGTGGGGGGGAGTTATTTGACCATATTTCACCACGGTGGTCAGTGCGGGTGAAATGTGGTCAACCAATCCTCTTGACTGATACGGCACGGGGCAGCCTTCATCCAGGAGTGGATTCATATAGAGTTGGTAATTATTGTGATTATGGTTAGATAATGGAGCAGGCATTTGTTCATGTGGTTAGAATACTTAGCACACACAAATGGCTGCGTGTTAAAATCCTGGCTTCGAGTGAACTCTGCCTATCATCATCCTTCCTGCATTGATGCGGTACAGCACTCCGACGGGTTTTTGAAATGTACCATGTGTTGTTCGGCAATGATGTTTGACGTTTCACTCTACGTTCTGGGGAAATCTTAAAAATAATTCACCTCCTGAAGACTCGAACAGCACGTGGAGCAAAACGGTGGACAGCATGCCAAATAAAAATGCGGTACATCCCAAAAAAACACCTCAAAGTGCAAGATGCGTGCCAATTTTGTGGGAAATCATTGTTGGTTGTCCTACGTGGAGGCTTATCACCATGAATATGTGGAATTTATACCATTGGAATTTACACAATGAATGTGGGATGTACACCATTGGAATTTACACCGTGAATATATTGAATTTACACCATTGGGATTTACACCATTGGGATTTGCACCATGAATGTGGAATTTACAACATTAGCTCAGGGCCACCAACAGACAGCACCACCCTGTACTGTTATTTGAGCACAAGAGACACTTTGATTTATTTTTACTCTATTACACTGATATACCCAGGAACATTGCTTATCAATCTCAATGGATATCTAGCTCGTGCTGAATGATAATAATAATGAAATATCTGGGTCTTGCGTTGCAAATAGCCAATGACGTTTCGTGACCATTCTGACATTTACAATTTACCAGCGAAACGTCGTACTACTAAAATTGTAAATGTTGTGGATTTACTCTCCAACACGCCGGTGGGCTTAAGTAGTAATTGGCGCGTTTTGTTTAAGGGACAAACCTTACTGGTTGTGTCGGGTGGTGGAGGGTTATAACACATTTATACTTACGCGTTCTAACCCAAAAACCTTTATTATGAATATTGGTCACGAAAGCCTACGTGTTAAAGCCTTGTTGTATTCTGCCCCCTAGTGATAAGTATTCATACATAATTATATCGGAAAAATTCACAAACTGAATGCACTTTTAAGCAGAATTGGGCTATCCGATTATTTCAGTGGTCGATTGCCACCGATTATCGATTTCATTGCCCGACGAAATAAATAACATGACATTTAGAAGGATAAATGTGACAACCTGCGACGCCCCTTGTGCCGCTGGACGGTAGGTTATGAGCGGACTTTGTGACGTCATTGGTGCTGGGCGTGGCTTATAGGAGTTTCCCTCCTTCGGGAGGCAGAAGGTGCGGGTGGCTAGGCCTGAGTAATAGACTGCAAGAAGAGAGGTCGATTGCAACGTTTTTGTCGATTGACTCAAATTAACTCATCGTCCCAATTCTACTTTTATGCAGTTAGTAAAAAAAATGGAATACTGCAGATAAAATGTTCCCGGCTCATAGTGCTACCGTTTACAATTGCATACCATGTGATTTGGATTTGGCCACTTCGTGCGGGGGGGTGGCGGTGCAGGCGTGGGGGCAGAGGGCGTGAAAGTTTCTCATTGACAAGCATTAACGTCTGTGTGACATGTTGGCCGCATTGTGTGCAAACCGCCACTCACAACCCCGCCTTCTCATCCCCGTGTTGCAACTCGTCCCGTGTGAAGATGCCGGTGGCCTCACTGTGACGTTCATGGAAACGAGCAACGCAAAGGGCCGCCGTTCGAATGACAAGGTATCGAACAATGCCCATCAAATTAAGATAGTTTATTGTGTTACTTTAAATCTCAATCTACGCGAGTTCTGAGGGCTACACGTAACATTTTTCACAGCATCACACCAGAAAGTGCAATAAAGTGCTTGTGCAAGACATATAAGTGCAGCAACAATCGTTGTTACACTGGACCACACTCCTATGTCTGTGCTGCTCACCTTCGCCAATGCGCACCGATCATCAGCGTGGAGAAGAATGGTGACACAACGAATTAAAAAAAAACGAGAAAAGATAGGCAACTGAACGTCGCCATGTCAGGGCGAGAAAAATATATTACTAGGTCATTCTGCAATATGATTCTATTATAGGATTTTATACCAGTGGAAACATGTTCTGACGTATATCTAAACGACAATACCATAGGTGCAATATCATACATTTTAAAAGCCCACAAATAATATCTACTTAAGCAATTATAAAAGGGGATTGCCTGAAACGTCGCCTATTATATATTTATAATTTTGAGGCAGTGTCATTGACAAAGGTGTTTTTTTACGTATATTTGTGCTTGTACACCACTGCCAATGCAGCAGTGTTACGAAATAATTTGTAGATTTTAGCAAAGAAGACAACTTTGGCCTGACCCATCATGAGATCAGTTATAGTAGAGTCAAATCATCACTACGTTTGGTACTCACGCCATAGTCATAGTGCAAGGCTATCGCAAAGACACCGCTGGGTATAGTCTACGGTAGTTTCACAGTATGGGACGGTGTTGCTATGAGCTTTCCTAAGCAACTAATGTATTGTTATTATTGTCATCTTAATGCATACAGTGTTGTTCTACAATGTAAACGGTACCTGCAATATCTAACCCGGTGTTTTTCATTGCAAGGCCCACAGGCCACTAACGGCCCCTGGTGGCCTTTAGTGCGGCCCCTGATATGCTGCCCCCCACAATACATAAAGAGTGAAAACTCCCCCCCAACATCATCATCATCATCGTGCTGTCAAACCCCAATGGTTTCAAATGTGCGGCGGCCCTCACACTGCAGATGTCTTATCGGAAAAAAGTGCCCCCCCCCTCTGAAAATTAGTGAAGAACACTGCTCTAGTTATAAATTAGTGAAGAACACTGCTCTAGTTATAAATTAGTGAAGAACACTGCTCTAGTTATAAATTAGTGAAGAACACTGCTTTAGCTATGAATTAGTGAAGAACACGGCTTTAGTTATAAATTAGTGAAGAACACTGCTCTAGTTATACATTAGTGAAGAACACTGCTCTAGTTATACATTAGTGAAGAACACTGCTCTAGTTATACATTAGTGAAGAACACTGCTTTAGCTATGAATTAGTGAAGAACACTGCTCTAGTTATAAATTAGTGAAGAACACTGCTTTAGCTATGAATTAGTGAAGAACACTGCTTTAGCTATGAATTAGTGAAGGACACTGCTCTAGTTATACATTAGTGAAGAACACTGCTCTAGTTATAACTTAGTGAAGAACACTGCTTTAGCTATGAATTAGTGAAGAACACTGCTCTAGTTATAAATTAGTGAAGAACACTGCTCTAGTTATACATTAGTGAAGAACACTGCTCTAGTTATACATCAGTGAAGAACACTGCTCTAGTTATAACTTAGTGAAGATCACTGCTCTAGTTATACATTAGTGAAGATCACTGCTCTAGTTATAACTTAGTGAAGAACACTGCTCTAGTTATAACTTAGTGAAGAACACTGCTTTAGCTATGAATTAGTGAAGAACACTGCTCTAGTTATAAATTAGTGAAGAACACTGCTCTAGTTATACATTAGTGAAGAACACTGCTCTAGTTATACATTAGTGAAGATCACTGCTCTAGTTGTACATTAGTGAAGAACACTGTTCTAGTTATACATTAGTGAAGATCACTGCTCTAGTTATACATTAGTGAAGATCACTGCTCTAGTTATAAATTAGTGAAGAACACTGCTCTAGTTATACATTAGTGAAGAACACTGCTCTAGTTATACATTAGTGAAGATCACTGCTCTAGTTGTACATTAGTGAAGAACACTGTTCTAGTTATACATTAGTGAAGATCACTGCTCTAGTTATACATTAGTGAAGATCACTGCTCTAGTTATACATTAGTGAAGAACACTGCTCTAGTTATACATTAGTGAAGATCACTGCTCTAGTTATACATTAGTGAAGAACACTGTTCTAGTTATACATTAATGAAGAACACTGCTCTAGTTATACATCAGTGAAGATCACTGCTCTAGTTATACATTAGTGAAGAACACTGCTCTAGTTATACATTAGTGAAGAACACTGCTCTAGTTATACATTAGTGAAGAACACTGCTCTAGTTATACATTAGTGAAGATCACTGCTCTAGTTATACATTAGTGAAGAACGCTGCTCTAGTTATACATTAGTGAAGAACACTGCTCTAGTTATACATTAGTGAAGAACACTGCTCTAGTTATATATTAGTGAAGAACACTGTTCTAGTTATAAGTTAGTGAAGAACACTGCTCTAGTTATACATCAGTGAAGAACTCTGCTCTAGTTATACATTAGTGAAGAACACTGTTCTAGTTATACATTAGTGAAGATCACCGCTCTAGTTATACATTAGTGAAGAACTCTGCTCTGGTTATAAATCAGTGAAGAACACTGTTCTAGTTACACATTAGTGAAGAACACTGTTCTAGTTACACATTAGTGAAGAACACTGCCCTAGTTATACATTAGTGAAGAACACTGCTCTAGTTATACATTAGTGAAGAACACTGCTCTAGTTATACATTAGTGAAGAACACTGCTCTAGTTACACATTAGTGAAGAACACCGCTCTAGTTATACATTAGTGAAGAACACTGCTCTAGTTATACATTAGTGAAGAACACTGCTCTAGTTACACATTAGTGAAGAACACTGCTCTAGTTATACATTAGTGAAGAACACCGCTCTAGTTATACATTAGTGAAGAACACTGCTCTAGTTATACATTAGTGAAGAACACTGCTATAGTTATACATTAGTGAACAACACTGCTCTAGTTATACATTAGTGAAGATCACTGCTCTAGTTATACATTAGTGAAGATCACTGCTCTAGTTATACATTAGTGAAGAACACCGCTCTAGTTATACATTAGTGAAGAACACTGCTCTAGTTATACATTAGTGAAGAACACTGCTATAGTTATACATTAGTGAAGAACACTGCTCTAGTTATACATTAGTGAAGAACACTGCTCTAGCTATACATTAGTGAAGAACTCTGCTCTAGTTATACATTAGTGAAGAACACTGCTTTAGTTATACATTAGTGAAGAACACTGCTCTAGTTATACATTAGTGAAGAACACTGCTCTAGTTATTCATTAGTGAAGAACTCTGCTCTAGTTATACATTAGTGAAGAACACTGCTTTAGTTATACATTAGTGAAGAACACTGTTCTAGTTATACATTAGTGAAGAACACTGCTCTAGTTATACATTAGTGAAGATCACTGCTCTAGTTATACATTAGTGAAGAACACTGTTCTAGTTATACATTAGTGAAGAACACTGTTCTAGTTATACATTAGTGAAGATTACTGTTCTAGTTATACATTAGTGAAGATCACTTCTCTAGTTATAACTTAGTGAAGAACACTGCTCTAGTTATACATTAGTGAAGAACACTGCTCTAGTTATACATTAGTGAAGAACACTGCTCGAGTTATACATTAGTGAAGATCACTGCTCTAGTTATACATTAGTGAAGAACACTGCTTTAGTTATACATTAGTGAAGAACACTGCTCTAGTTATACATTAGTGAAGAACACTGCTCTAGTTATACATTAATGAAGAACACTGCTCTAGTTATACATTAGTGAAGAACACTGCTCTAGTTATACATTAGTGAAGATCACTGCTCTAGTTATACATTAGTGAAGAACACTGCTTTAGTTATACATTAGTGAAGAACACTGCTCTAGTTATACATTAGTGAAGAACACTGCTCTAGTTATACATTAGTGAAGAACACTGCTCTAGTTATACATTAGTGAAGAACTCTGCTCTAGCTATACATTAGTGAAGAACACTGCTCTTGTTATACATTAGTGAAGAACACTGCTCTAGCTACACATTAGTGAAGATCACTGCTCTAGTTATACATTAGTGAAGAACACTGCTCTAGTTATACATTAGTGAAGATCACTGCTCTAGTTATACCTTAATGAAGATCACTGCTCTAGTTATACATTAGTGAAGAACACTGCTCTAGTTATACATTCGTGGAGAACACTGTTCTAATCTTTCAATAACGTAGAACAGTATTTTCTCCCCAACACAAGTGTAACTACTGCGGGGAACCATTCCAGTTGAGTTCTTTGCCTCAGTAATGCAAACAGCCACATCGCGCCCGAGTTTCTTGGACGTTGATGATAAAAAATGTACTCCGAGACACACCCCCCTCCAGCTGTTTCATCCAGGTTATGGGACTTTCTAGCAAAGTATTGCGACTGCGTAACTCGTGCAATTTTTGAAGTAAGATAGCACTATTCTGTACTGCAGTGCATTATTCATGATTTAATTGAATGTTTTACAGTGGTTTTATCGTCTTTGGGAACAGCGAACAGAGCAAATTGTATGTTTCATGATTTATTAGAATGTTGTATAGTAATTGTATCGTCTTTGGAAATAGCGAACATAGCAAATTGTATTATGCGTTTTAACGCTCGTATGTGTTGTTTGTTTAATATTAGACACCTAATTCTAGATTTGAAGCTTTCGTGACTGCAAGGATTCATATTCTTAGGTAGTCACGTAGGTAAAAAATAATAATACAATATTTTTTTATTATTATTTTTTCCCTACGTGACTTTACCGAAATAAAATAATATTTTTTTTTACCTATGTGACTGTACCGAAAAAAACCTAAGAATTAGACACCTAACCTATGCATCCATTTAGAGCGCCGCTTACACTCACGATGATCCACGCGTCGAATCACGCGCGTGAGAATGGACTGCCCTACAGAGACGGCATTCACAATGTATGCACATCATGCGAAAGTGAGACGTTACATTCCGGTGAAACAGCGCAAGCAAATGTGTAAAGATGAGGCGGATAAAAACGAGACAGTGAAAGCGAGCGAGATAGAGAGAAAAAACCGAGACAAGAAAATATGAATAACAAAACGTACACTGCACACTCTTAAATCAAAGCATATCCATGAATTAGTGACGGGGGGGGGGGGTCTCGCTTGGTAGTCAATAATTATAAGCCAAGTGGGATGTAAAGATTTGGATGGTACGGATCTCCACACAGCCCGGAGAGCAATTTTCTGTAAAAAAAAATAATAATGTGATGATGATGATTATTGAAACGCTGTCTTTTGATAGATTCCGCAGACAATAGCGCGTGTGAGTTCGATCACATTTTCTGCTCCGGGGGATGGAAGATTCACAGCGTGCTTTGACGAAGGACCTACGTTTGAGAACATCAAGAGGTATGAGGCTAAAACAATAACTCCGATTGCCTTCCTCTCTTTTTGTTACACCAAGTGACAGTGATTCTAGATACCGCTGCTGCTGTGATATTATGTATTGATAACGTTTTCACGATAGCTTCAAAGTAACTTCTGATTATGTATTTGGGTGATAACATGGGTAAACAACAGCTTACTGCAGATTATTCTTACAGTCTATGTATATATCATATTAAGTTGCCTGCTTTCTGTGCAATCAGAATAGTTTAACTTACACAGGCTGTGTGGTAAAGCACAGCTTTTGTCAATGAACCGATGGATGAGGGCCTCTCTACAACATGCGGTAAAGCACAGCTTTTGTCAATGAACCGATGGATGAGGGCCTCTCTACAACATGCAGGTGGTGTAGGTTATTTGACCATACTTCACCACGCTGGTCAGTAAAAAAAGTTATAGCTTTCGCTGCAACCCTCCCCCCTCTGCTGCCTCACAATGTAGCTGCATAGCAGAGCCTATAACAGCTGTTATGCATTGCTGGTGAATCTATTGTTGACAGTTTGATCTACACGTTAATTAAACACGTTTCAAAGAATGCATTGATACACCGCGCTCACGCATTTTGCATACTGAGAATATTTTTTGTTTAAATATATTTTATTATAGCAACAGCTGGAAAGGATTGGCTTCCAAGTCTGAAGTTCAAAACTACAGTATTGCTCTTTGCAGGGTGGCCCGGATGTCTTGTGACCCCCATTTAATTATCCGAAACTTAATATTTTTAAAGTAAGGTTTATTTTAAAAACAGAAATTAATATGCAAAGAGGAAAATTTAAGGGGTAAATTAATTGGGGGGGAGGGGGGTGTCACAAGACATCTGGACCATCCCTGTGCATAAAAGCCAACTCAGTCCATCGTCATCTGACTATGGCAACCTGTTTGCCCGTGGTGACCGCACACCCAAGCTGTATCCAGGCTCACCCCGACTTGGCCTCTGACGTCTAATTAATTGGGCACATTCCAGGTGATTTGGTTATAGGCGCGTACAGTAATTTATTTCGGTGCAGTGACTCAATATGCAAATGCTTTTGTACTTCTTTGCAGAACTCAGTCTATAGATCGCAGAAAAAAAATTCTGAAAGTGAAAAATCTACAAGTCATCAGACAATTTCGATCCAGCAGATGATAATGAAATAATATTTTAACTTTTCATTTGAAATTCAAGTACACTGCATCCTGTAAGCATCAATGTTTTACAACAATACCATTAGTATGGATATTTTTGTATACAAATCCGAGTGCTAGACCTAGATAGATTGGTGCGGCATGAAACCACGAGGCACGGCAACGACTTGGGAATGCCTTCATCCAGCCGTGGATAGATCATGGATGATTATGGTGATGAAATTGGAGTGTTATAGTCAAGTAAAACATTTTTATTACATACGTAGGTGCCTTTCTAGCACAAACCTGCCACCCAAAAGCGCCATCATCACATTCATACACAACATAAGTAAAATGATCATGCATTCTTGTTGTGTATGGGTGTGTGTGTTACAGATGTGAGGTTACTCCATGTCCAAAGCCATCAAGTGCCGAGGAAATGCCGCACCACTTACTGATGGGCAATGCTCCAGCAAATCAGTTCACTCTGCCCATCAGAATCTTCTGCCCAGCGCTGTAAAAATCTGTGAAGTGAAAACAATTGTCCACATGCTGAAGCAATCTCCTCCTCGAGCTTACTGCATTCTGATATTTGAGATGGTTTAACGTAATTGAGTGTCACTGTGATTCCACTATCTGGCCGCTGTGTGGACGAGCACTAACAGGGGCCCATATAAGACCTTCAAATCCAAAATGCTTCCCTGGGCCGTTCCCTAGCACGACGAGTTACCCTGCTCTGCGTGATATTTGAATGGATACTTCGGCTCACGCGATACCAATATCATAACTGGCACAATTGGGGGGAAATTACCCCAAAAATGTATAACACAGTATTTAAATGTTAATGTACAAAACATCTGTTCTACAATGCACAATTTTTAGTCAATAGTATATAAAGCGATTGGGATGTTTACGTGAAAGGTGTCATGAAATAATTATGGTGCTGTTGATGATGATGGATATTTGCAAGCATCCGATAACATTCTGTAATTCCACCTCAAATGCAAACGTAGTTGTAGATTTACTGAAAAGTCACTGTGTATATAGCCAATGCCACACCTCCGTTAACATGAGCGCTGTACATAATTAGGGAGTAGTAATGTTTGCCATAGAAATAGGAAGAGGGATGCTATGAAGTGCCCTGAAATACAAAGAACCATAACACTGTTCTTTGCGTGGAGCTGTTTTTGTTTTACTGTTTTTATACCGTTTACTGCATTCTACATAACACAGTCAATTCGTAGATCCATTATTGTGGAATGTTTTGCTACTCTTTGTTGCCATTTTCGAGGCATGGAAACTGTTGTTAACGACATAACACGTAATAACTGACAGCCATTTGGTCACTCTTCTATCGTATGGAAAGGTGACATTTGCAGCACGTGTATATGGCGGTTATTAAGCCATTCGGTAGACTCTCTGGCGGCTTGGTTGGTGAATGCCGATGATATTGCCCGCGAATCGCTGGTGTAGGGGGCAATTCTGGGTCACGTGGTGATCCACGGTCTGGCTCTGGTGGCCACAGCAGTTACAATGCGGACTGTTCTTCATTTTTCCATCGATGAAGGTGACCGCTTCTGCCGTACCCTGTTCTGTAGTGATTTTGGGCTGACCATTGTTTCCTGGGTAGGAGTCGAACCCAGGACGTTACTGCGTGGGATCGGTAGCTCTTTGTCATTCCACTGCTGGATGAAGGTCTTCCGGTGCTGCATCATTCTTGGGAGATATCTGATCATACTTCACCATCCTGTGCTGTGTGGGTTGGTGAAGGGGGGCCATAAACAGTTCAGATATCACTCCCCACTGATGTTAGCCGTGGCATGGGAAATGAACTCAGGTCCAGGTTCTCACCCCAGTGTACTCACCACTGCACTACCATTACACCCTAACTCTATAAATAACTTTCCTTTTCCATGAGTTGCACAATCAGGGCACTGTGACCAGGTTACATTTCTGGACGAAGAATGTATTTGGTCATTCTCAGTCTTTAACCAAGTTAACTGTGCCCCCCAGTGAATAGACATAAGATTTCCATCATTGGCGTTTTACAAGTGGTGGTACGTTTCAAACATTGATATCCTAACTTTCTACGCACGCTCCTTCATCCACCCTGGCCGATCAGCGTGTTCAAGTATGGTCAAACAACTCCCCGTGACCAACATGGTGGATGCTGGACTAGAAATGAAAACTTATTTTGCGACTGCTTTTTATTACATTACAGGATTGCGAGAAATGGATGTGTTGAGTCCTTCATCCAGCGGTGGATTGATAAAGGGCTGTAAGTTATACTGTTTTAAGCTGGATATAAGCACACCTTATATAAGCAACGTGATCTCATTGGTGGGGGAGAAGGCAAACAGAAAAGTTCTGATACACAATGTTTTATGTATAAGCGCAGCTGGCCCTCGCTTCCGAGATGTATGCTAATATCCAGCATATACTGTATTATTGCAAAATAACTTTGTAATTGGCTGCATGGATTTGAATTGCTCCATGTGAAAGCTTACTGGCATTGGATACCTCTGAGTTAAGTGGCCTCGAAGCCCCCTTCCCCCCCCCAGGCAAAGTTTCTGGCAGACATTTGGCAAGTTAGCCATGCCAAGCTGAGTCATGCGTTTAATGACTGACAATTCGAACCTGGGATTTGATTTCAACCACAAAACCAATACGTGTACTGTATTTACGTTTATCTTCCAGCATCCACCTGGTATTGACATTTTCTTTGCGTGTATGGACCGTGTCCCTATGCCTAAGAAAATTACAGTGTATTTCTGTTGGAAAAAAAAACACTTTTGAAATGGGCCCCATGTTTTGCCCTATACTTTCAACATTTCTGTCAAAACATACACAATTCTGTTTCAAAGAAGATCCTACCATTGTCCCAAGTTCTAACCTGAGGATAACAGTCATTCTAAATGGAGGAGAAGCCTTGCCACAGTGGTTGGCACATTATACCATGAACTCGGCGACCTGGGTTTGATTTCTGGCCATGGCTAACATTAGTGGAGCATGATATCTGAATCATTCCGGACCTCCCCACTTCAACCCGCATTTACCATTGTGGAATATGGTCAAACAAGACCCATACCTGACACAAGCATATTATGGCATTGGATACCAGCGACTGATCACGTAAATCACATTAAACATATTTCCCCTTAAATTACTTGCGTAGCGTTGCAAAAGGTATCGTGAGAATGTCACTTGAACTATTTTTATTCAACCATTCCTAGCTTTTTAATTGGCTATTAAGTAGTTGTTGTTTTTCTGCTAATAATTGTATTGCACATGTCAAGCCATAGCCATGTTGGTCATCGGGGTTGATTGACTGCACCATAACAGACAGAGCAGGTTGGTGACGGGGAGAATTCGGGAGCGATACACGGATGCTTATCGCGGCCAGCAATGGAACTCAGGTCACCGAGTTCATAGGACAGTGCGATAACCACTGCGCTACTGCTCCACCCTCGATAAGTTGATGAATAACATTTATTACTTCCCTTCTACATGATAACTAGAGTTTGAGGACCACAATTTTCATGCTAGCCCTGCCGTTAGGATGTTATGGAGCTTTTGTTGTTAATAACTTCTGACATTGCCTTAAGTTTACTTGAAGATCTTAGGTAATGGTGATGCTGGCCCACTGGGGCTCTAATCAAAATACATTTTTGCCCCACACCCCATTCAATTAATGCACTCTTATTGATGTAATAGAAGAGATATAGACATGAGATAGAGATGAAATTGTGTGAGGGGAGAAAGATACAGACAAGGTGAGAGGGATCAATTGTTTTAATGCTGATTAGGATTTGAATTCAATGTTTGGTTCATCCTGATTTGTCCATGAATCCAGTGCCCCTTGAGCTCCATGGGGCCCCATGGATTTGCGTATACCTCGTATCACTATTGGTCCTTGGGATTCAACAAGGCTTTGGTGAGATAAAATAACCAAGCAAATATTAAGAAATGTGGGTAAATAAGCAACTCTTGATCAAAGTTGAGGACAAAATATTCGCGCTGTCAATTTCTGAACTTTGTTCATCTCACGGCGAGTGTTTCCGTTATTTAATTTGTAAATAATTAACTTTTTTTTATTCCGGTGGTTTGTCATGTTATACAGCAATTGGTGGTAATCAATAAACAAGCAGAATCTATCATATGAACCATTTCTGCATGAATAAAATATAAATTAAATTCACGAAAATAACTTTTTATTCCCTTTTTTTATAACATTGCAAGTTTCCGGGAGATGGTGGTGGCTTCGGGAGGCCTTCATCCAGCAGTGGAGTGACCACCGCTTATGATTATGACCGATATTCGTTTGAAGTACGCACTACAGTCAAACGTATGTCAGCAAATCCACACGTAAGGTGTTCTTAACCTGTTCTTCTTAATTTGTCAACACTGAACCTACTATACTACACTGAAATATCTGCATATGCATGCGTTGTTTGTGAAGGGTACGAAATGTGGCGTGGCGTTTGACAGCCCTCGCCAAGAGTGAACTCTGCAGAGGGCCTATTTCATGGGACCTCCGTTGCCAGTATCAAAATATAATAGGTTTTCCTCTTTTTTCTGGCAACAAAACAGGTGTTAAGATGTTAAAACACCAAACTGAAACCTTATGCAAGGAATCATGTCTGCATAAACCACATATACTTGTGGTGAAAATACAAACCAAAAACATGCTCTGGTAGTAATATGCATTGTCTTTGAAACTGACTGGTCCACACCAGAGACAGCTTTCTTTAGAGCCTAGTTTCAAACAGTGTTAGACCAGAGGACGCCAAAAGGCGAACAGCACAAAGACAATGCACTATCAGGACAATGAGAGCTGTCTCTGGTGTGGACCAATCAGTTTCAAAGATAATGTCAGAACATGTTTATTGTTTGTATTTTCACCACAAGTGGTTAATGCAGACATGATTCCTTGCAAAAGGTTTCAGTTTGGTGTATTGACATCTTAACACCTGTTTTGTTGCCAGAAAAAAAGGGAAACCCTATTCTTAGAGGGCCTATTTTTTATGTGCCTATGTTTAAAATGGGCACTGCTGAATCCTGAAAGAAATGCCACAGCGGCCAACTTACAATAGTATGACATGCGGTGCGCTACTTAACAATCATTCTTGAGGGCAGAATGAAAGGAGTTTAAGAAGCCGCCTCTTCCAAGAGTCTATATGGAAAAGTGCAATCTTGCACATGCTGTAATGCAACTGCTGGCGTGAGGGCCTCCTCTAGAGGGCGCGACAGAGAGGTCCATCGAGAGCAGTTCTTTTTAACCTGGGGTGCGAGACATGCCAGATTATTTTTAGGTCAATCATCGAAACACAAATTAATCACTGGCAGGTTCAATACAACTACTTTGTTCAATCAAACCTATGGATGTATTAACATTATACATTTGTTTTACCATTAAGAACCAAAGGGGGTGCAAGGCTGCAGTAAATAACCACTGCTCTCGAGGGTAACTTGGCCTACTCTATGACGCTCGTCAGATTTCCTGCAAGAGGCGGGGGTGCCAACACCTTATCCCACCGCGCGTGTTCTGCCAATCAAGTGTGGTGTACCTATTTATACTGCTGGGTGGATGGGCAGAAGTCGTGGCTGGAACCGCATTAAAACACATTCCTACGGAGGGAGCTGGTAGAAACGTTGGGTTGCTCGGTCAATGGCCAGGGTCAACGGCGGCGTGGTGTATTCCGCAAATATGCTCGACTGTGAGGGCGGGCACAAGCCGGCGTGAGTAGGTTAAACGTTGAGTTTTATAAGGACACCACGGGGTGACCAGCCGCTCCCCAGCCAGCCCCACCCCTCCTACCCCCCACCCAGCCCCCCCTCCCCACCCAGCCCTCCCCACTCAGGCCCTCCCCACCTAGCCCCTCCCCACCCTCCCCTCTCCACCCAGCCCGACCCCTCACATTTTTTGATGCACGACGGATGGACACAATAATCCCGTCGGCTGGTGGAACCAGGTGGTTCCTACCAGTAAAAAAATTTCAATACTGGAATCACGGTGTTGTTTGTTTGCCAAGAAAAGGCTTTTTGACTACCATTTACATATTAGATTTTGGACTATTTATAGTGTTGACCATTTCAACTTTCAAGAGAGCGAAACTTCTCTTAATCATCATCCCGATGCTTCTAATCATATTATCCACAGGACCCAATCGATCTACTCATGTTCCCTTTTATGGAAATAAAACATCCACTGGACCTCTTCATTCCCTCTCCCGCACCTCCGATTAACCGTGCTAATCGGTGGTGCAAACATGTTCACTGCGGAGTGAGATCGATACAATCAGCTCGTGTGCTCGTGCTAGATGGAGTCTTACATCACGAGAAAACTTAATCCAGCTGTTGCTTGATCATGGCTGATGCTAGTGATGTGTGGGTTCGAAGCATTTGCCATGAATACACCCAGAAGAGTAAGATACCTAAAAGACTCCAAATGAAAGATCATTAATGAAACTCAGCTGTACATTCCTTCAGCAATGAGGTCAGCCAAATGGGCTATGTTTAAAAACTACCAGTATTATATAGAAAAAAAGTCTAGGCATAATCTACAATGTGTACAACTTGCCCAGGCGCCGAGCTCTATGAAAACATGACTATTAAACAAAGTTTTATGTAAAACTTACAGCCGGAACGTACGTGCGCCGATGCTCAACATTCAACCAAATCTCACGGGGAAGAGTCCTATATAATTTCAACTTCTAACGCGCACAGTATTCACTCACCCTCGAAAAGAGAGCCTGACTCGGATGCATGACGAACAACAGGGAAGCGGTAAGGCAGCCACACGGTGAGCTGCCGCCCATAATTGCCCAAGCACTGCGGTCCTCTTTATATTAAGGCATTATTGGCGAATTAAAAAGCGTTTAAGAAGGAAACGTATTAAAACATCTAGAAAGAAAATACCTGAAAAGATATTTTAAAAAATGTGCAGTAACTATCTTCGTGTAAAACGAGACATTTTAAAATACAAATGAAGAGTCCATGAGCCACAATTGGTGTCTCGTGATTTTATTATACAGATATTTGTGGAACCACTGTTGAAGGCCCGCCTGCACCGTTTTCACGTACTTTAAGGGAAACATGTTAAATGTGGTTTGTGTGACCAGTCACTGGTTATCTGATGCCTTATACTGGTAGGAATCTCCTGGTTACACCAGCCCACAGGGGATTATTGTGTCCGTCGTGCAGGGAGGGGCTGGGTGGAGAGGGGAGGGGCTGGGTGGAGAGGGGAGGGGCTGGGTGGGGAGGGTGGGGCTGGGTGGGGAGGGGAGGGTGGGGAGGGGCTGGGTGGGGAGGGTGAGGAGGGGCTGGGTGGGGAGGGGCTGGTCACCCCGTGGTGCCCTTATAAAACTCAACGTTTAACCTACTCACGCCGGCTTGTGCCCGCCCTCACAGTCGGGCATATTTGCAGAGTACACCACGCCGCCGTTGACCCTGGCCATTGACCGAGCAATCCAATGTTCCTACCAGCTCCCTCCGCAGGAATGTGTTTGTTTGTATCAGGCATGGGAGGAACTTTTGACCAAACTTCACCCTGCTGGTCAGTACGGTTTGGTGGGAATTAAACTTCCTTCGGAGTGCGGTGCGATAAACTGCAGTGCCACCACCCCATCCCCTGCAGTGATATGAAAGAATACTGGCACCTTTTCCATTCCTACACTCCGACTTAAAACTTTCGTGACTGCAGGAATTCATATTATTGGTTCTTTCAGTAAAAGTCACGTAGATAGAAAATAAAAAATACATTGAAAATCATAAAAGCAAAAAAACCACGACGTTTCGATCGCAACACAAGCGGTCTTTATCAATGGGTTTTTTGCTTTCATTATTTTCAATTTATTTATATTTTTTAATTGTAATTTTATTTTCTATCTACGTAACATTGGTAGGTTCTAGGCAATTGTGAAAGTACCAGTCCTAGTATGTCCACAGAATAACCACTGATGACCAGCTATGCATACTTTAATAAGTTACCCTTTTGGCGTTATCTGGTCTGACATGGGTGAGAATAGACCCTAAAGAAGGCTGCCTTTGGTGAAGGCAAATTAGTTTCAAATACTGCCATATATTATCAGAGCATGTTTGTTTGCATTTTCACCACAAGTACGTGTGGTTAATGCAGGCATGATTCCTTGAAAAATGTTTCTATTTGGTGTTTGAACATCGTAACACCTGTTTTATTGCCAGAAAGGGTAAAACATATTCTTGTTTATGTTACCCTTTCATCACCATCATCAGCCATGCTCAATGGCTGGATGCAGCCCTCTTCAAGTCACTCCCGCGATGTTAGTAAATCCACCCATACGTCTGTACAAGAGATGAGATTATCGCTCCATCTCCTCGGCTGGACGTCCTCTCTGATGGGCAAATAAGCGATTGGGTTTTTCCCTTATTATGAATTAATGCACCTCACTAAAGCCAATGTCTCCATGCACATGTTTGAACAATCAATGGTACCGATTGGGTTGACGTGTTTGAAGTGTCTTCAGGTCACGAATCAGGTCAAACTATTCGACGAAGAAATCGAATGTTGACATTGATGGATACAGCTAACGCCAGTGGCTGGAGAGTTGGCTTGAGCACATGTCCACAAAGATGCGAATTTGAACTCTCCCACCCTTGGACACATCACTGGAGTCCTGTTCTCTCTCTTAAATTGCTATTTATAGAGCAATCGACGAATGTATGATATGACGTCCCACTGGTAATTACTGCACAGTATGCAGTATGTATTAAAGATATGATACAATTCTTAGATAAATGGTGTGGTGGTAATTCAACATTCCTAGGAAGTTATTGTCCACTCTGTGCTATGAAGGGATATTTCCTGAAACGTCGACTAAATATTTTGTATCTTGTTTTAAGGCAGTGTTATTGAATGTCTGGGGGTTGTTCGTGTGGGCTTTCGCGACCAGAATCATAATTCATTTTGGGACAGATCGCATACAATTAGTAGTACACTCTCCTCCATCCGACACAGCCAAAATATAGGTGTTTAACAGCCAAAATATGTTTATAAGTAAATAAATGTTAAGTTTAAACGCATTGTGGTTGAACGTGCGAACATGAACACAATAACATGTGTTATACTGCATTTCTATGGTCCCACACATCGAGTGAGATCACAATTGTTGGGTGCCACCCTTCCACCTGCGTTGACCAGCGTGGTGAAGTATGTCCAAATAACACGCTAGGCCAGGGGGGGGGGGCTCATCAAGCCGTGCATTGCAATAATGTACAGTAGTTGTAGATTTGAAGCTTTCGTGACTGCAAGGATTCATACTCTTAGGTTTTTTCGGTAAAGTCACGTAGGGGAAATAATAAAATAATAATAAAAAATTCTGTAATTTTTATTATTTTTCCTACGTGACTTTACCGAAAAAACCTAACAGAATGTACAGTAGCTTTGACAGTAATGTTGTTAGTGTTGGTTAAGTGTTAATAGAATGGCATGGTTACCACCATCACGCTTATGGCACGTGTACAATGAGCACACGTGTGTGCATGCGTGTTGTTAAGGGCACTTGCTCCAAGTCTGTTAAAGGCTTTTCACACATCTTACAATGAAACTTGCGAGTTCGTTTTTCCCTCACTTTGCCACTTAAATGTTCACAATTCCGTCGAAATTTACGTCAAAGGATAGAGATCCCTCCCCTCCGAGTGGCCCCATCCACACGAGGGGGGTAATGCGCCGATGCTTGGCGGCGGCGTCACCTCCAAACTTTCCACATCAACAACACCACAAAAAAACAAAACCACGTTTTAAAAAAAAAATCCCCGGGACGTGTCACACGTAAAATATCTTTCTTTCTTTCCTTACCCATTAAACCGAACCCAACCCAGCGCTTTAAATCTACCGAGCGGCGGATGTGTGTGGGGGTGACGTCGCCTCGCCGTGTTTACAAACAGCGCGGCCATGTCCGTGTTTATCCACCGTCTCTTCCCGCGCTTTCACCACCGACTTGCCTGCCTACCCCCCGCTCAACCACCACGCCGCTCACTTGAACATCAACAAACCGATTGCGAGCGGCGGTTACGATGGTGGTGGTGGCGTAAAGAAGCCGTGAGAAACGCCGCCACACGGGCGATAAGAGACAGACAGACACAGCAACACGTGGTGGCGCAGAGCGTTCAGGCATTGTGGGGGTAGCTCCGCGGCCATGTTACACGGGCTGGGCCCCACGCCGGCGGAACGCGCAATGCGGAGTGCGAATCCAGATTTACGGATCCGGAGCCGCGGTAGTTGAGCGCTCCCCCCTCCCCGCGCCTCCCTCCGCCACGCTTTGGAGTGGCGGGGCGGAGTAGGTGGGGGGAGGTCCCCGCGTGCCGCGATCCGCTCCGGAGTTGCGAGCTCCAGCGCCGCGTTTTGCCGGCCACCACCCACCCACCCCCCGGGTGTCGCCGCACACAAACGGTCCGAGACGTTTTGGGGCCTTGCAGCTCCTGGAGTCGACCTCCAGCCGCCTCGGTGGGGCGAGTCCGAGAGAGTTGACCCCCCACGGGCTCGAGAAGTCGATCTGCAGCGCTAAAGGCGATCTGCAGATCCGGAGAGGGGCAGGGAGGGGGGGAACCTGCAGCGCAAGCTTCGAACTATAGTCAACCTTCCACCCATCATCGACCTCCTCGAGCGATCCTCTCGCGTCAAACCTCCACCTTCGGTGCTTGAATCACACCCACCAAGATCTGGAGTTGACCACAAGGTGTGTGAAGTCAGCCTTACGTCCAGCAATACCAGTCAACCGCACTCAACACTATAGTCGACCTAGCATCAACTTACAGTCAACCTTCATACAGCATCAACCTTTCGGCTCGGCCTATATCCACCTTCGGACATCTACAACCTCCACATTCATCACCTCGACTCCACCACACCCAACAAACCTCCAGCATCGAACGACTGCTGGTGGTGTTGGTGTTGTTGGGAGACGGAGCACGCGGCCGCCTCGTGGAGGAGGGGTGGGGGGGTAGAGAGCCATGGCTGCACTGGACGCCCAAGAGCTGATGGACCGAGGTGCTCTCGCCCTGCTCGCCCTACGCTCGGCACCCTGCAGCCCGGCCCGTGCCTCGCCCTGGGGCGAGCAGGCTGACCTGGGTGACGACCACCATCATCATCATCAGCCCCTGGAGCCACCGCTTGCCCGGCTCGAAGGTCGCGGCGTGGACTACGTGGTGCGAAAGCGGATGGTGACGGTGGGCAGAGACTCGAGCCAGGGTGCCGTGGACGTGGACATGGGCAGGTCGAGCTTCATCTCGAGGGCGCACCTGGAGATCGCACTCGAAGGGACACACTTCATGCTGAGCTGCCTGGGAAAGAACGGCGTGTTCGTGGACGGCGTGTTCCAGCGACGGGGCGCGTCGGCCCTGCGCCTGCCCAAGACGTGAGATGTCTAACGCGCACCATCACTCAGCTACTAGTATTACTACTACTACTAGTACCCATCGTATACCACTTAACGCGATCACTTTAGCTTCTTTTCTGGACATTGTGGCTCATCGGAGTCATTCTGATGCGTCTACTACCTCCCTAATGCTCATAGCTCCTTAAACATTAGCAACTATTCTTAACCGCCAACTACTTGTGCCACACCTAAACCTTTACCACATATGCCTACATCCTCTAAACCCCTTAAAATAATCCTACATACCCCGACAGTATTACCCCGTAAACCTCCCTGTTTACCTCCTACCCAGTTTCACCGAGTCTCTGAATGTAGTCTGTCCACACCCCTTCCTCCTCACCAACAACAAGGAGCAGCAGCAGCAGCAGCAACCCACGTGTTTGTTGTGAACCATCAAGTGAAAGTTCCTCTTTGTTGCTGGCGGATAGTAGGAGTCACTAGTGTTGAGACTGCAGATTTAGAGGAGTGTCACCTTTTCTCTTGATTAAGTTATCTGGCCTTCCTCCCAACCCCACCCCCAACTCTTCACAACATCACAACAACCACCCACCCCCCTCCATTTCTGGGGTTCTTGAGCCGGAATTGTGTTTGGGGTTTCTGATCAAGAAGGCCAGGAGATGGCAGCACCTGCCATGGGAGTGGTGGTTGTCCACAGATGATTCAATGGATTGGCTCTTAGCCCTGTGGATTAAAGCAATCTGTGGGTCATCTCCGGACTTGTGTTTACATGCCAATCGTACATTGAATTGGCCTACATCAGGATTCCGGACCCTCCTTAAATATATGCGTGAGACTCGTTGAGTATTGTGAGTTGCATTCCAGGGTAAAGGGCATTATAAATCGATACTGTGCTGCCCTGAAGCAGTGTTTAGCAGTGAGTTTTCGTTTGTGTCAGGGAGGTTTGTGAGGGAAAGTGAGTGGCTCGTTTTTGTTGTTGTCTTTTTGGAATTGGTGTTTGCGTTTTCGGTGGGGATTTTGAGCTTTTTTTAAGTTGTGATTTCAGTGGGCTCTTGGCTACTATTTATTTTTAGTCGTGGCTTTGGGTGTTGGTTTTTTTGAAGTTATTGTTGGGTGGCTTTTGAAACAGGCGCCGAGTGATAAGCTCCACAAATCGCTTGGTGGGAGTGGTGCTTTGGTTCTTCTACATTGTTTTTGCATAAAGTTTGAGCACAAGTGAAGAAAGTTTTCCACATTTCATTTTTTTACGTGGTTTTAAGATTTTACAAATATTTGTCTGGAATTTTAGATTTCCTCTGATGGTGTTTGTGATTTCTTGGGGTTTTTACTTAATGACTCAATTGATTTACATTTTCACCTGTCGATAAATACACAATTGTTTTGTTTATTCGTTACGTGGCTGTGACATATATTTTTTTTGCGAGCTTGGAAATTTGCAGCATGGTTAAATTGCTTTTGGGAGTGTAGGTGGTAATTTTTTTCTTTGCTCTTTCACTTTATGTTATTCGAGTGAGGAAGTGAGTGATTATTTTGGGAAAAGGGTGGCCTTTTTTAAATGAGTGTTATGTGTGGGTTTTGAAATGCTTTGAGAGTGTTTTTCTTTTCATCTAGTGTTTTTAGTATTTTTATTGTTATATATATTTAGCACGTTTAAAGTGTTGCCAATGTATGTTGTTTTCCATTGGGTGGTGATTGAGAGTTGAGGTGAAGATTTAACATTTTCTTGTAGTGGATCGGTTTTTAATGAGGTGGAACAGTGTCAGAATAGAACCCGAAGACTTGAGTACCAGCCATGGCTAACATCAGTGGCAGGTGATATCTGAACTGATTCTGGGCTGCCACCATGGGAACGAATGGTCAAACGACTTCCAACATTGGATTATCAAAGGGATGTAAATTATTATAATTATTAGTTATTTGCATTTAAAAGTTGCGTGATTGTTTTGATGGGTATTTTGTCAATGGTATGGGGTACATTTTGGGAATGCATCTTTTTTTTCGTTTGTGATATATTTTGGACGCTTTAAGATGGGTTTGACCATGTTTAAGTGCTGCGAGTTATAATATTCAAATGGTTTTTGAATTAGGATCTATGTATTACCATTTTGGATCATTCCGGTTATTGCATTGCTTCCTTTTTAGATTGTGGTGTTTAGTTTGAATTTTAGATACTTTGAATGTTTTTTTTTTACAATTTTAAAATATTTTTTTCTGAAACTTTTCTTGGAAAGTTTAGAGAACTTCATCTGCCGTTCTATTTATGGGTAGGATCTGAATTGTTGCTATTTTCGTGGCCCGTCTTTCTCCCAGACAATGCACCGATTAAAGTGTGTTTGTCTCAATCATGGTTATACATTTAAATTTTGGTCAGGTTTGAATTGTCCCTTTATCACTCCATATTTGAGAAAATTCGTTCGCCATTGGGGGACACCAACAGTGATTGTCCTGTGGTGTAACTGGGACTTGCCATAGGAATGTGGAATTTCCATGACTGACTCAAGAGCCATCATCTGAGATTAATCTTGGTCCACGATTGTTTAAACAAATGCTAACTTTTCGTTTCAGAATTGTGGTTTATTTTCTCTTGAAAATCTTGGTTTATATTTTAAAGTTTTACTCGTTTGATCGTTTTGATTGTTCAACCTTCATTAAAAATTTTGGTTAAAAGATGTAGTACTTTTTTTCTTGTTGAATAATTATTTTGCATTTGAAATGTGCTGAATTTTTTGGAAAAGGTGACTTTCTAAAGAATGTTTTTGCTTGGGATATTTTTTTAATACTGTATTTTATCATCGCACATTTTCATTTACCTATATAGACATCAAATAGTTTATAATTTTAAAAAGTCTGCAAAAAAAGGTGGAAAATGGAATATTGTGCCATTTCTTTTTGTGCCCATACATTTCACATAGGAACGGTTACGTAATCTTTCATGAATAAATGTATGGACTGCAGGGAAATATATTTAGTGGGTATAGATATACGTACAATACTCTGCAATTAATGCGTGGAAGATTCTCCCAGAATGTTTGCTATGGATAGACGCCTCTGCTGAGCTGGGAGTAATTTTGCCCGAGCCAAAATTGTCGGGAAGTCGACACCTGACACAAGCGTCAAGAAAATAATGAAATTATAAAAGCAACATAAATTATCCCTGCAGGGATGTCGGTGCATGCTGTGCATTGCAATCATTGAATTGCATTCGTTGCTAAATTATTTTAAAATAAAATGGATCTGACATTGCATTTCGTGTTTTGCAAGGCTGACGTGCACATGGTGTGCCATTGTGTTCTGCGGGTCGCCATGATGGTTGGTCTGTGATGTGTATCGTGTTTGAAGGCTGTGTATTATTTAACGCGACTACTGTGCCTGGCTTAAGGCACCAGCAGTTAATGCTTTACTGAATGGTAATTACCTCTATCTATGTTTTCCTAATGCATGTATACATTTAAACACATTTCCCCTATATATGCTTACACCCATATCTGTGTGAATAAAATATAAACATTAGATTATCCTTGCAAGATTGTTGATGTCTGCATCTAGGTTATTTCAAAACTGTTATCCACCGTTAATGAATTGAAAATACTTATTTAAATCACGTGTAGTTGGAGGATTAGAATTCAAAAAATGTTTTTGGGATTGCTTGCGTAATAATAAATTGTTTTAGGTGTATCGAGGCAACATTGCCATTCATTGAACTACAGTTATTGGAGAGTTGGGAATGTTTATGTTGTTCATCGATAGACCTCACGATCTTGAGTAAGTTAATGGTGTGTTTGGCCACATTTTCCATCACCTTGGAGTTCAGTTGTGCCATATCTTAGAAGCCAAGCATGCATCATCCTGGCTAGCATCTGGATGGGAGACTGTCAGGGAAAGGTCAGTTTTATGTAGGTTCTGTTTCCTGCATAATTAGAGATCTCTCAAGACCCATCCTGGTCTTAGAAACATTTAAGTACTGGGACTATACCCAACTTCTTCGGAGGCTCTGAGTGAAATTAGAAAAGTCCACATTCCCCTGGCAGGGATCATCGTTTCAATATGATATCTGACAACCCTCCAAGGAGAGAATGCATCCGAGGGTGCAACCATTGCCAAGATGAAGCGATGAGATGAGTTAATGTGCAGGAGTGAGATGGATGGTAGCAGCACTGCTATCCCACTTGTAGCATTGAGGGAAGGTGACAGAGTGGGGAGGTGTTCATCAGTAGATAAACAATGTCAGATTATGACGACGACGACCATCCACAGTGGTATTTTAGTGCACCAGAGAGAAGTTAGGCTGAGTGGGCTCCTGACCAGGATTTTAAAATGTGCATCCTCAACAATTGTGAGTCGAGCATCCTCTCAGCATCTCGGGGCTAGATTTTCATGAACAGAATGAGCATAAAAACAATAATTGTTCCATCCACAATGTGACCCAGTAAAATAACCAATTGGACATTCTGCACATCTGGCTTAATTATAATTATTTAAGGGTTTCCTTGTTGCTTATTGAATTTTTGTTTACGTCAGATAGTGTTTTCTACATACATGTTGACCAATGCTTTATGTTTTGTGAGCTCTTCAAGAGCCCAACTTCATTCAAGTTTAATACTAACTTTAATTGTAAACAGCCTTGACATAAACCATAAGAGGGCTTTCCACACCTGGTGTTTGCGTCCCATGCACATTAGCATACCCTGTGTTTTGGTAAAGGCTTTTAGCGATGGTGGAACAATACTTTGACTATGGGAAGGCAGGGGGTGTGTGTCACACTTTTCTCCCCAGTGTGGAATGAGTTGCTAAGAAAACAGTTTCCAGTGAACTGTTGTTGTTGTTGAACATCGCAGTACCAGCCTTATGGGGGTGGCATTGCATCTATGGCTCTTGACCATGTTTATTTACGTTTACAAGTGCGTTCTGGTGCAGGAATCCTGTGCTATCTATGCAAAGCCGCGCTTGCTTGCTGAAGGCAAGCTGTCACATGTAGCTTCTGCAGTAACGTGTGTTGTTCACTGCCCTTCGAGGGGGATTGGCTGTGCAGTTGGCCACTCGTAGTGATGATTTGCTTTCGGCGTTCTCAGAATTGTACGCCTTTGCTTGTGGCTCAGGGGAGCCCAAGCTAATTGATTTGAGTACCTTCCCACGATACACTGCTGTTGTAAATGTTAGTGTCCACTCATACGCCAGACACTTATATAACCTCTGTTTTCATTACGGAGGTTATATAAGTGGGAGGGGCGGTGGACTCGGTCCCATTTGCTGCGTTGCCACTCATTGAAACTGGTTTGGAAAGGGGTTGCCTCAATTCAGCCGGTTTGGTGTTGCTGCACGAAAACAAGGAGTTGCACGTGGGCTGTTTGAACGGGTGTGCAGCTGCGGCTATCTCGGGACAGTCCTGCATCGGTGGTGCCAGGTTTATCCAGAAATGTCAATAAACAGCAAGTGCAGGAAACGTAAGCGTTAAAGAGGTCGGCCAAACGTCAACGTTAAAGAGGTCGGCCATGACTCTACTCGTCGTGTAAGTGTAGAGGAGTTGTTTTGAGGAAGACGAAGCTGTTGTACAGCCGTGAATCTCACAGGATGTTTTTAAAGGTTACTTTTGTACTTGCGGACTGCGATGCCACTTCTTGAAGGGAAGCTCAACCAAAGGGAAGTGAAACACGTGCTGTAGCTCTCGTTACTATACACCTAGGATGTGTGTCTTCGTCTGTCCAGCACACGTTTACAACTTTGTGAATTAGAAAGTAAACTTTCAAGTTGTGGTCATCCGTGCCATTATGGCACTCGAGTGACATCACTTGGATGTGCCTCTGATGCATATTAATGTCACATCAATGCAGGCAAATTTTAATGTATTTTAACCAAGTAAACTTTATACCCTTGTATGGTAATGAATGTGAAACCCTAATGGTGTGGAACAATCACGTGTGTGTTTTGGTAGTATTTTTGTTTTACGTTACTGTTACATTCACAGTAGAGAGTAAAAGAGTGGCTCTCTTTCTTAAACAATTACTGGTTTCAGAAAGCTCACTGACAATCATCTCTCAACTTTGCTTTTGTGTTTTGTATATGAGAGGTGGTTAAGAGGTACTTTTCATAATTTTTATATTATTAATATTGACTTCCCAAAATGAGCTCGCCTGATAATATCCCAACTTGAATTGAAATGATTACTAATGCAGATTTGACCTTTTTTTGTTCAAATAAGAAGTTCGGAAAGTTTATGTAGGGGATGGTTTATTGCACTCGAGCAGTGACTCACTGGTGTTGAAATAAGGCCTTGGATGAAAAAATGTAATTGGTCTGGCTTTATTACAGTCAAATGCATCACCACCATGTGTGTGTTGATATTCCAAAGTCTTCTGAGAAACGTGGCAAAAAAACACAGTTATGCAGCGAAAGTATAATGTTACACGCATACTCCTAGATCTAGATAGTTGTTTACCAAGGTGAGCGTGTATATGATATTCGTAGTGAACATGACTGTCTTGGTCTTCTACGATTAAGGAGTTGACATGCCTTCTGGGGGTTATGGACAAGTCTGCTAAGTGAATTATTTCCTCCACATTACTTACTAGGATGTTTGCCTTGCACCTGACACAGCCCTGCTATAGATTGTTCTGATAAAGTTACTATTGTGCGATCCTACACTTGTTACTGTTTGCTTGTGAAGCACCAATCAGGAAAAGAGGTCCTCATTCCCCGTTTTTATTTCCCATTTCACAGGTTATTTGCATGTGTCCCGGTTGTATCAGTAACCACGTGTTCAACTTTGTCTCTGCTAGCAGCTCTTGAGTTTTTTTTCATCCAAAAGTTACATGTGCCAAAGAATAAAACGTTTAAGCGACCAGCCGGATGAATCACTCTTAAACATTCACAGCTGTAGTGAACATTAAGACACTCGGTGAAGGCTTGTGTGCCCATAGGCTTGGTTATGCGATTTCAGTGCTTATACTACACGCCACTGGTAAGACTTTTCCATCTCCGCTTCACGCAACACTCTTAAAAAAGATGAAAAATTTGCGTACATTACTTCACCAATACCAAGTCTCAATAATCTTTGGATTGGCAGGATAAGGGCTATCATGCGAAACCTGCTCATGCAGGGTTTGGATAGTTTTGAGAAGTTTGTTTATGCAATTGAAATCTGGTGTGGGTCACCAAATGATTGTAATCTCCAACACTGCTGTTTATCTTCTTCTTGGTTCTTTCGGTAAAGTCACGTAGAAGGGAAATAATAAAATAATAAAAATAAAACATAAAATAATTCTCACGACGTTTCGGCTGTTTATGTTTTCACATTTCTCTCTTTGTCCAATGTTTGCCATGTTTCGCAACAAATAAATTCTTAACGACCTGTTTAGGGACGAAGTGACCTGTCATTCAGTCACTGTCAGTGTTTGGAAATATCTGAAACAATATGATACATACCAATGCGATATGGCAAGGCAGCGAACCTGGAGTGTGGTACTTTTTAGCAATGTGCATTATTATGATTGCAATAAAACCCCAACCGCCTTGTTTTTACCCCAACCGCCAAACAGCCTTCCTCAATGATGCATTTATGTGCACGATTTTACCACCCGCTTTCATTGCTTCGATGAATTGTCACGATTCAGTGTTAACATAGATTAAAGAAATACTAAATCTTGACTTAAAGCTTTCGTGACTGCAGGAATTCATACTCTTTGGATCTTTCGGTAAAGTCACATAGATAGGTTCAAAATTATAAAATAAAAAAATCACGACATTTCGATCGCAACACAAGCAATCGTCTTCAGGTGAAAAAATACAGCAGGCAGACTGCTGAGGCAGGAAGAAATGCCTCAGCAGTCCGCCTGCTGTATTTTTTCACCTGAAGACGATTGCTTGTGTTGCGATCGAAACGTCGTGATTTTTTTTATTATTTTTCTATCTAAGTGACCTTACCGAAAGATCCAAAGAGTATGAAGAAATACTGATTATTGAATCATTCTTTTCGTATAAGGTTTTTATTTTTCATGTTGTGTCTATATAGTTTTTTCCACTCCCTTAACTGTGATATTACATGATAATTTATTTTGCATAAATCGTAAATTATTGATTTTCTATTCCATGTATCATGGAATAAGAATTATATACACAGCCTTGTAATGATAATTCCTCATAAATCACTGAGTGACTAAAAACCTTGACACAGGTTTTTGCAGTTGTGCGGTTTACTTCTCTGATGTGTTTTTTGGATGATGGGTTCGTGCCAAACAACACGTGGTGCAACCCGAAAAACTAATCGGAAAGACCACAAACTAGTTTTGTGAGGAGGGCATTGAGTGATTGCTGGGGCATCTCGTCACCTCCGCCTGCAAAATGCAAAGCCCTGAATTGACATTGATGCGCCCCTTATTTTGGGTTGCAGGTGTGTCCTTCGGTTTCCGAGCACAACCATCCGGCTGCGCTTCACCTCGTTGGTGTGGGAGACCAAGTCCCCAGAAGGCGTGAGCCTCGGTGGAGTTGGCGCCGGCGGCGCTGCCGTTGGAGACCGGCGCTCCCCGTCGCCCCCGCTACAGCCCCTGCACCCGGACATGTCCCCGCTCAAGCTGCACATCCCCGAACCCGGCCTGGACGTGCCGAGCCCCATGCCCTCACCCACGCACACAATCAGGTCCGCGGATACCTCGTACGCTCCGGTTCTTGCTTACGGCTCGGCTCAAGCTTGACTCTGACTTGGCTCTGACTCCAGTTGGCCGGCTCAAAGCCATGCTGAGCTTGAGCAAACTCTTGAGCACGGTTCCAGTCATGCTCAGGATCTGTATAAGCCAAGCCATGACTGAGCCGCTCGTACGTGACTGGAAGCAACTGAGCCGGCTCGAGCGTGAGTTGAGCCGGCTCGAGCGTGAGCTGAGCCGGCTCGAGCGTGAGTTGAGCCGGCTCGAGCGTGAGTTGAGCCGGCTCGAGCGTGAGCTGAGCCGGCTCGAGCGTGAGTTGAGCCGGCTCGAGCGTGAGCTGAGCCGGCTCGAGCGTGAGCTGAGCCGGCTCGAGCGTGAGCTGAGCCGGCTCGAGCGTGAGTTGAGCCGGTTCGAGCGTGAGCTGAGCCGGCTTGAGCGTGAGCTGAGCCGGCTCGAGCGTGGGTCAAGCCGGAGCTGAGCCGTGACTAAGAATACAGCTTTTGTAGAGACTTAGTTCTTCTTGGTATTTTTTGCCAACTCGTGTGGGGGTTTCTTCGCTTGGCCCCCTTTCTCCACTCATTCATGTCCTAGCCATGTGAATCTGTATTCTTTCAGAGATGCCTCGTAGTCTTAGATGTCGCAGCTGAAACAAGAGACAGGCATTCCCTTCAACTTATACAGCTAACATAATATCACCATAGCTAGCTTGATATGAAGGGGGAACACAACAAAAAAACATGGCTTCTCAATATTGCTAATACAAGGCTACTCTATATGAAGAAACATGTTACCTACCAACATAAACACTGAGACCAGACTGAAACCATCTCAGCCCGATCACCAATGACTTCACACAAATAAACCCGTCACATTATATGTGGTTATGCACTTAATTTGGCTCAATTCCAGGGCTAAGAATACGGAAAAAAAATGGGATTGCCTGTCAGTTGCATAACGGATGGGAAAGTGCCATCCTCTACTGTGTGAACGGTCGTCGCTTGAAGGGATCTCTGAGTTGGCGCTGATATCTGCTTCGGTGGGCCATTCTCTAACGAAGGAATGCGCTGCCATGTGAGAGAACCCAAATGGATACTTTGCCTCATGACATAATTGGGGGAAAAGGATGTTTGAAAAAAAAAAGAAGTTGACAAGCGGCGTCGCGTAGTGTGTAGACCGGGCTAACACAGGGCCATTGTGCGCGTGCCTGTGTGTTTGGGAGACAGCGCGGCCAACTCGTGCCCGGCCAGCCCTCGCGGGGCGGGCATGTCGGGCATGTTGGGCTGCCGCAACGCCCGCCTCACGCTCGCCGATCTACACTTGGCGGCGGAGTTTGCTCAGAACGCTGCCGAGAAAGAGGCGGAGCCCCTGGTGATCGTGGCCGAGACAAACTTGAACCCCAACCCACCGCCCGCCCCTACCGGGGAGGAGAACCGGCCCAAAGTGCAGGTAACGGCAGCGCACCCCCAACATCGGCAGCGCACCCCCGACATCGTTCAGCGTGCCCTTCACCACAATGTGGGGGTTTAGGGGGAAGACTGTCGTGCTGGCTGTCCGTGCTGCTCTCGTTTCAAATAATGTCCGTTTTACAACGGACACTTGAACTTTGGCAGTTGATTGCACTAACTGCTGGACTCTGGAAGGAATTGGACTTCAGGCTGTGTAAATTATCCCATTGGCTATGTGCGATGACCAGTGGTTCCCATCCTTTCTGGTCTCTGCCCTCAACATTTTCTCACAGACTGCCATGCACCACTGACTTATTTTGGAAAATGAAAACTACTGTAAAAGCTCAGTAAAATAATAGAAAGTTATAAAAAATATTGACTTGCCTTTTATTGATGAATATTAATAAGATGGCTGATGCTGATATTCGTGCAATGGCCAGGAAAATGAGAAAGATCATATTATCTGCCACGGTTCTGTGGATCCCTTTCCATGGCCCTGTGGTCCGCAGACCACCAGTTGGGAATTGTTGCAGTCGACTATACAGCCAAATGTTATCTTTATTTCTGTGTTCATTACTGACCTTTCATGAACATTAGTAGGAAGTACCCGGCTTTGTCTTCTCTTAAACAACATAACATGTACATACACAAATACTAAGCTATTATAAAAAAAATCCTGGCGTTTAATTTGTCCACCAACAAAATTACAAGAGCCTTACAGAAGGCCTGAATCAAAAAGTTATAGAAAGTGGGGGGTAAATAGTTGATCATAAAGGTTTCCAAAACTTGTTGACCCCTCCAAAAATGTTTTACCCACCTTTTGTAAGCATATATACCTTACATACAATAGATTCAGTAGTATCTAGTGATTCTACAGTAGTATATACTGACTCTACAGTAGTATCTACTGACTTTAGTAGTATCTACTGGCTATAGTATCTACTGACTATAGTAGTATCTACTGACTCTATTGTCGTATCTACTGACACTACAGCAGTATCTACTGACTACAGTAGTATCTACTGACTACAGTAGTATCTACTGACTCTATAGTAGCATCTGCTGACTCTACAGTAATATCTAAGGATTCTACAGTAGTATATACTGACTAGTAGTATCTAGTGACTGCAGTAGTATCTACTGGCTCTACAGTAGTAACTACTGACTACAGTGGTATCTACCGACTATAGTAGTATCTACCGACTCTATAGCAGATATCTACTGACTCGATAGCAGTATCTACTGACTCTATAGTAGTAACTGCACACATTGGGGTGGGGGAGGGACATCACGCTGTTCAGGATTTACCTCCGCATATGCTTCTGCAGCAGTAACTGTGCTTGATTGTTTTGATTTTTGGCATTTTTAACACGAAGAACCTTCCTCTCCGTCTCGGCAAGCTTGTTTGCGTTGCTAGGTGCAACTGCGAGTCGGCGTTCCGCGCATGTGCAGATGCGTGCTTTGGCGCACGTGCTCAAAGTTATCATTACGATCAGAGGACATTGTTACAAAGTGTTATTTTCTTAGTTTAGATTGGACCAAGGGCAAAAACAAAGAGCAAGTGTTCATTAGGGGGCTTAGTTTGTTGTATTTGTGTACTTTGTTGAAACGTTACAAGGATGGCGTACATACACACATGGGAAAAAAACTTTTATAGGAAAGATAATATTTTTATTTAGTTTCCTGCCCAATTGTTGGCAACACACTGCGCTGTGAGCCCAACGACCCGAGTTTGATTCTCAACCACGGCTAACATCCGTGGCGAGTGATCACTGAACCGGTCCTGGGTGGTTCCCTTGGCTAATCTATACTGACCAGTAGAGTGAAGTATGATCATTCAATCCCCCATAACTGACAGGCCTTCATCCAACAATGAATTGATTGATTAAGGGCCGTCATTTATTCTCTCACATGAATGCTATGTTCATTCTCTTCAACATTGCGCTCTTGTTAATCGTCAAAGCCTTAATTCTTTAATATATTCCATTATTAATGTCCTCATTGTCAAGACTGTCAATTGGCATGATTAATTTCATTATCAGCTCCATCATCTGCATCATTAACCTCAAGACAAAAATTATTGAACATTATCCATGGCGAGAAACAGCATTTGTATTGTTGTTCACATTGTCACATTATCTTTGCCTTGCGCAAGCCTGTCAGATTGCTCTGTGTTTTTATGTGAGTGTATGTACCTTACTTGTGCGCGCGTGTGCGTCTTAGACTGCACAGCTTGCCTTTGAGCAGGACGAGAGCAAGCCCCCCTACTCGTACGCGCAGCTCATCGTGCAGGCCATCACGTCGGCGGCCAGCAAGCAGCTCACGCTCAGCGGCATCTACGCCTACATCAGCAAACACTACCCGTACTACCGCGCCTCCGACAAGGGCTGGCAGGCACGACGGAACGCGCACCCCGCGGCTGCTTTAGCTTTTACCGCTCGCTTGCGTTATATATCGCAAACAGCCATTCACAAGGTTTACATCTCGACTTTTAAGAGGAAGCGGTGTGGTGATGGCATTTATCGTTAGTCAGGCCACCAATGCTGAGATATCCTAGGCTATTGCCAAAAAGGAAACCAATTTATAAATTTCATAGCATGATCATCTCAGCTCATGTTCCAATAATGATAGAAAAATAATTTCTTGACTTAGATTTTTGTGCTTAATTCACCAAACCCAGCTCTGAGGACTAAATTATGATGCTCGTCTTTTGGGTACTAGTTTTTGATTTTTATCACTGCGCAACTTTCTGGGAATTGCCAAATTAGTGTAACAAACTAGTCTTGAAGTATATACTGATTTGATTATCAAGAGTAAGCCCTCGTGTGCGTATCGGTGCAATTTTTACCTTTGATCAATTTCTCCGCAACTAATTTGAAAAATAAAAACATCTTTATAACAAGCATTTACCCAGGCCTCATTTTGAGAGCCGTTACTTATCTAATTTGCCTGTTGCACGCTTAAATAACGAATGCTGAATGAGGCGTTGTTCAAAGAAGCCTAAGTGGGATCCGCAAGCGCTCGGCTCTCCCTCACCCTTTTTTCTTCCAACAGAACTCGATCCGCCACAACCTGTCGCTGAACCGCTACTTCGTGAAGGTGCCCCGCTCGCAGGAGGACCCAGGCAAGGGCTCCTTCTGGCGCATCGACCCGGCGTCGGAGGGGAAGCTGGCGGAACAGGCGTACCGCAAGCGGCGCGCCCGTGGGGTGCCCTGCTTCCGGGCGCCCTTTGGTCTGCTCTCGTCACGGTGCGTGGCCTTCGACCCCGGCCTTCCGATCCTTTATTTATTTCATCGACGTGTTTTACTGTAACGTTCTTTATAATCTGGAGCTTAATCTAAGTGTCAGCATCCATGAAGTCGGCAATTGTTTACTCTTGACGGCATGCTCGCAACCGCCTTGGCTGTCGAATGCAGAGAAGTGAACCACATAAAACAGGGGCCCTGCCAGCACCTCATCATGTCACCCACGGCCACCGTCACTGTAATGTGGCCAATATGACAAATTGGGTTGCAGGTAGCGCATGGTAACCACATACTATCTCCTGTATAAAAGAGACCTGTGTTGAAACTGGCTCTCTTCTGCTTCTAATTAAGGTTCATCGATCGATGTAATTCATTAGTGTCGTAATGGATTGGCTAATATGCAAAATGTATTGAGCAGAAAAATTCAAGTCCTAATAATATGCATTCGAGTCTTTCTCTTACATTTTTAAGTACATCCCAGCCCCATTACCCCTATTGGGATTGCTCGGCATGCTGACTACTAGAATACTTTCTCCTTTGAAAACGAATTTCTTTAGAATTGATTTTTGTTTTAGTTTGTTGTCCTCCCGCCCCTCCGATTAGTATGGTTGGTTACATACGGTGGCGAAAAAGTTCAACAAACATACTCGGAAAGACAAAAGTCTAGATTGAGTGATGAGACCTGCATGTGTGTGTGGGGAGTGATGGTGCAGCGGTTAGCGCACTTCTGTACGAACCCGGACACCCGAGTTTGATCCCCGGTCACGGCCAACACCAGTGATGAATATCTGAACCGGTCCTGGGTCTCCCTATGTAAACTTAGCCTTAAATGAGTGCCTGCTGCAGTGTGTAAACATCGCCAATGGGGAGACGAAGGCGGTCAGCCGTGGTGCTGGCCACCCACCCCCTCGTGTGCCATGCCGGCCGACCTTCATAGGTCCTCATAAACAGCTCCTGCCCCAACAGTGTTAAGGCTACACGGGGGCTTTTTGTCTTTGTGTGCATACAGGAGCGCGCCCCCATCGCCGACTCACCGTGGCTCTCTGGCCGGGGTGGAGACCCCGGACTGCTTGTCCCGTGAGGGGTCTCCCACCCCCGCCGAGCACGAGGGCGTCTCCACTCACCACCCAACCCTGCCCACCCTCTCGGATGCACGCTACACACAGAGCGCGCCCGGTGAGCGTCGTGCACAGCACTTTGCTCTGTCTGCCGTGTTTCGTAAGTTGGGAGAGGTGGCGACGCACGGCTGTAATTTTGTGACTGAGGCAGAGTTGGTGAATCACATGGTGTAGATGTAGCCACATGAAAAAAATACTTCAAATGTTGGCTAAACATCCCAATTTTTGCGTGTTTATACATGTTAATATTTTTTTTTTAATAACATCTTATTTATTTATATGTATACTAGCAGAAGTACCCGGCGTTGCCCGGGTGAAAAATATATTTCTTAATAACCTTACATATATACACAGATGGGCTGCTACCCTGCCCCCCCCCCCCCCAGCCACGATCTCCTCGGCCGCTGTGCAGTAATATGTACGGCTTATAGTGTGGTGGGGTGTCGAGGCCTAGTACCGTGCAGAGCCTCCGGCCTCGCCTAAATTGCCCACCCGGCTGAGGCTGGGTACTGGGGCCGTTCCCCCCCCCCCCCCCCCCCCCCCCGCGCTACAATAATACTGTCTAATCGCTATAATTTTATTATCTACCGACCCTATAATAGTAATTGCACAGATTGGGGTGGGGGGGGAGTGAAGAGGACGTGAAACTTTGATGAATTTACCTCAGAGTCGCGTGTTAATGCGTGCGCATATTTTTAACGGAAATTAAAAATGGCGTCCACCCCGCAGCGAATGCGTCGCTACCCGTTGCCAGGGGCAACCGCGGTGGAAAACCAAACGGACCAATCGCGTCTCGCAAATCCCTCACATTTCGTCCAATGAAACTGCGTATGGTCCGGCGACACACAGACAGACACACACACAGACAGACAGACAGATTTGCGATTTTATATATATAGATATTAAGCTATAAAATAGTATAAATCGTCAGTGACGGTTCATAATGAAATTTATATTCACTGCAAAATATAATTTCTATTAAAAAGTATTTTAAGACATGGCGGTTGCGGTATCAGGGCTCTCACAAAGTTACATAAAAGGTTTCCTTTCTGCCGTAAATGAGAGCACAGTGAATACTGTTCCTCTAGCTTGTGTTGCTTACGAGAAGGTGGATGCTCTGGTGCAGCGTGTGAACATAATTTCTGGGGAGAGTTAAAGCCAGCCACGACTGGCCTCCTTTAACATTATTTCCCACAATAAATAGATGCTCCCTAACAATATGGCTAGACTTAAATTGTGTTGTCTTTTTTTGTCATTGGCAAAAGAAAATGTCAATTACTTTTAAAATTGTTTTCAACATCGGCTTTGCTATAACGTGCGGAACATATTAAACGTTCACGCTAGATATGCAATAGTGTGCGATTGTTATCAATGCTAAAATAACATAAGATAGAAGTCGATTAACCTTAATAATAGTATAGCCCACAGCTGATTGGCACACACGTGTATTTGTATAGCCCTTTTGCCAATGCACTGGTGGATGAGAGCCTCTCCACACCTTGCAGGTCACGGGGGTTATATGATCATACTTCACGATAGTAGTGTGTGTTGGTGAAGGTGTGGAGCATGCACATAGGAGTGTAGGAGTACAACACAACAATGGATTTTGCTGCACTGCTTTCTGCTGCCCACTATACAGCTATTTCATGATGCCTGAGACCAGCAAGCCAGCTACATGCAGCTATGTTGTGAATTTAATTGTCAAGCTTATAAGCGATCATGCGGGAATCCGATGTTACACTTGTTTGGTAACTGTCCTTGGCTAGTGGCAGATCTGTTGACTCTATACCGAACAAATTGTGACCGCGACTTTTTTTTTACCTTGTCAGGCTCTCCCGTGAGCAGCAGCCAGCCCATCCTGGTGAGCTTGCAGCACCAGCTGCCAGCGCTCATCCCCACCAAGCCTGGCACGTTCACGCTGGCGCCAGGAGGCACCTATACCATAGCGACGGCGGCCCCGCCAGGCCGCGCCGGTCAGACACTGGGCACCAGCGCTGGCAACCCCACACCCGTGGTGGTGCAGACGGTCACAGTTCTGCGGCCTGTGTCGTCGTTGGGCCCACTTGAGATGCGGGGTGGCCTGCCGCAACAGATGCAGGTTCAGACGGCGCAGGCGCAGCTGCAGACGATGCAAACAGTGCAGATGCAGCCGGTGCAGGTTCAGGTGCAAACCGCGCAAGTGCAATCGGTGCAAGCGCAAGCAATGCAGGCTATGCAGGCCCTGCAGGCGGGTCAGGCCCGGCAGATACAGGCGGCGCCCGTGCAGGCGACGCAGGTCCAAGCCGTGCAACTGCAAGCGGTGCAGCTGCAGCTGCAAGCGCAGCCTCCGTCCATCACCACGTCGAGCCCGACGCTAGGTGAGTTTGTGCTAAAGGAGTTGTGATGTATGTCGACGATTGCTGCACTTGAAATGGCCTTTGTGTAAAAAAAAATTAAATGGCTTGTGTGGTCAAACCAGGTTCTGTGGGTTTTTTTTGCAGTTGGTGAACTCATTGAGCCCATGAAGACACGCTCTTGCCATCTGATGACTTGTTATTTTCTAAGTTGGGTTAAATGTTTTGTTGCTCTGTTGTGTCAAACGTTCTTTAATAGAGTAATTATCCTATGTGCCACCAGATGGCGATGTTCATCATCATCATCCATGGGCAGATAGCCCATAGGTGTCCACTGCACATTTTGTGAAATGTTTCCACTTTCCTTTATCTTGTGCCAATATGTGATGGTAATGTTACAATTAGAATATAAACCGAAAAGAGTGCTGAATGAAATTCATGTGGGCAGGCGGTGGGTAGTGTACTAATTACATAATGAAATCCTACTGATTACGTTTCTCTCTCGTTTCAGCTGTAGCAAACCCATTGCAGCTTTTGGCTGCGCATGCGTCCGCCTCGGCCGCGCTTGGCACTAAACGCGCCGCCATCACGGAGAACATGGGCCACAAAAACGTGTCAGCTGAAGAGCCTGTTCAAAAGAGGCTCTGCGCAGCGTTGGGGAAGGAAGAGTCGGAAGATGACGGTGATGTGAGCAGCGACGGTGAGGGTGCCCCGCTTGTAATTGCAACTGGACCCGACGCGACGCATCACAGCAATGGGGTGGATTAAAAACACATTGGCCACATCCTGTTGTGGCTTTTCTGCTGTTTTAGGTCGGGCTTTGGTGATGCCCGTGTTATTTTGTTCCCGAATACATTTTATTGGCCAGAATGTGGTCCCACCCTGCCAATAAGACCTGCCACCGATGGAAGAAAAGATGTCACTGTTGTTGTCTCTGCAAGTTGAAGTAAATACATTTTGAGTCGCAAAAAGTAAGAAGAAAGAAGACAATGGAACACATGTTTGCTTATGGTCTTAAAGTCTCTCCCAGAACCATGAGGAAGTCAAGGAATGAGCTAAGTGTCAGAACTTAAAAGATTTATGCAATAAGAAAACATCAAGCAACGTCATATTCGTTCTGCCATCATTCGTGGCTGGCCAAGCAGCCAGAACTTTGGCCACGTCTTTAGAACCGGCAGTGGCTGTTACTGTCTGAAAAACTATAAACATTTCACCAAATACTGCTTTGGAATGGATAGGGATATTCCCTTCGTCTTAACCGCTCTTCTGTAAGGACACTGCTTTCTGCATTGTCACTGCTGGCCATGCCCGTGACATGATCACATACCCCACCCTAAAGGGGAGAGAAAAACTACACGTTGGGTTTGCATGGAAAAAGATAAATATTAAACTAACTGTTGCTTATTATAATCCTGTTTTGCTCGGATCCCTACGTATTGCTGGCTTGGTATAAATGGGCATCTGTAAGATGATCTTTCTCCAGAAAAAATCAGGTGAGCGAAGTTAGTGTGAGATTATTTTGCAAACGTTTTGTGCAAGGGAGTGTATCTCGAGTCTAATGAGTACTGCCTTTGGTAACATAGTAACGTAAGTCCAAAGGATGCCGAACTTCAAGTGTCGGTTGAAATTGAGTGGCGGTGGTGTCATTTATAAATCACAGTCGTGCGTACTCTTCTCACGGTACCGTTATTAGCCTCTTTGGTTGCATTACTCTACAAACAAACTTTGTCGGACATGTAGTAAAAAAATGTTTGTTGTTGCTGACAATGACTGGACTTAATCTCATATTTTGTTTAAGTAAACCTGAATCGGGGGGCTATGTGCCCGACATGTTAAGCGAATTTTTTTTTTATCGGATATAGTGTACGACTTTTGTCACTTGACCACAAGCATTTGTCCTTTACACTTTTCAAATATCAATTATCGTGCTGCAGCCGGAGATATTGTGCGCTGACAATTGCTATGTTTACTGTTGTGAATAAACAGAGGCTAATGGTAAAGAAACGCATACCGGTTAACTTAACACCTGTTTTTCATGGTTCGTACATTTCTACTGTATGGCTGAACGTTCATGCTTACAAAACGGATGTGCTTGCCTTTGGCACTAAAGCAAAGGATGTAGTTGTCAGCCCATTTCTAATTTTATTCGCCTATCTCTTGGTATTATTTTCTCTATCTACCTCCTTTTTATGTTTCTTAAAAGGTTTTATTTCATTTTTTTATTCGTATTACGATGCTTCCCATGTCTACATATATACGGTAATTTTTGTTATAATATCAATGCAGTATCACATGTTTATAGTGCGTGCAAATGAGAATTTAAATCATACTGACAATGGGCTGTGTGATGTGCGTATATGGATTTTTTGGTCATTAATTTGCATCGCTAATGAACCTTGAACAACAAGTAAATTGCTGCATTATGCTCATTAACCAGTGGTTGACATTTATGAACTGTACGATTGTTTTAGAGCCTTTAAAAAAAATTGTACTCTGTCCATATAATTTAAACAATCTGAAATACAGTAAAAGAAAAGTGAACATTTGTAACAGGTTTTGGCAGTGTTTTAATTCACCCTATTTTCCAGATGATTAAAGATTGCGCGCGTCTCGTGATACGTAAATACTTACAGCTAACCAAGTGTTGCTTTTCTATTTACGGGTGGGAGGTAATTTCAAATTGTTAGTGAAGCAACAAAAAAACACATAACCACCTTTGCTGTAAGTCTTTTGGGGATTTGATGGCCAAAGCCAGGGTTAAAGTAAACATTAACATCAATCTAAAGTAACAAAAGACAAACATGCGCTCATTCTATTAAGACGTGAGAAAGTATCTTGAAATTTACATTAAGCTGCGGAAGATTGATATAATCAGATATGCTACGTTTCGGGCATATATGTATACTGTGCAGGACATTTATGTAGATTCGTTTTTAGTTTTTTTTTTAAACAAGAGTTGTGTTTTCCATGGTGATATGGGCCAAATATTAAAACTAAGAACCAGAAGTTCTGCTTTTGGTAAAAGAACATTTACTTGGAACCTTTGTTTTCTATTTCGAATTGTTGGAATCTTGGTTCTTCTAGTAACCAGCATTAAAATGCCAAATTGCAGTGCCCTGGTTTTTACTGTTTTTGAGCAACAAAGCCATCTTGCATGTGGTATTTCTGAAGAATGTTTTAATGAATAAAAAAATGTAAACAAAACAGCAGGGTCGGCGGGGGCTTCCTGTAGAAAGGCAGAAAAAACATTTTTTTCTAATTTATGTGAATCCTACATGCGCAATATTTGCTGCAAATCTTGTGGAGCAATGTTTGGTACACATGAAATGTATTTTTTGGAAATGTTATTGCGTGCCGTAAGTTGAAAATCTGTCCAGTACAAACCTAAATATCGTACTATATCATCAAATTTGGAATTTCACACCGCTTACCGGAAGCCATACATCATAGCTAAACATTATTTGAGTAGGTTATGTAATGTTAATGAAAAACATTTAACTGAATTTTGTATTCAAGGCCCATGCTGTCAAAATTGATATATTTAGTTACATCATTGAGTGTTCAAACAGATATTTGAGGATAAATTATAAGAGATGTTGGGGATTAATATTTAAAAAAACATTGGCATCGTACACTACTAGATAGTAGTGTACTAGATAGTAAGTACACTACTAGATAAATGTAGAGCTTTAAAATAACAAAGCAAAATGCGTCTTGGGGTGCATCGACAATAGCTGCCATTGGTGACCAGTTCCCAACAAAGACTTTTAAGTGAACTTTGAATACACTTTTGGCAACTGTTCTTAGTATTTTATACTGAACTCGAAAATAACTTGTCACGCTTTTACGATGTGTGCATTCACATACATTTGTGTGGATATTAGTGATGTTCGCGGTATTGTGGGTTTTTTTTTATACTGTGATAATCACATGCAGTGGAAAGCCAATAAACAAAATTGTGTACATAAATGCTACTAAGAGTCCACAAGTGTGAGGGGGGTCCATACACTCAATAGGATATATTTTTAAATTGCCATTTGTAATGTTACGCTTTTGACTCGATCATGGGCTACATACGGAAATGTATTGTCTTTCCTCTGCCATCATTGGGATAACGAGTGTAATTCGGGATTTTAACAATTCACCCCTTTTTCCCTAATTCAGTTAAAAAAAATTGGTAGTCACTATGTGATTAAAAGAATTTATATTTTCCCCCATTGTGGTTCATGTATAATTTATAGTGGTAAAAAAATGTGTGAAAGGTAATTAACTTTTAAACACCATCCGATGTATTTATTGTAATATCACTTGTATCCCTAAAGTGCATTGTGTCATTCACATTGTCATTCAAGAATTCATGAGTATATGAAAGGTATATAACCCGAATAATGCTTGCTGAACTTGAGGGGTTTTTTTTACACTAAACACAGCCTCCACTTTAGATCATTTGCCTCAGTTGAACGAAGCATAAACACATTTGAATTGCATGCGCGTCAGTTGGCAGAATGTAATCCACACCGTTTGCGTGCCCATAACATCAATGTTGAGATTGGCTCAAAAGTTAGAATAAAATATTGTTTTGGTTTTGCAATCCATGGACATTTTTCTTTGGTGGCTGTACAAGGAAATTACATGCTTAGCATGACTATTAGTCTCGCTTTAGCATCAGCCAGACTATAGTTTACAGTTGATTGGCATTGTATTTAATATATTTCTATTTATAACTTTGCAAGGAATGCAATGTTAATTTCTTACCAACAATGGATAATTAACAAAGTCTGTGATTATCCACACTTATAATTGATATTCTAAATGGATCTATTGAGAACGACCGTTGAATTTCACAAAAACCGATACTCATTTTATTGATCTCAAATACATATTGCATCGGGTTGACTCCAATTGGGATTTTAACCTCATGCATTGATATGAACACTCAGTTGTGTAATAAAGGTGATTAAAACATTAAATTATCTGCCGCTGTCATAAGCCACACTCCAAATGTTTTAACTATTCAGCTTTTTTTTTACATAATTTAATTCGCTGATAACTGAATGTTTTGTTTTCTTATCAGAGGCAGTTGGTACATATTTACAATAATTTTAATCACAATTTATAATATGTATCAACAATAGCCAGTTGCATATTTCATCCCAATGTTATTGTTTACATTCAAGAAGTTACTATGGTTACTCGTGTTAAACACGAAAACATTTGAATTGCAATTACGCTCGTGCAAATTGGCAGAGTATACATCGCCAATGTTTAGGACACAGTTGGCAGCATACATTTATGGTAAGCAACACAAAGCTGACGATTGTTAACTGTCTTGCAGTATTTTAATTAAAGGACACCCCCATTCGCAGCAGTTTATCTCGTTCACCGCCATGGAGTAACGCATGGAATTCTTGAGACAAGTGCTGTGGCATTGCATGTAACCTCATGCAACAAGCAGAACGAGCGCAGCCTTTCCCATATCGTGCATGAATGGGACAATCGCACCCGAAGACTGGAAAGGGCATTTGGGCACGTGGCTTTCGGAGATCTTTTGTGATGGACCAATCGGCAAATACTTTTTATATTTCTTCAGAATGCATGCAATGTGCTTATTTCTCTATATTTATTTGTATACGTGTTGATTCGTGCATATGTATGCTTTGGTGTAAACTGCACCTGACCTGGCACAGGTTCCCTTGTGACGTCACCGTCGGTGGCGAAATGTGACTGTTGTTGTGTGGTGGTGGTTTGTGAACTGTGCTACAAACCCACCAACTTCAGTTTGATTTGCGGCCAAGGCTAACATCGGTAGCAATCGATATCTGAACCGGTGCTGGGCCTTGACTAGGTGTGGTGGGATGAACATCGGCACTGAAAAGACGAAAGCGGCTGCAAGCGTGGTGCTGGCCACACCACTACCTCGTACGTAATGTCGGCCTTTAACAGGTGGTCGCTAAAAGCACGCCTCGGAAATCGAGGCTTCTACCATCTCTTAAAACGCGCCTCAGCCAATACGTGCTGCACATTTAAAATGTGGAATTGTCGTGCAAGTGAAAGTTTCATAGTCGCTGCATATTGTTGTGGTGCTTAGGGGGAATGTCTATTTTCCCGGCACTTTGAGCACGAACGTGACATCATCTGATAAAGTATGGTATGCTATTCTGTTTTTCTCAACACATGCCCTTTTTTATAATTTGTGATGCTTTTTTGTACCCCAAACCTAAAATTATACATTTGTACATTACATTAAAAAATATATAAACTCACTTAAACCTCTCATTGGATCATTTTTACTCAATTTTTTATTAGGTGCTTTTAGGAAAAACATACCTTAAGTTACACACAATACACTTATTACTGTTGAAGTATTGTGTAATAATAGTTGATTAATGGTAAGTAGCAAAACATTAAAGTTATGTTCTTGCATTTTTATATTTTAAAACCTTAACAGATTTTTTTTAATTCCCTTTATTATGTGTATAAGAAATGTGCTTAGGTTTCTGCAGGCTCCGTGTAGTAGCATTAAAGTTTTATTTAAGATTATACCCAACTCGCCAGTAAGTTGTTCCCTCGTGTTTTTTTTCATATCTCATTGTCCTTAATGTACTTTGATCACAAACTATGATTACGTTCTAATTATGGGTATGCAATTGTGACTACTGCCTATAATAAGTTGCTGATGTAAGTTTTTGCGTCCCGATCCAAACACTTGTGATATCAGTCAAGCTGTTCTTGCTTTGGCTACATAGTTGAACTGTTTAGTTTTGACAACACTGGAGAAGACTCAAAATATTGGTACTAAATGTAATACCATTTGCAATTAAATTGGCTGAAATTTCTGCATAACACGAGCCTTGTTTAGTATAAAATTTCTGGATCCATGCCCACATGCAAAGAAAATTGCACTATGAACAACTATTGCTTTTACAAAATTGATACCTCAAACTGGCTGCTAAATATCTGACATGAAATCCAGTACTTTAGGAGTGGCCAGATGTCTGCACCACTGAAGTGGCTTGAAACTTCGTAACCACCCATGAATACATCAATCAGGTGCTCAAGTATAAGTACATTGATAATTATTAATTTCAGTCCAGTCATCAATTACTGCACACAAAATATCAAATTTGCTTTTGCACTTTGGCTTAATTCCAGGTCTGAGAATTCAACACTGGTTTGATTTGCATGCAACAATATCAGCAGAGAGTAGAGGAAAGTGTGACCTTTGTTGTTTAAAGGATAAAATGGCCACCTGAAGGATTTTATCTGGAGCATTGTGAAACACATCTAACGCAGATAATCCTTTACAAGGGGAAAACTGGCCTACATGATTTCCAAATGGATCTTTGGTCTCATCACATGCGGATAGCTCAATTGGAATAAATTGGCGGCGTGGGGGGGAGACTATAAAGTAATGCAATGCATATACTCATTAATATTAAGAACTGGTGGTAGGCACTCTTTAGAATAGTTTAATCCTACGCATTTGTATTGTGGATACATTCTTGCAAAAAAGGAACGTTCCAGTTCAAGCTTGTGCGTCCATCTATTAGCGATATTTGTTGGTAATATAACTACCATGCTCTGTTAAACACAAACCTTATAGTACTATTGCATGCTCATTCCTACATAGTGCATGTTAAGCAGGCAGCGTAACCCTTTAATGCATCATGTGGTAACCCGAATCATTTTGGCTTGTATTTTATTTTTTTCATTAATATTTAGTCGCATTTTGTTTGATATATTTATGGAGTTATCAATTGCTTATGCCTTTAGGTGTTGGTGCAATTTCCGGTGATAGTATCACTTCCTGTTGAGCGAATCACCTTCTTGGTTGTCATGGATGTATATAAATTGAGGGCTCGTGAAATGGGAAGTGGTGGTGGAAGAACTCAAGCTCATCGAGCCAAGGTCCTAAGCTGCATCCTGGGACATGTGGAGCTGCGTTTAAGAGTTGCATCGAGAGCTTCCGAGCCCGATTACGAGCCCTTGACCACTCCTGGTCGCCACTTGAATCACGTATTTTTACGTGTACGACAGTTTTAATTGGATGTTAATCTCTATGTGCTACGTCCTTTCTTAAATATGCTTTGTCCTCCTTTCATTTGGCTCTGTCCATGTTACTTCAGAACTTAGCATTGGACACTCCTTACAGTTGTATCAAATTGTTATAATGTCTTATGTACTTAATTTTCTGTCTCTCCCGGCTTCTCGTACCTATACTTTTCCCGAACAAAACATTCAGTCCGTTGTTTTCTCATTCAATGTCCAATAAATCTAATCTGCCTCCTCTCTAATTATTCTCATACATTTTCCTGTTGTACCTGTTATCTGTAATAGCTTCATGTTACTTGTCTTTTCTGCCCGTGTTATATACTTTACATCTTTAAAAAAAAAGTAATGTTGTTGGTTCTAGAAACATGTTTTTTTTACTAAATACAGATGTTAATGTTTCAGCATTTTACAATTCTCAGTAACTGATCTTGTATACATAACTAATAATTCATATTTTTTTAACTGGATTCCTGCCTTCACATGTATTCAAGCCACAGTTATCCGGGTATAAGAGGCCATATTCGGAGGAAATAGACAATCTCATGTGAACATACCATTCCATATTAATTGTTAGTGTTGCTCTTCAGAGATAAATAAACTATTGGGATGTTACATATATTTTTCAGAACAACTTTTTTTAAGTCTTGGCCGAGAAAAAATGGCATTGTTTAAAAAAAATTAAGAGCCTGATGCATGTATCAAGAAACCACATTTTCTACTAGTTTTCAGTAAAAAAAAAAAGGCCAATTTTAAGCAAATTATTGGCAGTAATTGTCTCTGCCAATGCATTGTGGAAGCCAAAACGTGTTTTGTCTCTAAAAATGTGAGCTTTGGTGTAAAGCTTGGTCTGTTCTACCTTCAGCTGAGCTTGAGTTGATTCACTGCCCCTATTTTCCTGTAACAATCTTGATATGCTCGGCACAATCCTGGAGCTCAAAGGAACTACCATTTTATCTGACTTTAGAATGTGAACTCTTGACTTGAGGCCAATTTTCCATAAAATATCTCAACAGATTTGGGTTAGGCTATGTAATGATACTGGCCAGATCATTGTGGCCTAACAAAAAATCAATTATGAACCAACATGCATTGACTTATTTTCTTTTGGTTCCATTAACTAAAGCTGTAATCTTCACACTTGTCCAAACTTGAAATGACTGGTATTAATTTTACTTAAATACTAAAAGAATCATAGGAGTGATTTGGTTTTAACTAGTCAATGTTTACAGACATGGGAATGTTGGTTCATGTAACAAAAAGTGAAAAACATTGGAAAAAAGATCAAACTTTTTATAAATACGACTTTGTTGTAATCTGTATTTTCATGTGGACATGTCTCAAAGAAACAGTGCCACTTACTCTGTCTTGTCATTATGGCTGGTACATAGCAGAGAGCCTTGTTTCTCAAAGTGAGTGGATGTCATGTTACATGTTGCTTTTAATCTCGTGCAGCAGAACTGGCAGATTCATAAATATAAATGTTAAAAATGTTGTTTCAATGTAATTTTAATGTAATGGAGATACTTAACATTTGGTGAAAAAAAATTACGTTATTGTTGAATGGCTTCTAAGTGAATGGAGTTTAAGTGTCACAGTGCATATTCATATTGGACTTTATTGAAGTTTACACGGCAAATGTTTGTCATGAGCCTGTTTTAACTCCACCTGCAGTGGTTCACCGTTTGCTAATAAAGTGAATTGGTAAAATGCTTAATGTTTTGGCAAAGTTTGCCATTATTATAAAGATGTGTAATGTTTTAATAGGAATTCATGTAAAATATACACGTCTGCAGAAATGAATTTACAACTGTGTATTGCAGTATAATTAAAAGAAAAAATATATATTTAACATGCGTTAATTCAATGAGCACTGCTTATTTTATATATTGTATTCTGTATAGAGCTGACAGATGTTAATGTATTCCAATATAGTAATTAGTGTCTCATTTTTTGGTAAATTGATTTCAAATAAAATAAGTTAACTAGTGATCTTTTTTCACTTTGAACTTTTTACCCGCTTACAATGCAGTGTGTGAATTAAGATGCCAAATTATGTGTATAAATAGGTAGACTCCTCATGTTTTTTTTTTAGTTTATAATAAACCTCATCATGTCACCTGTGTGCAGTTCATGTAGTGTGCATTCTGCCAAGGAGTCTGGACAGCACATTGTTGAATGGGAACTTCTTCCAATGTAGTTCACATTCTTATACGGTTATGTCGTACTCTGCTCTCTCTCTCTACAGTGACTGCATCGCAAGCGCGTGAATCTAAATTCAAGGTAAACCGAAGGAAAGCACCAAATGTAGCTACTCTGATGCAACGAGGAACACTGCTAATTTACATGGTGCAATTTAACAAATGGAAGTAACCCCTACGCAGTGCAGAATTACAGTAAAAGAATGTGATACTGGTAGGAACCTCCTGGTTACACCAGCCCACAGGGGATTATTGTGTCCGTCGTGCAGGGACGGGGCTGGGTGGGGAGGGAGGGGCTGGGTGGGTGGGAGGTGGGAGGCGTGGGGCTGGGTGGGGAGGGGTTGGTCACCCCGTGGTGCCCTTTTAAAACTCAACGTTTAACCTACTCACGCCGGCTTGTGCCCGCCCTCACAGTCGGCCATATTTACGGAATACACCACGCTGCCGTTGACCCTGGCCATTGACCGAGCAACCCAACGTTCCTACCAGCTCCCTCCGCAGGAATGTGTTAAAGTATGGGCACTATGCAAGAAGCTCAACTGACAGTGTGTGCAGACCATGATTTCCCACCTGAGGATGGACGCTTGTGTTGCGCCCGAAACGTGATTTATTTTATTCTATACCTATGTAGACTGTAGAGGTGTTACGGAGGGCAAACAAACACACTGGGCGTGGTTATGCCCGTACGCCAAGAGGTGCTTACATCCACGTCCGCACCGTTTAGCCTGGGGGGCTAACACAGCGCTGGAAACCCCCACGGCCCCACCCCTCAGTGGGGGAGTTGCTATATAAGGCGGTGAGCCGGAGGGCTCGGGGTTCAGTGTTCAGCCTTAACCAGCGAAGCAAAAAGACCTGCTAGATAGGCCCTGGAACTCCCCTGGATCGCTGTCCTTCTCAGGACCGACCAGGGCAAGCCAGTGGCATGGCCCCAAGAGCCCAGAGCCGATGCTCTTGTAAGAGCCGGTCTGGGGACTCAGGGTGCCGTAATCCCAGCTTAACCAGAGTTGGGTTAGCTAGCCTCCCCTAGCCCTGTAGTGGAGGACCTAGGAGTAGGCTAGCCGTGACATAGATTGTGGGATCTCTCTGTTAGACGGGTGAAGGGGCCGATACCCCTTCGAGTGTTGTACATCTAGGCCTGTTATGTACATTGTGGTTAATAAATAAGTGTGCCTCCAACTACGTCGTCCAAGTCTCCTGGAACCTACTACACCTACGTGACTTTACCGAAAGAACCAAAGAGTATGGATTCCTGCAGTCACGAAAGCTTCAAATCAAGATTGGCTCTATCCTGTCCTGAGCGAAGCAGCATCATCATGGTGTTTTACTCCGCAGCTTTCGCCGACGTTTCGGCCACGCTTCCACGCAAGGCAGACTTCACGACCTCCCATGGTATGGAGGAGGTTCGTGGGTTCGATCCCGACTATCAACGCCTGTTGTATATTTGGAGTGTGCATGTTCTCCCCGTGGTCGCGTGGATTTTTCTCTGGGTCCTCCGTTTTTTTCCCTCGTTAAGAATCAACGTGCGTTTAAGAGTATGTGGCTTCTAGGAATGTCCACATTATAGGCCACTTTGTTAAGCTATCATTTCTCGCAAGGTCGCTTCTGAAAAAAAGCCATTTACTGTATTTCTTACGTGGAAATTCGCTTTGATATACGAGTGCTTTGGATTACAAATACGTTTCCGGAACGAATTATGCTCGCAATTCAAGGTTTTATTGTAGCTCAATGGGCCTAATCTGGTAAAACAATTGTTTAGTTTAGGTGTGTGTTATACAGCTGCAAATTTGTAAATAGTATGTGAACAATTGGCCAGGTGAGAGCTCTTATATTGGGGCTCTATCCATTCCAGGCCCCATTATAGTGTTCGTACCCGACTAGCTGGGCACAATTTTTTGTAAATGTCTCCTGATGGAAATTTAGATTTACATCCTGATGTAAATGTATGTAAATTTAGATTTAGATTTACATCAGGAGATAAACCTTGAGGAAGGAAACTGTGAGTTTTAATGCGATGGCGCTTTTGAGTGGCTGATGTGTCAGAAAGGCGCCACGTATGCCAACAAAATAAAATGGACTTGGCCACCGTGCAGGCCCCGGTCAGTGGGTCTGTCAATATCGCTGTGGCAGATCAATGTTGATTCCACTGGTACTCTCATCACGACCTCCTGTATACCAGGCGAGGTAGTTGACATGTCGCCGACCGTGGCGCCCCCTATGGCCTATGCTATGCCGTAGCCAAACTGCACATATGTTAACCACATCTGACACTGCCACTACGATAGAGGCAGAGAATATATTAGCACACGTAAATCCCTTTTTTACAGGAGCATGAGAATATTGATTTGAAGCTTTCGTGACTGCAGGAATCCATACTCTTTGTTTCTTTCGGTAAAGTCACGTAGGTAGAAAATAAAATAAATCACGACGTTTCGGGCGCAACACAAGCGTCCATCATCTCATGCTTTCCCACCTAATGATGGACGCTTGTGTTGCGCCCGAAACGTCGTGATCTATTTTATTTTATACCTACGTGACTTTACCGAAAGAACCAAAGAGTATAAAATTAATCAAGGCTATAGGGGCACTTGACCAGCCGTCAGGGTTATATGGATGACTCGTGGATGAACGATATTTCTACGAATAACCCAAAAGTGTAAGCGAATCAAGCGCGGCAACTTAAAAAAAGTATTCCTGAATTAATTAAGCGACCTGTTCGAGTCAACATTCTTATATCTCAACGCGATTTTCCGATTGGTTCATGTTCCTATCAACCCCTTATCAGTGCCTATCTTATTACATAACAATTCAGATCTTATTGGACACCACGTGCCCCTTATTAATCTCAACGTTCATCCTACAAAATCCCATCACAAGGGAGAAACGCCAATTCTATTTCTGTCCGTATTGAAACGGCTGTATGCCGTATGGACCTTAAAATTCAATTTCCTTGTTACAAGAACACGGATAAACCGTATGGGTTGACAGGTATGATACAATACACTATGCACTACACTACCATACCTGGCATTACCTTACCAGTGCCCTACCTTCGTAGACCAATTCAGACCTTATTGGTCTTCATATTCTTAGGTTTTTTTCCGGTAAAGTCACGTAGATAAAACATTAAAATTAATAAAAAATTTAAAAAAATCACAACGTTTCGGAGGCAACACAAGCGTCCGTCTTCAGGTGGAACCATCACAGCCACGACAGCTGTATCAAGTATGTGCCCTTTATAAATCTCAAAGTTAATCCTACAAAGTCCCATCACAAGGGAGAAACACACAACATAGACACAACATTTGTATTATTATTCGACGCTTTTATTTAATTCACTGTGTCTGTTGTTGTTGTTGTTGTCGTATGCTCAAATCTTTAACCCACTTGCCAATGTGGTATCGACTGCAAACTTGGTATACTTATGTCATACTGATGACAATACTATATTCTATTAAACTAAAAATTACAAATATTTTTAAACAATCTTTTTTATATTCTTGGTTCTTTCGGTAAAGTCACGTAGAAGGGAAATAATAAAACAATAAAAATATAAAACAAAATTATCACGACGTTTCGACTGCAACACAAGCAATCATCATCAGGTGTGAAATCCACAGCAAGAAAATGTAATATTTTTATTATTTTATTTTTTCCCTTCTACGTGACTTTACCGAAAGAACCAAGAATATGAATCCCTGCAGTCACGAAAGCTTTAAATCAAAATAAAATATATTTTTTATCTGTTATGTTTCGGCTTGGGTCTAATTGTCCACGCTCAACTCACGTTGGCTGTAATTGGCCACTGCCTCTTACGTTATGGCAAGCTTGGGAGCCACTTCCTGGACTCGTGGAGTTCTTCCATTACCAGTACGGTACATTTCATGAAATATTGTTTAAAAAATGATTTTTAAATGTTCCTTATTTATTGTTGTTTTGCCCGAATTGAAACGGCTGCACCGGGGGTTTAAACCGCAGGGGGGCCCCCTTCACACAGAGACGGTGGCTGGCATCGATTCGTTACACAAAACGACACGAAGTGACCGATTCCGTAATGTAATCGCTGAACACCGACCACGTTTCGAATTATGGTTGAATCGTTGCGAACAAAAGGAGAAGACAATTTTTGTCGGATATGTGCGTGTGTGCGATTGAATTCATCCTCCGTTCACGTCGGGTCAACTAAAAACGCGGGATTGTTGTTGTTGTTGCTGTTGTTGTTGTTGTTGTTGCGGCAGCGAGCAAAAGAAACATCAAGCAGCTGCAGCCTTCTCGTGGCGTGGATCGCAGTCGATTCGTGGTGTCACTGGCGTGTTGTTGTTGTACCTACGTGGTTGCAGTGTGCACCAGTGGTGGTGGTGGTGGCATCTCTGCAACTTTGCCGACTTGTGTTTATTTCGCTTTAACCAAGAGGAGACGTCTCTCACAGCGGCTAGGTAAAACGAGATGGTAACTCGTTTGTTATTTAAAAAAAAAAACACTTAACTGAACACACGCAAATGTTGACTTAAGGCTTTCGTGACTGCAGGGATTCATATGATTAGATTCTCTCTTCCTGGTGACGAACGATTGCGTTGCGGTCGTAAACGTCGTCGTTTTTTGTGATTTTCTTTGAACCTATCTACGTGACTTTACCGAAAGACTCAAAGAATATGCACACACGCAGTCGTGTGTGGTTGAAGGTGGCAGTGCTGTCAATTGTAAGGGGTTGGGGTGGTAGTAGGGGTTGGTGGTGGTGGTAGTAGGGGTTGGGGTGGTGGTGGTAGTAGGGGTTGGGGGTGGTGGTGGTAGTAGGGGTTGGGGGTGGTGGTGGTAGTAGGGGTTTAGGGTGGTGGTGGTGGTAGTAGGGGTTGGGCGTGGTGGTGGTAGTAGGGGTTGGGGGTGGTGGTGGTAGTAGGGGTTGGGGGTGGTGGTGGTAGTAGGGGTTGGGGGTGGTGGTGGTAGTAGGGGTTGGGGGTGGTGGTGGTAGTAGGGGTTGGTGGTGGTGGTAGTAGGGGTTGGGGGTGGTGGTGGTAGTTGGGGTGGTGGTAGTAGGGGTTGGTGGTGGTGGTGGTAGTAGGGGTTGGTGGTGGTGGTGGTAGTAGGGGTTGGGGGTGGTGGTGGTAGTGGTAGTAGGGGTTGGGGGTGGTGGTAGTAGGGGTTGGGGGTGGTGGTGGTAGTGGGGGTGGTAGTGGTAGTAGGGGTGGTGGTGGTAGTAGGGGTTGGTGGTGGTGGTGGTAGTAGGGGTTGGGGGTGGTGGTGGTAGTGGTAGTAGGGGTTGGGGGTGGTGGTAGTAGGGGTTGGGGGTGGTGGTGGTAGTGGGGGTGGTAGTGGTAGTAGGGGTGGTGGTGGTAGTAGGGGTTGGGGGTGGTGGTGGTGGTAGTAGGGGTTGGTGGGGGTGGTGGTGGTAGTAGGGGTTGGGGTGGTGGTAGTGGTAGTAGTAGGGGTTGGGGTGGTGGTAGTGGTAGTAGTAGGGGTTGGTGGGGGTGGTGGTGGTAGTAGGGGTTGGGGGTGGTGGTAGTAGGGGTTGGGGGTGGTGGTAGTAGGGGTTGGGGTGGTAGTAGGGGGGTGGTGGTAGTAGGGGTTGGTGGTGGTGGTGGTAGTAGGGGTTGGGGGTGGTGGTGGTAGTAGGGGTTGGTGGTGGTGGTGGTAGTAGGGGTAGGGGGTGGTGGTAGTAGGGGTTGGTGGTGGTGGTGGTGGTAGTAGGGGTTGGTGGTGGTGGTGGTAGTAGGGGTTGGTGGTGGTGGTGGTGGTAGTAGGGGTTGGTGGTGGTGGTGGTGGTAGTAGGGGTTGGGGGTGGTGGTGGTAGTAGGGGGGTGGTGGTGGTAGTAGGGGTTGGGGGTGGTGGTGGTAGTAGGGGTTGGTGGTGGTGGTGGTGGTAGTAGGGGTTGGTGGTGGTGGTAGTAGGGGTTGGTGGTGGTGGTGGTGGTAGTAGGGGTTGGGGGTGGTGGTGGTAGTAGGGGGTGGTGGTGGTAGTAGGGGTTGGGGGTGGTGGTGGTAGTAGGGGTTGGTGGTGGTGGTGGTAGTAGGGGTAGGGGGTGGTGGTAGTAGGGGTTGGTGGTGGTGGTGGTGGTAGTAGGGGTTGGGGGTGGTGGTGGTAGTAGGGTTGGTGGTGGTGGTGGTAGTAGGGGTTGGTGGTGGTGGTGGTAGTAGGGGTTGGTGGTGGTGGTGGTGGTAGTAGGGGTTGGTGGTGATGGTGGTAGTAGGGGTTGGTGGTGGTGGTGGTAGTAGGGGTTGGTGGTGGTGGTGGTAGTAGGGGTAGGGGGTGGTGGTAGTAGGGGTTGGTGGTGGTGGTAGTAGTAGGGGTTGGTGGTGGTGGTGGTAGTAGGGGTTGGTGGGGGTGGTGGTGGTGGTAGGGGTTGGTGGTGGTGGTGGTAGTAGGGGTAGGGGGTGGTGGTAGTAGGGGTTGGTGGTGGTGGTGGTAGTAGGGGTTGGGGTGGTGGTAGTAAGGGTTGGTGGTGGTGGTAGTGGTAGTAGGGGTTGGTGGGGGTGGTGGTGGTGGTAGGGGTTGGTGGTGGTGGTGGTAGTAGGGGTAGGGGGTGGTGGTAGTAGGGGTTGGTGGTGGTGGTGGTAGTAGGGGTTGGGGTGGTGGTAGTAGGGGTTGGGGTGGTGGTAGTAGGGGTTGGGGTGGTGGTAGTAGGGGTTGGTGGTGGTGGTGGTAGTAGGGGTTGGTGGTGGTGGTGGTAGTAGGGGTTGGTGGGGGTGGTGGTGGTGGTAGGGGTTGGTGGTGGTGGTGGTAGTAGGGGTTGGTGGTGGTGGTGGTAGTAGGGGTAGGGGGTGGTGGTAGTAGGGGTTGGTGGTGGTGGTGGTAGTAGGGGTTGGTGGTGGTGGTGGTAGTAGGGGTTGGGGTGGTGGTAGTAGGGGTTGGGGTGGTGGTAGTAGGGGTTGGGGTGGTGGTGGTGGTGGTAGTAGGGGTTGGTGGTGGTGGTGGTAGTAGGGTAGGGGGTGGTGGTGGTGGTGGTAGTAGGGGTTGGGGGTGGTGGTGGTAGGGGTTGCGGGTGGTGGTGGTGGTAGTAGGGGTTGGGGGTGGTGGTGGTAGTAGGGGTTGGGGGTGGTGGTAGTAGGGGTTGGTGGTGGTGGTGGGAATAGGGGTAGGGGGTGGTGGTGGTGGTGGTAGTAGGGGTTAGTGGTGGTGGTAGTAGGGGTTGGGGGTGGTGGTGGTGGTAGGGCAGGGGTCGGGAACCTTTTTGACTGGGAGAGCCATAAAAGCCAAATATTTCTAAATATATTTCATTGAGAGCCATATAGTATTTTTAACGTATAATAAATTAAATATGTCTTACTTTTAATGCGACTTCTGGTGCTGCATGGTTTTGCTGATGGCCTTGTAGTCTGGTTCATACGTGGTGAGGTTGAGCTTCATGCAGGCGTGACCCGTGAAATTTATCTTCAAAACTAATTTCTGTTTACTTTAAAATGACACAGTATTATTAAGCAATATCACAAGTATTTTAAAATCAGTTCCAAACTGATTTTTTTTTCAACTCAAAATTGTCTGGGAGCCATATGCCGTCACTGGAAGAGCCATATATGGCTCGCGAGCCATAGGTTCCCGACCGCTGTAGTAGGGGATGGGGGTGGTGGTAGGGGGTGGTGGTAATAGGGGTTGGGGGTGGTGGTAGTAGGGGTTGGGGGTGGTGGTGGTGGTGCTAGTAGGGGTTAGTGGTGGTGGTAGTAGGGGTTGGGGTGGTGGTGGTAGTAGGGGTTGGGGGTGGTGGTAGTAGGGGTTGGGGGTGGTGGTGGTGGTAGTAGGGGTTGGTGGTGGTGGTGGTAGTAGGGGTAGGGGGTGGTGGTGGTGGTGGTAGTAGGGGTTAGTGGTGGTGGTAGTAGGGGTTGGGGGTGGTGGTGGTAGGGGTTGGGGGTGGTGGTGGTGGTAGTAGGGGTTGGGGGTGGTGGTGGTAGTAGGAGTTGGGGGTGGTGGTAGTAGGGGTTGGGGGTGGTGGTGGTGGTAGTAGGGGTTGGGGGTGGTGGTGGTAGTAGGGGTTTAGGGTGGTGGTTGTAGGGGTTGGGGGTGGTGGTGGTGGTGGTAGTAGGGGTTGGGGTAGTGGTGGTGGTAGTAGGGGTTGGTAGTGGTCAGCGCAGCATCGCGCGGCGCTACCGACCCGGCGAGCCGAGTTCGATCCCCGCTCGCGGCCACCCAACAACCAAGCGACGATCATCCGAACCGGTCGCGGGCCTCGGCTAGGTCGACTCGGCCTCGAATGAGTGCCTGGGCACGGTGTTGTAGTGAAACGTCGCCGCTGGGGGGGGAGGCAACGGCGGCCGGGCTTGGCGTTGGCCACCCACCCCCCTCTCTGTGTGCGTCGTCGCGGCCTTTAGTTTCATTTACAGTGGTACCTCGGAGATCGAACTTAATTCGTTCCAAAACCGCATTCGAACACCGATTTGTTTGAACACCGAATCAATTTTCCCCATAAGAATGAATGGAAATAGCATTAATTGGTTCCCCACCCAAGGATGCTCCTATTATGGGCCATTTTTACACAAAGTTTACAATATTAAAATACAGTACAGTACATAAAAGCATACAAAAAACAAGAAACAGTTATAATTAATAGAATAAATGATCATTGAACTTCACTTTACCTGTAGTAAGGAGAGTGGATGGCTTGAGTGGAAGGTGGTGAGGAGGGGAGGAGGAGGTGTCAGTGTTGCTTGGAAGGGGAGTCCCCCTCCATAAAAACGTTGGGTAACTGCCCTTCTGGGGTTCTTTCTTTTCTTTGCCTTTTTTCTAGCACTAACTGTGATTCACTTGAGGGCCTTTTTACGAAAAATTTACGAAAAAGTTAACGGAACGATGTTTTGCGGGTCTGCACTGGGTGAGCGCTACGTGTAAACTGGGCCATTCGCCTTTATCTCGGTCGCCCTGGCTCCGCATCTCGGCCCAAACAGGTTCTTTCCAGTTGTTCGACCTCCGAATTTTTGTTCGATGTCCGGGGCAAAAAATGGTAAAAAATTTTGTTCGATCACCGAATTGTTCGAGTTCTGGGGCGTTCGATCTCCAAGGTTCTACTGTATTTGGTATGGCCCTGTGAGCCATTCGGCTCTTCAATCGGGTGCAACCGCAATAAACAAAAACATGAACAAGAAAACATCTTAAAGTGACTACGCGCAAACAGAAAAATACAGGAAAAAACAGCAAAGTCTTCCAGAAAAAGCAGGCGCTACTGCTGCTGCTGCTCGCTAGTAGCCCTTGCACCCCGACAGTGTCTGTTAGAGGCCAAACGGGACAGGGGCGGGGGAGTTTATCGTTGTGTTTGTCACTGCGAGCAGACGGCGCGCAATGGAGAGCTTGCTCAGAGCGGAGCTGGGCACGGACTCGGTGAGGCCGCTGGGCGCTGCGGCCGGTGGAGGCTGCATCAGCGCCGGGCAGAGCTACGAGACGGGGCGCGGACGCGTGTTTGCCAAGATCAACGTCAAGAGCGGGGTACCCTCTTCTACGCCACCTCTACTCCTCCTCACCACGCCACCTTGCCACGCCACGTCACCACGTTGCATCCACGCCTCTCCTCCAACCTTCATTCAGCCCTATAATTAATGTGTCTTTCCACGCGCCCCAGTATCACTCTTTATTTTCGCTGCGACTACTACCACCACCGTGGTGAATGTTGCAGTGAACTTCACCTCGTTGATTCCCCCCTCCACCCACGTTAAGGGGCTCGGTCTACCAGACACTTGGACCGCTTCGTCTCTTCCACTTCCGCGTTAAACCACCGCGCCTCACTGCAGTTCACAACAACGCACTCAACTCAACAACTCGGTCACCCACTCATCCAGTCACTCATCCAATCACCCGGTCACACACTCATCCAGTCACTCATCCAATCACCCGATCACACACTCATCCAGTCACCCACTCATCTCAATCACCCTATCACGCACTCATCCAGTCACCTACTCATCCAGTCACCCATGCATCCAGTCACCCACTCATCTCAATCACCCTATCACACACTCATCTCGTAACTAATTAAATCACACACTCAGCTAGTCACTCACTCAATCACCCTATCACCCACTCATCCAGTCACGCACTCATCCAATCACGCACTCATCCAGTCACTAACTCAATAACCCTATCACACAATCATCCACTCGTTTACTCACTCACCCATTTACTCAACAACCCGCTCAACACCATGCAGGTCACCTCACTCTTTTCAGCTTCATCCGTTTGCACTGCTCCACTCTGGAATTCCTACCTGGTCTTCTTGTTTTCTAAGCTCTTGCATAAAAAAACTTGGTCAATTTAAGGAACGGGTTTTAATTACACATTGGACACTTATGTATTACTCGCTTTTTTGCCCGTCAAAGGACGGGTGTATATTGCAGTACATCTGAAATATTCAATCGAAAAATTGTTCAGCTCATGATTATTAATGAGGGGGGTTGCCCCATGTGGAGTGATGTCACCCGCTCATGATTATTGAGGGTATTTGTGCGGCATGTGGTCTGCGCGACCTTCTTATGCGTTAGTGTAAAAACCACTTATGAATATTAATGGCGGGGTGGGCCTCATGTGGAGTGACGTCACGCGGGGGGTGGGCCTCGTGGAGTGACGTCACGTGCGGGACACACATTCTTGGCTCATTATAGTAGTGTAACGTTCTTGAAGGAGACGGAGACTTCTTAGAGGCCACACGCTTTTATTCACCAAATACTTGCTACACCTAACACAAGAGGTATACGGTCCCCTTACCCATTATCCTGACGATGCTACAGACTCCGGACTTGCCGGCTATCTTCCCCGCTAGCCTAGCGTCCTCCGGCTGGGACCTAGGGGAGGCACACTGACCCGCCACTGGCCCGGCGGGTCCCCGACCTCTGGTCGCTCAGAACCTTCGCCTTCACAAGGGCGGGAAGGCTGGGAGCCAGGGTCCTATCCAGGACCTCTCTCCCCTGACCACTGGTGACTCTGAGCCCCAGCCCTGACAAGGGCTGGAAGGCTTGGTCCAAGGTCCTAGGTGTCTTCAGCCGACTTGGGTCTTTGTGTAGCAGAACCTCCCGGAGCTCTCAGCGCTCCGGCTTTTATACCTATTCATGGCCGGGTTAACCAATCCCCGGCCACCTCTTGGACCCCTCCGATTGGTTCTTCCCAATCTGGCATTTGGATCCTACTTCACCCCATTTGACCCTTACTGTTTGATTGAGCGGGAAAACCTTTGTTTACCAACTGCTCTCTCACAGCTTGCGAACAGCGAGTAGTTATCACCACTACAGTAGTATTGTTTGTTTTTGCTGGCCGCTTGGCGTTTTGTATTGTGTGGGGTTTGCATACCTGTCAACCCCTTATCAGTGCCTACCTTAATATACGGGGTGACCAACAAGGTCTAAATTGGTCTGTAATTACCTTCATCACAAGGGAGAAACACACAAATAGACTAAACAAAAATGTTGCCCGTATTGAATCAGCTGTATGCCGTATGGACCTGAAAACGCAATTTCCCTCTCCAGGAATACGAGTAAACCGTGTGGGTTGACAGCTATGGGTTTTGTTGTGTTTGCGAGTCCAAGTTATAGGACTGCACCCTGGGTCGTGGGTGGTTCTCATTGGTGGGAGATTCCCTTCGCTGCGTTGCACACCAGTGGCTGGGGGCTGCCTGGGGCCAGTGACGTGTGAGCCGGTCCCAATGTGCACCGGCAAACATTTATCGCTCGGTGGCCCCAGTGTTTGTTGCCCGTCTACACGTGGATACCTGAAGCCCGTGTCACTCCACTGCTGGATGAGTCCCGCAGTGAAGATACAATCAGTACATCCACTTTGATTTTGCACTCCACCTGTTCCATTGGCGGCCGAGTGCGAATCTAAATGTGCATAAGTTGGAGACTGGTTTATGCGCGTAGAAATCAAACCAATTGACCCACGACCTTTGTCCCATAACTTTTGTAGAATTGTAGATGTGCATTACAGCTACTTTAGCCGGGTGGTTGTGGCTATGTATGCCTGTAATCCACGACTGCGTGGAGGTGAGGGTTGGTGGATTACAAAAATGTTGCGAAAACTCCCACCCCGTTGGTCGTCAAGGAGGTAGAGAAGGCGGTATCGAAAAATGTGGACTCCGCCTATTCCATCTCTATATGTGATAGAGCGTTGCCCCCTCGTTTGCTTGGATTTCTCCAGGTGCTCCGATTTCCTCCCACACGTAAACACTCATTAATTGGCCAATAACACCTTTATATATAGAGGACCACAGAGCATGGGCAGGAGTGGTGGTGGGGGGAGGGGGATTTGTTGCCAGCTGCTCACCATTTGACTGCTGCCTTCCCTCGTCTGTAGTTCCTCGCGCCAAAGTGAAGGAATACTGTGTGCGAGTTGAAATTATCACTTGAACGTAACTTGATGTTTCAATGAAAACAGCCACTGAGATTTAATTCTGAAAATCAAATGTTTAATTTTCACATGCAGTTATACAATGTTGTTATTAATAGGCTGTTTCCCTGGGAAAGCCTCACTGAGTATCAAGACTCTTTTTCAGGATGGGCCTGCCACGTTTTCGCAGTAGTCATTTGGATGTTTGCCTAGTACCAGTTACATGGTATGCTGTTGTTGTAGTGCTATGGGAGGAAACCCATGCAGATAAAGGGACCAGAATTAGGAAAGCGAAGCCAGGCAGTCCTTCAGAAGATGTGATGCATGGGCGTTACCACTGCACCACCCTGTCGCCCAAACAAATGTAATTCAAATAATGTACAATACTGGCAAATAAACCGTCTTCGTATCAATTGAATATCTGGACAATCTGGCATGGACACAACTGCGTCGGTGTTTCTGTAAGTCGTGTTCACATTGCCTGCAATTAATATTTTAAAGTAGAGGTTGCCCACATCTGGTTTAATTTGATTTACCAGTTGTGCCCATTATGTTTTTCACAGGTAATATGGCAAGGAAAATTTTGCATAGAGCGAGTTGTAGGATTAGGACAATTATGGTGACACACTTGACCCCCTCTGCACAAGTTACAGTTGAGTCAATGCTGTGATGTTGTGAGATTGGTGCACACGACCCATCATTGTGTTTTGATGTTGAGCTTTTAAAATTAGACAGTTGTGGGATGTGAGATCAAGGCCGATGACTGGTTCTAGCGGTATCAAGATTAGCATTTGGAAGAGGCTCGCGAAGGATGATACTGGGAAGTTGGGTGCAGTCATCCTCCATTAACAGCAGAGGAGCGACGCTTACAACAACGGGCGGAACACTGGGCGCATACAACGCATAAAGTTGTCAGCAAGTCATCTCAGGCAGTTAACCCACAACACCTGGGTCTGTCCCGTGACCTGTCTGCGAGCTTTCGACGCCTCACGTGGCCTCAAAGTGGACCTAGTTTGGTACAAACGCTGTGGTGACATCGTTACTTGGTAGCGATTGATGGCTTGTTGATGGTCAAGGGTTTACAATATCTTCTTGGTTCTTTCGGTAAAGTCACGTAGAAGGGAAGTAATAAAATAATAAAAATAATAAAACAATTCTCACGACGTTTCGGCCACAACGCAAGCAGCCGTCCTCAGGTGAAGAGGACGGCTGCTTGCGTTGTGGCCGAAACGTCGTGAGAATTGTTTTATTATTTTTATTATTTTATTACTTCCCTTCTACGTGACTTTACCGAAAGAACCAAGAAGATGAATCCCTGCAGTCACGAAAGCTTTAAATCGAAGGGTTCACAATAGTTTTGCTCTAATCCATTGTGAAAGTAACTGGAGGCTCTGTCGTGTCCTTTAGGCCAAGTGCATGTTTGATGGGGAGTTTGCAAGCTTGGAAGCCATTGCATCCACACGCACGGTGCGTGTGCCCAAGCAGATGAAGGTGATCGAGATCCCCACGGGTGGGGCTTTGCTCGTAATGGAACATCTGGACATGAAGAGTCTCAACAGGTTGGTGTGCATGTTTGAGTCATAATAGAGTAAGCTATTATAACCGCATCACATCAAAGTTTGCGACACGAGTCATCAGTTGCAGTGAGTCGTGATTAAAAAGTGGATTTAAATGTTAGTGGCTAAATTTCACGTCAATGCTTTGGCCAGAAAAACACTGCATCAATTGATATTGAAGTCCACTAATTTCTATCTGAACGTAATAAAACTATATAAAACTATATTTTGCACCTCGTGCTGTTGACTCAACTTAATGTATTCAAATTCTCATGACTTAATTCACCATGTCTGCTTTTGCCTTTACATTTGGAACAAGTAAAAAAATGGTCATTGGTTTCTTAAATAGGCTAGTTTAACCTTGATTTGAAGCTTTCGTGACTGCAGGAATCCATACTCTTTGGTTCTTTCGGTAAAGTCACGTAGGTAGAAAATAAAATAAAAATAATATATCACGACGTTTCGATCGCAACCACAACCGGGGTCGTGCAGATTTTTCTCCGGTTTCGCCGGTTTTTCCCTCCACATTTAGAAACGTGAGTATTTTGAGCATTTGGCTGCTATAAATGTCCACGTGATTTGTGGCCAGGTCGCTTCTGAAAAAGAGCTATATTGCTTGGTGGGCCTTGCCTGGTAAAATAAAAATTGGCTTAGTTTATCGTCGACATAGGATTGACTTCCCAGGAAGTGACACTCATTGTATAAACCCCAGAGGAATGATGTCCTGAGTCACCCCAACCAGAATGTGAACTGATATATTCTAGATTTGAAGCTTTCGTGACTGCAATGATTCATATTCTTAGGTTTTTTCGGTAAAGTCACGTAGGTAAAAACATTAAAAAGTAAAATAAAATAAAAAATCACGACGTTTCGGAGGCAACACAAGCTTCCGTCTTCAGGTGGTACCGTCACAGCCACAACAGCTGTATCATTTACTTAATGTTTTTACCTACGTGACTTTACCGAAAAAACCTAAGAATATGAACTGATATATTTGTATTTTCAAGCTGGGTTCTCGGCCACAGACCACCTCGATAAATATGACGTAGTTTGCTTTGCATATAAATTGTCACTTGGGGTTTATTGACGTTATAAAGTTCATGTTTCCATTGACAGGTCTATTGTGTTGTCCACTCTCGACAGGGGCTCAGGCTTGTTGGGGCAGCAGCTGGCTGAAATGCACCTTCACAACAGGAAGATCGGAGAGAGGCTTCACAAGGAAGAGAAAACTATCGGTATTGAATCATGAAACTGTATAAGAGGCGTGGAAAACTAGGCCCACAGATCCAACCCTAGCATCATGTCAACTATGTAGATGTATTGAACTTTTTTCGCACTGTGCTAATCGGATCTAATGAATGTGTATAAACAGACGATTTGTGTGTAAACAAACAAATGTTTACACAGCTGTTTATTAATCATAAAAATATAATTATTGAGCTAGTGAATGAGATATTGACACTTGCTGTTATTATTTCGTAAATTAACACAACCAGCCAGCCAGCGGTCGTGATTTTTCACACCTAATCACAATCACCCCTTTGTTTTAGCTATCTTCGTGATGAAGTTCATGTGTGTGCAATGTACTTTTCAGAATGTGAATTATGTTGGGTAATCTTGATTTGAAGCTTTCGTGACTGCAGGAATCCATACTTTCTGGTTCTTTCGGTAAAGTCACGTAGATAGAAAAAACAAATAAAAGAACACGGCGTTTCGGTCACAACACAAGCGTCCGTATTCAGGGGAGAAAAAATATCTGCAGCTGTGGCTTTATATAGACATGGGAGGGGAGAGGGAAGGAGTGAGAAGGAGTTTGGCTGTAGGAGTTCACAGGGGAGAGGGGTGGAGGGTTTGTGGCGTGCATGGACGGGTGGGGCTGGAGAAATTTGGAAGTAAATGGACTTGAATTAGTAATCGGACAACAACACACGGGTGGGTGAGTGAAAATCATAGCAGTTAAAACTTGACGCGGTTTATCACATCCTTCCAATGATTGCTCAATCTGAATTGAGAAGATGGATTAAATGAGATGCATTGCACCGTTAATTCCTCCTGTTTGGTCATTCGTGTCTTGTCCGTATGCATCTGTGCAGATAGGTTTATTTTTGCAGTTAAGCCGTAGTCCCCACATACCGCTCGTATCAATGCGGATAAGAGGAGCGTCGACCCACTACTCTGGAGAGTAACATTGGTATAAACGCTTGTTACAATATGAACAGCACATTGAAAACGCGTCCTATTTTATGTACTGTTTACAAAGTGTGTTCACAAATCCACACTGAGAAACACGATGATTGACAGAGGGGTGTAAATTATTTTTTCGATAGTGTATTTAAATAGAGGTACTGCAGGTAAGTAGTTTTAGTTTTAAATGCATAGTTTAACAAGACAACACTTACTCTTTGGTTCTTTCGGTAAAGTCACGTATAAAGATAAAATACTATGGGGACCTCATTTGCCAGTAAAAATATGATAATTGGTTTTTTACCCTTCTATCTGGCAACAAAACTGACACCTTTTTGCAAACATGCAAACATGACTCCTTGCAAAAAGGTGTCAGTTTTGTTGCCAGATAGAAGGGTAAAAAACCAATTATCAAAGATAAAATAATAAATTAAATAATAGCTTATTATTTTATCTTTATACGTGACTTTACCGAAAGAACCAAAGAGTAATTCCTGCAGTCACGAAAGCTCCAAATTAAGACAACACTTGCCACCATCCTCCAAACCCATTGGTGAAAAAGAGCAAAGTTTTTGTTTACATTATAATATGTTTACGCGAGAGCCGGGGGCTTATGGGACCCCGGGATCCCGCCAACACATTCCTGCAGAGGGAGCTGGTAGGAACGTTGGCTTGCTCGGTCAATGGCCAGGGTCAACGGCGGCATGGTGTATTCCGCAAATATGGCCGACTGTGAGGGCGGGCACAAGCCGGCGTGAGTAGGTTAAACATTGAGTTTTATAAGGGCACCACGGGGTGACCAGCCCCTCCCCACCCAGCCCCACCCCTCCCCTCCCCACCCAGCCCCTCCCTGCACGATGGACGGACGGACACAATAATCCCCTGTGGGCTGGTGGAACCAGTGGGTTGCTACCAGTATAAGGTTCGTATAGATTATAGTTATCAGATTATCCGTATTTCAGTCCAAGACAAATTCTTTTGCAAAGGAGACCAGAGTATTCAACATTGCGTTCCATTCTATTTTTGCTTATCACAATCTGTTCAGGAGATAAATGCCAATGCCAAGGTCTGCTAGCCACAAGAAGGCTTTACGAGAGAGTTCATGTAGTTTTGCTATTTATTCATTAAAGGGCAATATTTTATATACATTATATTCACAAGTCTAGAAGGCACATAAAATACCAGGGTTGGCCAGACCATCGCTCGGGAGCTGCATGCGGCTCCTGAGAAGTTCAAGTGTGGCTCTGCAGTGGCGCAGCTAATTTGTAAATTTTCAATTTAACTTCATATAAAGTGAGAACAATCTGGTATCGGAGCCAGGCCATGAGTACTCCCTCAGATTTCTAAACTCAAAACTCCACAGCCAGTCGACAAGTCAACTTCTGTGTGGCCAATCTTTGTCTCTTGTAGCTCCCACAGCTATCTGAAGATTATGGTATGCTGCTGGTAGGGTCATGAAAGTTGGCCACTCCCAGTACATATCTGTATGCATTAACGATTGTATGCAATGTTCAGCTGCTCAGTCACAACAGGGGTCCCAGTCAGTTTGAGACTGCTAAATTAAGGTGCTTTACAGATTTTGATAAAAATGTCAGTCTTTAATTTCTCCAACAGGTAAGGTCCCTGAGCAGGAGGATGTGGAGTATGTGGACAAGTTTGGGTTTCATACAGCTACAAGCTGTGGTTACATCCCACAGGTGATCTCCGTTGCAAAGTCATTAAACTGGTTGTGGCCCATTGGATTTAACAGACCCTTTTGTTGAAGGACAGCCTCGGTGACCGAAGTTTTATAAGAACAGTAATCATTTTTATTTAGTTTTGTCATGGAGCGGTGAAATCATAAATATGAGAGTCCATGTAATAGTCTATTGACCACTGATGATGGTAATATTGGTTTAAGGTTACGTTTTAAGAAGAACTAGCTTGCCATACATTTTATGTTGCATAAGTACACACATTTATAAAACAATGTGTTTGATAAAAAAATCATGTATTTTCTTACATTGCATACAGTTGTACCATTGATACCTAGGGAGACAGTTACAACTGACATCACCAGCTGTCACTCAGCATCCCTCAGAGATCGATCTTGCATAACCACTGGTCTAAACTTCAGTTTTCACATGGTCATTTATTTTTTCGCTAATTACCAATTACACTCAGAGCCGGGTTTAATAGAATTGTATAAATGTACTTTGAACTTCTTTCGCACTGTACGTAGCCAACCGTGCTAATTGGAGGTGTGGGAATTAAGCACATAACCTATCATTAGGATCAATGCGGTTGTAATTGTTATTTATAAGGATATCAGTTGGTAGCTGAACTGAGATGTTCATGATAATCGGTACATAACATGGGTATCGAATAACGTCTTAATAATTACCCAGCCACTTGTACGTGAAGTTCTTCATCTTCTTGGTTCTTTCGGTAAAGGCACGTAGAAGGGAAATTATAAAATAATAAAAATAAAACATAATAAAATAATTCTCACGACGTTTCGGCCACAACGCAAGCAGCCGTCCTCAGGTGAAGAACACGTCGTGAGAATTATTTTATTATGTTTTATTTTTATTACTTTATTATTTCCCTTCTACGTGACTTTACCGAAAGAACCAAGAAGATGAATCCCTGCAGTCACGAAAGCTTTAAATCGAAATTCAGTGTTCTTCATTGCAAGGCCCGCGGGCCACTGGTGGCCCCTGGTGTCCTTGAGTGCGGCCCCTGACGTGCAGCCCCCGACAATACACACAAGTGAAAACACCCCATCATGCTGTCAAACCCAATGGTCCATAATAGAGGTTTTTGAGTTAGATCGCGTGAATATATAAATGTGTCGTTAAAACCCGCCACCGCTTGACACAGCCAATGGTTTCAAGTGTGTGGCGGCCCTTCCACTCAAAATGTCTTATCGGTGGAAATAGCCCCCATCTGAAAATGAGTGAATAACACTGTTTTAGGTCGAGGATTGGCCTAAGAAAGTAGGTATTATATGCTTATGTTTTTAAATGTTCGTGCTAAACTTTTTTTTCCTATTCTATGGTTCTTTCGGTAAAGTTACGTATATAGAAAAAACAATATACTTATAAAAATCAAGTGAATTTTTTCCACCAGCTGAACGAGTGGCAGGAGGACTGGGTGACGTTCTTCTCACGGCAGCGACTGCAGCTTCAGCTGGACATGATAGAGAAGGACTACGGTGACAGGGAGACCCGCGAGCTCTGGTCTCAGCTTCAGGTTCATAAGCCGTTTCATTCTCGCACTTAATACATGCAGCAGTGTGGAGCATCATGTGCACAGCCATATGGGAAACCCATTTTATCACAGTGGGTTTTCGAGGCGACTTTAAAGGTAAAGTGGTGTTTCACACGCAGGCTTTCTCGACCAATATTCATGATAAAGTTTTTGTTGGGTTAGATCGTGTAAGTTTAAATGTGTCGTACACCCACATCCACCCAACACAGTCAATTAGTAAGATTTCTGACATGAACAGAACGTGCCATTTTTGTTACTACTTCAGCACTCTGGTGTGTTAGAGCGCAAACTCAGAACATTTACAAACGAGTACAACCTTTCACTAGTAATTACAACCAGCATCATCAGGCAATTGGCAGAAGCGTTCCAGAAGCGTTCTGGCAATTGGTGGGTGTACGATGCATGTCAATTTATGCGATCTAACCCAACAAAACGTTATCCTGAATAAAGTGGTGTTCTTTGTTGTGTGGTGTGCAGCTACGGTTGGGGGATTTTTTCCGGGGCGTGGAGGTGGTTCCGGCACTGCTGCACGGTGACCTATGGACTGGGAATGCTGCAGAGATAAATGAAGGGCCCGTCATCTTTGACCCAGCCTCCTTCTATGGGCACTCGGAGTACGAGCTTTCCATCTCTGGGTAAGACAACTAAAAACCAAAACAATAGCAGCAACTGCCGTTCACTGCCCTGTCTGTGGCAAGCGAGGTTGATTCGTATCACCTCAAGGTGTCAATGGCTGGCTCATTAAATAAATAACATAGACCAAGTAGAGTTGTGGTTCAGATGTCTACATGCTGAGGTCTCCACCCTCTCTATTTGCCAACTTACAAAGACTCATCCTTCCTTGCTAAGGCTTTTAGGGCAAGTGCTGTTAAGGCTAATACGTGGCACAAAACAATAGCGGAGCGACAAAACGCTAATTTATCCACGGCACTTTGAGGATGTTTGAATGTTCCAGAAACTCAGCTTGTCGAACAAGGAGGCCCTGGTTTAGAGACACGTTGCACTGATGTGCTTTACTAGGAATTCAAGCTGAAGATGATTCATTACACGTCAAATGGAATTCAAACCTTTGGAGCTGGATTATGCTTAAGTGATATGCTACAGTGAACGAAAACACATTTAACATGATGTTTACTGAGCAGCTATTGGTGACCGTTGAGACCACAAGATTCCTGCACTTTATTCGCAGGAAGGTTTGTTGATAGATGGCTCACTGAATTTTGAACGGAGGACCTCAATGGCATTGGCTCGGTGCTCTGACATTGAAATTAACCTCCTGCATTGTATTGCATTTTTTGTTGTTTATTGTTATGTTGTTCGTAATGGAACAGCACCACTGTAAGGTTTTGCATGTTTGGTGTTGTTTGGCTCCAGGATGTTCGCAAGCTTTAGCTCCACGTTTTACTCATCCTACCACGCTCTCATCCCAAAGTCAGAAGGCTTTGACAAACGCCAGAAGCTCTACCAACTCTTCCACTACCTGAACCACTGGAATCACTTTGGGACAGGATACCGAGGGTCATCCATCTCCACCATGCGCAGTCTCCTCAAGTAAATGAAAGGTGCAGGAAATCGTGGGCTATGGTGTATGACTATAAAAAAAATATTATACTGGTAGGAGCACCTGGTTCCACCAGCCCACAGGGGATTATTGTGTCCGTCCTTCGTGCATCCAAAAATGGGAGGGGTGGGGCTGGGTGGAGAGGAGAGGGTGGGGAGGGTGGGGCTGGGTGGGGGGTGGGGCTGGGTGGGGAGGGGTTGGTCACCCCGTGGTGCCCTTATAAAACTCAATGTTTAACCTACTCACGCCGGCTTGTGCCCGCCCTCACAGTCGGCCATATTTGCGGAATACACCACGCCGCCGTTGACCCTGGCCATTGACCGAGCAACCCAACGTTCCTACCAGCTCCCTCCGCAGGAATGTGTTTGGCCATGATATATACATTGTTGGATAAAGGCCTTCCCTAAGCCGCCACTAAATCTCACAAAACTAGTCCATTTAAATGCTGTGCAATGCCCTGGGCATCCCACGTGAGTGTGACCGGGGATTTCTTTGTCCCGCCTCCTGGCCATGATCTCCACGAGAAAACTCGGTCGGTTAATATCGGAATCAGAATCTTTAATTAGGCTGCAAGAAGCCGATGAGCTATGAAGCTCTTTTTTCACAGATGTCCAGTCGGGGCGAGTCAGAAAGTCACAACAACAAACAATACAAACAGATCGGAGTGCACAGTAAAGGAATGCTAAGTCATGAAATAAAATATATAAAAGTTAAAATTGCATTAGTGCATCAATTCCTGCCGAAATACACCAAATGCAATTTTCGGCAAGGCAGCATAACAAAAATAATTCCAGACCACACGAAGACAACACACAGTCCATAAATACATTTGCACATTAAAATTGAAGTATTGATACATGGGATAAACCTGGCAGCGTTTGATAATGCTACTCTGCATTGTGTTCCCCCTCAGCTCTATGACTAAAAAAATCATGTCTTGTGGTGTGATTTTCACACCAAAATTATCTCATGCTTATTGATATTTAACACCTGAAATCGCCACTAATATTACAATCATAACGTTAGCAACCATTGCTTTAAATCATATTACAATTTAGCTGATTGACCAGATTAAAATTTTGATTTAAAGCTTTCGTGACTGCAGTGATTCATCTTCTTGGTTCTTTCAGTAAAGTCACGTAGAAGGGAAATAATAAAATAATACAAATTCAACATAATAAAATAAAAAAATTTATAATAAATGCTTTTTTCCCTTCTACGTGACTTTACCGATAGAACCAAGAAGACAGATTTAAATTTTAGGAGTCCGAAAAAAGTGGAGCCTACCTGCTACGAAATGCCAATCTGAGCTGGCAGATCACGTGCGCACTCCCAATTTTTGGAATTACCAATTACTCGTCAAGATAAATTTAAAAATTACATGAAAATAATTATTGCCGATGATCCTACAAAGAGTGAACACCTCATCATAGCACTGCAGACTACAGCGGCAACACCAAAGCCAGATCCAATCTTCCTCTTGCCATCGTTTTCTTTGGCCGGTCTGTTTCATACAGCGCTTTACCATCGCCGCTATTCACACGTACATTAAGTGAGTCAATTGGAGCCCCCTGCATCTTTGTTGTGGTTTCTTGTTGCTTATTCACTGTTGGCCGCCACTGCTCACTTAAATGTGGGTCCCTGTCGCTTTTCTCACCAGACTCCTCCACGGCCAGAAGTTGACAATGATGACTGCAGTTCAGAGCCCTCTGTCCAGATGAGAGTTGCAGGCAGAGTTCCAGTATGAAGAGGAAGGCTGGAACCCAACACAACTTACCATCTACATGGTTGCACCCGAGTGCTGTTGTACATTGGTTGTTGCGTTTGGTAACTAACCACGCTCGTCCGGGGAGGTTCACAGTACTGCCCGCCCGATGCGATGACCCTAGTTACATGAAGGTAGTAGGGGTATACACAAGATAAAAAGTACATTTTAGTACTTAAAGAGCTCGATTTGCACAGACCACCGCTACAACTGAATGTTATGCAGTAATATTAAACAAGTTTCAAGCCTTTTGCTAATTTAGATAATACAAAAAGGGTTTAGAACAAAGAACCACTTGCAAGTATATCTATGTGAAGGGACATTCTTATTAACACTCTCTGCAAAGGATACTGGATTTCCATCTGTGAAGAAAGCAGTTGGCCGTGACACATGTTGCCATGTTTGATGCAACGTTCGTTTATCCGAACAACACAGGGCGATGCATTTTTCCGACTTGCAGCCATTTGCGGTTGTGTATTTTTATTTCGTACGACTGCTTTAAAACAAATGAGGTTACCATCATAATGTTGGGGTGCGACATTGAAACTAATTTGAAGATTGTGTACAATCGTCTTCGCCGGCATGCAGGTGACAGCTTTAACATTACAACTTAAGAGTTGTCTGCAGATGAACCCGACACGAGAAGCATTTTATGATATCTTTAACCATCACGTAGAGATTATTGTTGAGAATGTCTTACAAGTGCTCATGATTTCCAAACAAAAGCTAACATTCCAATGATGGATTGGCCTGTGCTTACGTTGTATATCCTGGGGTAATGTGGGTGGTATTATTAACCATCGGTTGCTTGAGCTGATTTATGGTACAAAATCTATAATTTTGAAGAGGTTGTAGTTGAGCATTAAGTTAACCATGATTGCTGGTTGGAGTATAATTTAAGATCATTTACATTTTGCCCCCTTGCTTTTGAAATCCATCCTTGTTTGTAGCTGTGCATTTAATTTTAGGCTAATATTTAGCTTGAACGACGCATTAATATGTTTTAGCACAATAATAACATACATTTACATAAGAGTAGATTAATGGTGATGGAATTAGTTTTCCTGATTTTGTCTGACTTTGGACCAGCTGGCCGTAATGTCTAGTTTATTCATATTCTATCGGTGAGAAGAAATAATGTTGTAATTTTTGCTTAACCCATGTAAGCATTTTCAATAACCATAGTTTAAACGAATTGATATTTTTCGATTTAAAGCTTTCGTGACTGCAGGGATTCATCTTCTTGGTTCTTTCGGTAAAGTCACGTAGAAGGAAAGTAATAAAATAATAAAAATAAAACATAATAAAACAATTCTCACGACGTTTCGGCCACAACGCAAGCAGCCGTCCTTGTTTTATTATGTTTTATTTTTATTATTTTATTACTTCCCTTCTACGTGACTTTACCGAAAGAACCAAGAAGACGAATTGATATTTACCAGGTATATTCGATATATGTTGAACTTCTTTCGCACCGTACGTAGCCGCCAATGAAAATCGGATGTGGGGAGGAAAACAAGTTTATTTGGCCAAAATTACTTTGGACAAAGTAACAAAAATAAAAAGTATGGATATCTGAAATGTAATGCATTGGGTTTCATTTAATTTTATCAAGTATTGCTTGAAATGTTTAGCAACCAAACATGTTTTGTAAGATTACTCCATTACAATGTTGTTGAATTTTTTAAATGTTTCTGTTACAACACAAAGTGGCAGGGTAGCATCTTTGTTTTGAACGCAAAGGGCTTGGTGCTATACCAGATTTCAAATCAAGGGCACACAATAATGCCTCTCCACTGTTGACTGAGACACTTGAATTTCATTTATCAGACTTGCAAATTATAGTGCGATGCAAACTTTTACTGGTAAAATGTTAAGCTGTGGGGATCAGCGACTGTTATTTGCCAACCCTTGCAATTTAGAACTACTTATACTAATAGGGGTTTTCCCCTTTTTTCTGGCAACAAAACTGACACCTTTTGCAAGGCATCATGCTTACATTAACCACAATACTTGCAGTCAAATGCAAACAAAAAACAATACTCTGATAATTTATGCATTGTCTTTGAAACTGATTGGTCCACACCAGAGACAGCTTTCTGTGGAGCCTAGTCTCATATGGTGTTCGACCAGATGACGCAAGTATTGTGGTTAATGTAAGCATGATGCCTTGCAAAAGGTGTCAGTTTTGTTGCCAGAAAAAAGGGGAAAAACCCTATTAGTATATTTTGGTACTGGCAAAGGAGGTCCCATGATGAATTAGAACTACTTTTTGTGTTTGGCTTGTTGGTCTCAACTGCAACTCCGTTTAGCACGGTTGGCTACGTACGGTGCGAAAGAAGTTCATCATACATACTCATATGTTGTGCAGTTTCCCAGCAAATATGGCTCTTTTGCCAAGGTTTGTACATCAATACTACGTGAAATTATGTTTCTAAAGGATTTGTGGTGTTAAGTTTTACGTGTAAAGCCTATTTGTTTCAATAAGCCATGTTTTTTCTTTTCATTATTACTCATGGAATAAATTGAAGGCTGCATGTAACTTTTGTTGAATTTGACTTTTGTAGTAAAGGGGCCGTCCATAAATGACGTCACGCACCTAGGGAGGAGGGTCAGACATTTGTGACGATGTGTGACGAGGAGGGTTGAGAAAAATGAAGTCGCATCAAAATGCGCAACTTTAAATAAATAGACAACACGTTCATCTTCTTGGTTCTTTCGGTAAAGTCACGTAGAAGGAAAGTAATAAAATAATAAAAATAAAACAATAAAATAATTCTCACGACGTTTCAACCACAACGCAAGCAGCCGTCCTCAGGTGAAGAACATGTCTGTCGATAAGACAGAGTCTAAATGACACGTCTTAGGCTTGGAGTGTCTATTTAAGCTGTGAGGGAGGAGGAAGAGAGCCTTGACAAAATAATTTGCATTCGAAGAGGAATTTAGCATATTTATGGGAAATGCAGGAATGCGAATAGTGCTAATTGTGAAATGCGTGGGAGGTGGGCGGGGGGTTTTCAAAGTCATTATGCCCGTGCATTATGCAGGATTAGCAGCATCAAAGGGAGGGGGCAGGGGCAGCACCAACAAAGGGAAGGAATGTGAATAGTATGCAGCTGCAGCAACCAAACAACCACGTAAAAAACTAAAGTATAAACTTCATAGTATCATCAGTATACTAAATATACTCTCCAATAAGCTGAGCTACTAACAGTAATACATTACAATTCTGTCGCAAAAAATATAATATGCTTCCAGCTAAACTTTTTTCCCTTACATCAAACAGGTCTCACCCCGTACTATATGCTGCCATAGACAACCCCAACATTAAATTATATACTGTATTACTATACACCACCCTATACCTTATACATTGTTATATTACACTATGTATTATTCTACCCACCCTAATGTATATCACACTGCTATATATTCACTATACAATTACGATACTATATATTACTTTGTACATTGTATTAAGCATATACATGTTATACTATTTGTTATTATACACTGTACCATTGACCGTCGTGTGAAAGATACTAAGAGGCAGCAACGAAATATGACAATGGGAGAGTAGCAGAGCAAAGAATCCATTCCCTGCGGAGAATACAATGCCAGTGAGTGGAACGCGGTCTGAGAGTCACCGTAAACGTGAACACAATCAGTTAAGATCCGAAATGGTTTATTACGTCCTTCCAATGATTGCTAAGCCAGAATCCATCTTCTCGGTTGAAATTGTCTCTGTGTTTGTATATGTGGATCGCCTCATGAACGAATCTTTCATGATAGCCAGATGGCTTGCAGAGAACCTCTGTCTTGGAGAAGTCAATGTCATGTGAGCCCACTGAACTGTAACAGTGATCTGCCACGGCTGAGGTGTTTGTCCTACCGTGTTTCAGGTCTGCTTTATGTTCACGGATGCGGTCCGAGACATGTCGTTTGGTTTCTCCAATGTAACTGCTACCACAGAGGCAGCTTAGTTTGTAGACGCCAGGGTACTGTATGTCTGGAACCACATCTTTTACAGACGGGACCAGATCACGGATTTTATGTACTGTGTTGAATCGGACCTGGATCTTGTGTTTAATCAGGATTTTGGAGATCTTTTTTGTGACCCCAGCAATGTAGGGTAAGGTGATGGTCTTGAAAGGCTCCTCAACAGGATCCTTCTTGATGGTTGGAGTGATGGCCTTGCGGATTGTGTAGTCGGAGTAACCAAAAGCTTGGCGTACGTGTTTGAGTTCACTGGCAATGTGTTCATGGTCGGAGATGCATTGGGCTCTATGGTATAGAGTCTTGATGAGGGAATTCTTCTGGGATGGATGGTGGTGGGAATCCGGTTTTAGGTAAGCATCCGTATGGGTGGCTTTCCTGTAGACAGAGTGGCTCATTGAACCATCAGGTCTCCTTTTAATTAGGACATCCAAAAAGGGTAGCTTGCCATCTTTTTCGACTTCCATGGTGAATCTGATGGCTGGTGTATGGAATTGATGTGGTCGAGAAATTGGTCTAGAGCAGGCCGGCCATGTGGCCAGATGACAAAGGTGTCGTCTACGTACCTCTTCCATAAGGTCGGGCGTAGAGTGGCAGTCTGGATGGCGTCAGTCTCAAATTTCTCCATGAAGATATTGGCTACAACCGGAGATAGGGGGGAGCCCATTGGGGTGCCCTCAGTTTGCTTGTAGAAAGTTCCATTCCAGGTGAAGTATGTATTGGTTAAGCAGTGTTTCACCAGGGGGGTACCCCAGCATTCAGTCCTTGATGAACCAAGTCTTCAATGATTGCGATGGTGTCAGGTACAGGAACTTTGGTGAATAAGGAAACCACATCAAAACCTTATTCATGTTCTTCACCTGAGGACGGCTGCTTGCGTTGTGGCCGAAACGTCGTGATAATTATTTTATTATGTTTTATTTTTATTATTTTATTACTTCCCTTCTACGTGACTTTACCGAAAGAACCAAGAAGACAGTTAGATGTTTAATAGAGGTGCATTCCGAGCAGTCTGCATCTTCATGTGCACCACATTCACTGCGAGATCGGGTCTTTAGTGCCAAAAAGCCTGCAAACGGCTTCTTACAGACTTATCTGCACTAATATCTTTCCACGAGCTTTCCAGTTCAGTTTTTTTCATTCATAGTCGTACAGCACAGACAGCCCTCAACTTCAGAAAATCCCACTTACAAATATCCACACTTCCTGCGCCCGTGATATTTGTTATTTGAAACTTCAAATTACAACGCGAACAATTTTGTTCAGCGCAGCGATCCTTGGCGAGATGTAAACGAGTCGGCCTTAAACTGGGAGGCTGTCCATCCGAACCCGGCGACTCGAGATCGATTCCAGCTCACGGTCACCAACACCATCAGTGAAGATTATCTGAACCTGTAGCGGTGTGTAGACATCGCTACTCGTGATGTCCACCCACCACCCCGTCGTGTGACGTTCCGGCCTTCATAGACGCTGCTCGCTAATGTGAAGGCGATACGCAGGATCAGATTAATAAAATTGTATTTTATTTTTATATACAGTATTTCAGTGATTTGTTTACATTTCTGTGTGCACTCCTATGGTGTTATTTTGTCTTGTTTTTGTAACGTTCTGACCAGCCCTTACTAGATAACTGTGAAAAAAAATCTTAATAGCTCATAGGATTCCTCCTCCTCCAGTGTATAGATAAATATTAATATTGTGGACGTGGGGCTGTAACCCTGCGGTGAGCTTGGCCTGACACGTGGGGGCGTGGCTTGCCCGACAGTGGGCGGAGCATGTCCGTGGGGCGTGGCCTAACCCGTAAGTCTGAGGAGGGGCCGCGTGCAACAACAAAGGGGGCGTGGCGACTCACCCTGAGTGACGCCTGCGCTGACCAATCGCAGAGGAGAACGCGAACCCTGGACTCCAATCCCGAGAAGCGCGCTCCTTTTAAAGTTAACAACAACATTGTTCAATGTAAGTAGCGCCTCTCTACTTTATTGTTGTTTTATTTGTTTAATACATCACTTGTGGTGCCGTGAGTCGAGTTTTGTGCGTCAATAACCTTGCTGGACACGGCTAAGCTTTTAATCAGGGGCGCCGCGGTGGCGAGATGTTAACTACCTCGCCAGGCCTACAGCAGCGTGCAGGTTCCATCACGACCCTGACGCCTGCTCTGTATTTGTACATTTTTATTTCCCCCGTGGTCGCATAGATTCTTCTCCTGGTCCTTCGGCTTTCCCCTCCACATGTAGAAACGTGAGTTTAGAAGAGTACTTGGCTGCTATAAATGTCCACATGATAAGCCACTAAGTTGAGCTGTCATTTGTGGCCAGGTCGCTTCTGATAAGAGCTATAAAGCTCTGTGGGGGGGGAAGGGGGGAGTTTATACAGGTAGGAACAATGTTCCACACTGCCCACCAGGGATTTATTGTCTGTCTGACTGTCTGTCTGTCGTGCATAAATAAATATATAATACACACAGCTCTTTGATTGGTGGAGACCTACTGCCAGGTACGGAGAGGGGAGGTGCCTAAGGGAGGAGGGTCAGGGGAGGGGCCTAAGGAAGGGGGGAGTAATGAAAGGGGCCTGAGGGGCAGGGGGTAATGGGAGGGGCCTAAGCAAGGGGGAGGGGCCGATAGTTAAGGGGGCTGGCTACCTGGCTGGCTGCCTGGCTATCTCAAGTCAAGTTATCTTTTATACAGGTAGGAACAACAGGTTCCACTGCCCACCAGGTATGAGTTGTCTGGCTGTTGTGCACGAATGCGCTGTCCAACCAAGTTCCTACCTGCCCACTCCGAAGGAACGTGTTCGTTGTGTTTGTCGCTGCGAGCAGACGGCACGCAATGGAGAGCTTGCTCAGAGCGGAGCTGGGCACGGACTCGGCGAGGCCGCTGGGCGCTGCGGCCGGTGGAGGCTGCATCAGCGCCGGGCAGAGCTACGAGATGGGGCGCGGACACGTGTTCACCAAGATCAACGCCAAGAGCGGGGCACCCTCCTCTACACCTCCTCACCATGCCACCTCACCTCACTACGCCACGTCACCACCTCACCTCCTCACCACCTCACCTCCTCTACCCTCCTCTTCGCCTCCTCACCACCTCGAATCCTCGCATCGCCCTTCATTCAGCCCTATAATTAATGTCTTTCCACGTGCACCAGTATCACTCTTTTTTTCGCTGCGACTACTACCACCACCGTGGTGAATGTTGCAGTGAACTTCACCTCGTTGATTCCCCCCTCCACCCACGTTAAGAGACTCGGTCTACCAGACACTTTGACCGCTTCGTCTCATCCACTCCGCGTTCAACCACCGCGCCTCACTGCAGTTCACAACAACGCACTCAACTAAACAACTCGGTCACCCACTCATCCAGTCACTCATCCAATCACCTGATCACACACTCATCCAGTCACCCACGCATCCAGTCATCCACTCATCCTATCACCCACTCATCCAGTCGCCCACGCATTCAGTCGCTCACTCATCCTATCACCCACTCATCCAGTCACCCACGCATCTGAATCACCCTATCACACACTCATCTCGTCACTAATTCAATCACA